GGATTTTGTCGACTTTTGAGGTCGTACTTTAAAAAACAGGAAAAACACGGAGCTCACACATTATCCTCTCGCTACGAGGTGAATATTGTTGAAGAGTCCGAGATAGCGAACCAAACAGATTGCCTAGAAAAAACCCGTCTTAACAACTCATTTGCTTGCTCCTCACAGTCTAGGGGAAACTTAAATAAGTTATCTAGCCTACACAATTTAGATCTATTCAAATTAAATTCTGACTTCAACACGAATCTCAATGTGAACCACAACCTCCCTAATCATCAACAAATATATTCTTGGTATTTCACCCCACATAGCTTCAAGAAATCTTGTGACAAATTTTCCAATAATGAAGTTTTCACCAGTTTTTCCCTTTCTCACAACAACATTGTTAGCTTAAACCGTAATTTCGAGGAAATTTTAACGTTGTTAGATGACCCTGACTTTCATTTTAACGTTGTTGGAGTCTGAAACAAAAATCACAATCTCTAATGACGATACAACACACCCGAGCATACCAGGCTACTGGAAATGTGCCCACACCTTTGGCTTCGGTTGGTGTTGGCCTATTTGTTGACGAATTACTGGATTACAAGGTAATAGAAAAGTCCTCTAATGACGCATTCCAAGCTTTGTGGATCGAAATATTTTTCTCCGCTGACAAAAATATAATATGTGAAATCATTTACCGTCAGCACAACTCTCCTGAAGTTTTTCAGACATATTTCGAAGAAACTATGGAAAAGTTTGCTATGACTAATAAAGCCATATATATCTAATGGGCGACTTCAATATAGACCTGCTTAAATGTGAAACATCCCACTTCAGTCACAATTTTTTGTTACACGCACAGATCTAGAGCTGCTACCTCATTCCAACAGTTGATATGCCTACACTAGTTCACAGCGCCTCAGCCACCGTTACTGTTAACATTTTCGTTAAAAACCCAGACAAAATTCTTGCTAGTGGTAATATTGTTACGGATGTTAGCGACCATTTTTAACAGGTTTGTGTCATAAAATCAGCGATAGATAAATACAAAGATAAAACTATTAAACTTCGCGACTATTCAAAATTCTCTGCTGTTCTCTTCAATGATGATCTTTCCAATGTTCACTGGGATGACATTCTTAGTAGCGGTAAAAATAATGTGGACCTGTTGTTTTCTTCCTTTTATAACAAGTTCAACACAATAGTCAATAAACATGCTTCCATAAAAAAAATTATCTAGTCGCAAAAGAAAGGTTCTTTCCAAGCCTTGGACTACCACTGGATTAAAGGTATCTATAAGGATGAAAAACAAACTCTACGCATCGGGTGATGAAGTGAGGTATATAAACATTATAGAAATAGAATTTCAAGTCTAATACGTATCACCAAAAAGAATTAACTACTAACAGTGATTACTTTGAAACCAACAGTCCAATATTAAAAAAAACGTGGACAGGTATTAATGAGTTATTGTTTCGCCGTAAGAAAAACCTCAAGACTATTACTGCAATTAAGGACCCAAACAATAAGAATAAACTGGTCAAGGATTCTTCACATATTCCTAACATTATTAATGAACATTTTGCGTCTGTTGAGAGTAAACTCGCAAGTAAGATTTCTTCTTCCCAACAACATTACCTCGTCTTTGTTGACAAAAACATGTCTCCGATGCCATCTTTCTTTTTTTAACCAATAACATATGATTGTGTAAAGACTAAAATATTATCTCTACCAAATAACAAATCACACGGTTTATACTCCTCCCCGACAAAGTTACTAATTAAAAATGCTCAATTGACGTCATAGGCCCTTTTCTTTCGGAAGTATTTAATATTTTCATCAGCCTAGAGAGATATCCTACAAATTGAAATTGTACAAAATTGTGCCTGTTTTTAAATCCGATGATGAGACAGACCCAAACAACTATAGACCTATATCTTTATTATCAAACTTCAACAGAATATTTGAAAGGCTTATGTATACCTGAATGCTGAATTACGTTGAAAAACACAATTTAATTTACTCTTCCCAGTACGGCTTTCGCAAAGGACATTCTACTCAACATGCTACATTAGACATCGTTAATGCAATCCAGGCAAATATGAATCAAGGTCTATACTATTGTGGTGTGTTTATTGACCTCAAAAAAGCTTTTGATACCGTTGACCATAATAGCGGAGCTCTCGCGCGCGAATCGCGCGCAGCGGAGCACCATGGGTAAAAAAATGTGGTAAACTATCCATCAAAGAAAATTTGGTAATCACGTGACCGTACACAGACCGCCCGCCCGCCCGACCGTCCGTCCGCACCACAGGCATACCAATGTAAAATAATTCAATCAACAGGTATGGCAACCCAAATGCAACTCAAGGTTGTATTTGGAAAGAAATCGCCTGGCCGCCCGGACTTTTAGAAAGAAAAAACAACAACAAAAACGTGTCTTTTTCGACGTTATTTTTGATGTTTACACTCACGTGGATAACAGAGAAAGAGCTAGAGCGAGTGATTGAAAACAAAAGAGACGAATTTTGTAGGAAGAAAAACATGAAAATTCAAAGCGGCTGTGAGACAATGAGAAATGCTAGCGGCCAGCAAGGTGAAAATGAGCGGCAGTGAAAAATAAAAGCGAACATGAACACAGGAGACAAAATATTGGGTAAGCACATACGACCATTCCTCCACAAAAATAATGTGTAACTAGTAAGTTTGACGTTTTAGTCCTACAAAACAGCGTTGTAGTTGTGCAAAACAACTGCAAACAAAGACAAAAAGCGTGCTGCACGTGCAAATTTGTTCGTTTTTGCTAATTAGAAAAAAAGAGTGTGCTGCACGTGCAATTTGTTTTTTGATTTTTTTTGCTAATTAGATATATTGATCTTGATGCCATATTCATTGCCGTCCCGTTTAGCATTTTAAACCATTTAATTTTTTTTGTTTACAAGTATAGGTGGTTTTCATGCAATCTCGGGAGACACAAATAACAATGGTGAAATGAACAAATGCTGGTGGACAAACAAAGCGAGCTAATGAGCGATCTTTTGTTTACCGTCCACCAGCATGGCGGCGATGACGTAACGTGAAAACCACCTATTATTAACCAGAGTTTCGCTTCTAGCCCTGGCTAAATCTATATATTATTCTGCTAGATAAGCTCAGCTTCAACTTCCGTGGATTAATCAGCCAATGATTTTCCTCATATCTTAATAACCGCACCCAAACTACTCAAATTGCTGATCACATATAACAAATAAGTCACAATCAGCTTTGGAGTTCCTCAAGGTACCGTTTAGGCCCTCTTCTCTTTTTGCGGTATGTTAATGATATCCACCAGTGCTCTACTAAACTTAAATTCTATCTCTTCGCTGATGATAGCAACATTCTTTTTGCTGAAAAAAAATTTGAAAGTTATTGAAACAGAAATCAATACTGAATTGTGCAAACTCTACGACTGGTTAACATCTAATAAGTCAACTCTTAACATTAGTAAATCCAACTTTGTAATATCTCATCCTAAACAAAATAACCCTAATTACAAACCTAAAATATGCTTATTTGACAACGAGAAAACTGGATACGCTACGCTTGAATCAAAGGAATATATCAAATATCTTGGCATTTTGATTGATAAAAACCTCACCTGGAAACATCATATTGTTACTGTCTGTTCAAAAATCAGCAAAACGGCTGGCTTACTTGCGAAATAGTGACATTTTTTCCCCGCAAATTCTTCTTAAAATATTTCAATCACTTATTTACCCGTATATTACGTATAGACTTGCTGCTTGGGGCCAAGCAGCAAAGACGCATCTCAACAAAATTCTATTGCTACAAAAAAGAGCTCTTCGGATAATAAACTTCTCGGATAGATTCCATCACGCAATACTCTCTCTTCATTTACGCCAACGTTTTACCCTTGAACTTCTTATATCATCAGACTCTACCTAATCTTATGCATGATGTCCATAACAATAAGGTACCTTCTGGCATTTTAAGTCTTTTTCAAAAAAACAAGTACCTGCCACTCCTACAGTACAAAAGCATCGGCTTCAGGAAATTTTCGTGTTAACAGTTCCGATCTAGAATTATAAACATAAATTGTCTTTCTCTCGCTTTGGGGCTAAGGTGAGGAATAAGATACCCTGACACATCCGACATCTCCCCAAGAATAAGTTCAAAAAAACACTCCGCAAATTACTTTTTGATCTTCTGAATTCAGAATATGACTATTAATATTGATACGCCCACCCTGATTAAGAAGGTTCACTTAGCCAAACATTTCGCGAAATAATATTAGTTTCTACTTTTACAATTTATTTATTTAATAGCCTTAGTCTTTATTTCGATATTTTGCACGCATTGTCCCGCCTCGAATAGCCTTGTTAGCTGCGGGCAATACTTCTGTAATTATAATTTGTATATTAATAAAGTTTTGCTGTTGTTGTTTGTTGTTGCGTAAATCACCAAGATCACTGAGTGTATATATACTAATTAGCTCCTATTCTTAGAACCGCAACTATAGAGAGAGAGGCCCCAATAGAAACCACCTAATTTCTTTTATACAGAGATTTTCTTGTCACCTGATTGAGGATAAGTAATGGACTGATATCGGAATTGTCAACATTAGATGGTACGTTTTAATTGCAAGGCTGGATATCCTCCGGCAGTATAGTAGTACTAAAAAATAAGGAAATTTAACTGTAGAATACAAATCCGGTATCATCAGTTCGTTAAGTAGCATGCACAGTATAATTATATAATCGACTTACAACTAAGCAACTGTGAGGACCGATCGATTTAGAGGAACTCTGGAATTGACAAGATTGATCTTGCAAATGCATGCTTTGTCGGACCGGAATGTGTGGAATAAGATTGTTCAGAGCATCCTGACCGAAAGGGCCTAAGATGATGAAGATTTTCCTGTGACTGAACAAAAGCATCAGCAAACATATTTCTCAACGAGAAAACAAAATTTTATTATCGCTTGATGGAATCATTTTTTTGAATGTCCTGGCGTTTCAAGATTTCATGGTCTGGTCGATCCAATTCCTGAACTTAGCAACCCGTCCGAAAACAGTGTATCGTTCGGCTGCTGAGCATCTCGAGGAGCCCCAACTGACGTCACCCTGTAGAACCCAATTTCCATTGGCTCCTTGACAAACATAAGGACCACCGCTGTCTCCATGGCAACCACTAAGGATAGTTCCACTTTTTCCTGCGCAGAGCATGTGTGGGGTGATCTTTAATGACGATCCACCTAGGAGGTTGATTTTAAACAAAATAAGAATGACCAAATGAAAAGCATCTGCAAAAAACCTCTCACTGTAGCACTCTGTTTTCAGATTCTTATTCGTATCTTGCACTATTGCGACCGTTGCGGAATATGGGCATGGCCCATGCCAAATTTAACACAAAGACCACTGTCTATTTACAGGTTAGATGCACGTCCTCTAGCGGGCGCCTAGATGGCGCAAGCCGGAATGTCTAATCTTCCTGGGTCGCGGGCTTATCGTATTATAATCACAGAGCTGAACGTAATCTTATCGCTTTATTGCACCATTTGTTCGTTCCCCTGGAGCAAGGGACTGGGGACTTAAAGGGCCTTGGTACATGGAGGCCGGGCGAGCCCCAGGTAGGTGAGTTAACCCCCCTGTCCATATAATGAATCTAAGAGATTTGATCACCTTTACATGTTCGGTGGCATGACCCGCCGCGGGTTACCTCACCTATCTAAGGTCCCCCACCGCCACGTAAACAGACCCTAAAGCTCGTTATAGAGGATTGGACTCAGTGTAATTAATAGATATATAACGAGTGAAATATTTTTTCAACACGAGAAGAGAAACTTCGTATCTCCAAGCGGCCATGTAATGTTCTATTTATTATCTAAACACCAATGAAATACCAAACCATTTCACTTGAATAGTTTTTTGGTGTGAAGGCGCGATTTATTATGTAGCCATAGCAAAGGTGATATTTTCACATGTGAAGATAACATGTTATTTTCACTTGTGAAGATACCAAGTTTTCGCGCGAAAGCTCACCTGGTATTTCATTGGTGTTTATATAATAAATATAGATATTTTATGGTTGTGAAAACGCCGCCCGCGTAGAAAAAAAAAAAAAAAATCAAATGTGAATTGTACAAAATTAAATTATCACAACCCCACTGGTTTAAGGCAAACCTGGTGATGCGTCCAATTTTTTCTGGCAAACGCTGTTTGTCACGGGCGGTATCTCAGCCTGTTGTAGAATATTGTGAGAAGATCCCGGGTGTTGTATTTTTCCCCATCCTAGAACAAAAAAAAAAAGCCTGAAGTACCAAGTCCACATCACATCATTTAAATGTCGTTTTGATTTTAATAAATGTTATCATATTTTGTGAATGATTATTCATAATGATTATTTATTTTTTCTGAATTATTTTTGTTTTTATTGGATGGGTTAGTTTTCTCCTTTTTGATGTTTTCTGTTTTTACCACCACTTGACTTCGTTGCGTTCAATTTTAAAGACTTTAAACATTTCATACAATGCAATGTGGCGATCCAGCAATTAATCACAGAGGTCAGGATTTAAGTGAAGGCTACTTGTTTGTTACTAATTTACAGGGTTAGGAGACTATTGACACTATTTTCAACAGATTTACCAATTTACCTGTTATAAAGCACTTAGCTGAGGTGGAAACCATTTCATCCTGAGCAGGAAGGCAAACTGTATTCACTCGGTCGTTCAAAGTTGCCGGCTTAGAAAGCTGGATCAAAGCGATGTCTTTGTCTATTGTAAACGAGGAATATTGAGGATGAACTATAACTTGTTTAGCTGGTATATCTTGTTCAGTTCCCTCAGAAAGGTAACGGTTGTGGTCACCCAAACGAACAGTATAGTAACTAGCTGGCCTGTTAAACAAACAATTTAAACAATGTCATTTGGTTACACCTGGTCAGCTAATCAACAAAACGCTTGCAGTAGTTTAAAAATCATGCAGGGCCGAGTTGTTTGAAGCTGGGTTAAGATAACCTAGGGTTAGTGCGAGATTTGAATTCAGATTTGAAAGCTTAAAAAGCATTTCAGTCTTAATTATTTTTGTCTACAGGTTGATGATTGGAAGCTCTAAAAATAACAGAGAAAATTATCCGAGAAAATGCTTTCGAGCACAAGGAAAAAAAACATAAAAAACCTAAAAATTTTAACCCCAGGTTATTATAAGCGCTAATCGGCCTTCAAACAACTGGGCCCAGATTTTATATGCGCCTGAGTTGGATCAACCAATTTGATGAACGACTAACCATCAGTTAGTGACGGCTTGTGACTGCATTTTTTGACTGTCCTTTCTAGTACTTCCATGTTTATTGGCTAAACGTATGTTACCGGTTTTACTCCTAAGAGGTAGACACACAGGTCGTATCGCCACCGTAATTCTATTCAATAAGGGCATCCTAGCCTGAAGTTAAGGAGTACTATGGATTGAATTCAAAATTAGAGATCCTTTGTTCGATTCAGTTTGGCCAGCTGTGGCCTGGAATGGGAAGAAGGGGACCGACTTCTTTCTTTGGATATGGTTTTCGCCTCTCCGAGTCCTTGATATGGGTCTTAAGTCGCGTTTACAAAGATAAGTTTGGGCGGAAATCTTGACATTTAGTCCGGCGTCAATACTTTCAAAAGGAACTTGGTTTACGTGATAGATATTTTATTTTTTAAATATATAATTTTTCCTCAACAAAGTCAGCACTGGGTTTCAAACCCGGATCTGCAGTGCCACTATTGTATAGAAAAAGGACATAATTCAGTTCCAATACACAGCCTGTACACCGGGCTGAGTTAATATCATACAGACCTCTATGGCTAATGATTTTGAGCATGCTTGTGTTAAAATTAATGGTACCACAGAGACTGGATAAATGCTACGATGGTGTTGTTATATTCCTAGACTTTCACTAAACTAAGCACGGACTGCTATTGGTTGATTCTTGGTCACGTGGCCTTGACTTAAATCAAGTGTATCCCGATCGTGATGCTTTTGTACCCCGCTCGGGATACATTACAGCACGTGATCAAAGAATGGTGGAAAGTGGCGTGACAGAAGGAGGACAAAACACTGCCCGTCTTGTCTTTTTTTTTTGTGAATAAAGGTCAATAAACACAACAACGTCTTGGGAAACATCAGACTCTCGGGAAAACAAAACTAAACTCTTTCCTTCTGGATCTGACATTGAGTGTATTGATACCTGTTTAAGAGTTACGCAGTAGAGAATAATAGATCATAAGATTTAAAATTTTATTTTTAGAGGAAAATTCTCAGCTATTTTGGCCATAAATCTCCCCTATTGTACCATTTTACAAGGGAAAGCTAAACCAAAGGTCTAAAACGCAAACTTACTGTCCCCGTGAAATACAATGCGCTGCTGTAACAACCCAGTCAGGAGTGATAAGTGATCCACCACAGCTGAAGGACTTGGAACTCCCTCTAAGAAGCGCTATCTATTACATCAGAAAAAGCGAAAAATCAAATAAACATTTGAACTAAAGTGAGCAAGGTAACACACTCTAACGTGTTCGGATTATTTTGGGAAACTTAGTGCCCTAACCTGGACATAGAAGTAATTGCCTGCGTAGCAACCGTGTCCGCGCGAGATCCTTGAGAAAGTCAGGACAAGAGCAAGCTCGATTGGAAACGCTTGCTACGCAGGCTATACATTGTCAAGCAACTTTGAGGTACACCATACAAAACGGGTTTACAATTCGGCGGTGCACCTACTTTGCAAATCCACTTACACATTTACGTTTCTGTTTGATTCCGTGGCAGAAGAAACAGTATGGTCAAGTGAAATGTAGGTTTAGGTGGAAAGATCATTAACTTGATATGCGCTTTGAAGAAAACCCGCGCGCATCAAGTCTTGTTTTTGTCTCATATCGGTAACAATTTTACTGAAACCTGCTTTCTTTGGATTGAGCCTCTAATGGTCAGTACTTCCTGTGTGAACTTTATACACGGGGATGCTCTGATCTTTAGAATACCAAAGATTAAGGATGCGCCGCCCTTTACTTACCAAAGATTAAGGATTCTCAAACTCGCGTAAAAATAGCCTGCCTAGGAAGCGTTTCCGCACCAGTTTGTCTATGAACTTGGGACGAAAGTAAAAAGGAGGATCGAGTGGAAAACCTTGCTACGCCTGCTACTGTTGTATTTAGTGTTTTCACTATCCGGCATAAAACGTTTTGGGTTCGCCGGGCGCAAAAATGGAGAAATCTCCTTTAATTAGTGATGTTAATCTAGCCATAATTGGAAGGGCTACAAGGTTGTGCGGCTGCCACTAAATATTAAAGGGGTATCTTTAATTTTTGGTCATAAGTCAGGTACATATGCATGACATGTAAAAAAGGTAATTTATGGTTGTCTAGTAGACTTCCGGACGCCAGAACGTTCCAGTGCACAATTAAATTCCATCACTTTTAATCAGTTAAGACTTACATCATCGTCATCATTGAAATTACAGAAGTATCAGCTGACACCCCTCAGAGTGCCATGTAATTTCATTGATTACTTTTATATCAGTAATAACTTTATGGTCCACGCGTTAAAAACTGCTATCCTACTAACCTGCCAAGGCCAATTCCCTGGTTTAGCGTCCACTCCTCCGATAACACGTGTAACAGGGGACCTACCACAAGACGAGGGCGGCAAGGTGGGTGGTGGAGGTGTGGAAGGACCTGGACCTGTAAACAAAGACCCACGTATAATTAAAGACTTCCTTCTTTACATCGGTTGAGGACAAAGCCGATAAATGCTAAACAATTTCAGTGTCTCTTTTACTAACGGTTTGATGGAGTACCGTCTGATGGACGAACCTAAAAGTTTCATTTTCAAAAATAGTTCAAAACTGAAATGGTATATTAAAATTCTGGGCGAAAATGTCCTATCGTCCACTCTAACAAAAAAATCCACGCCGTAGAATTTTTTCCATTTCGATTTTAATGCCAAAAGCTATCGACCGGAAAAAAGTAGGGGTCACTTGTTTCATTTTCTAGATACCAGTGGTGGAAGCTGAAGAAAGAGTCTGGGTAAACCTTAAGATACGTTGCCTCGGTAACTGCTTATGACCAAAAAACAATTATTTAAGTCAAGTACTAAATGTATTATACAACTTTACAAAACTATTGCTATGGCTTTGGCCTATACTGCAAGACAGGTACAGTCCGTATTTTTGCGTATTCAAGTACTCGCGAACAGTCAAACAAAAGGTTATTCTTGCTAAAACGATTTTGAGAAAAAGGACCCGACTTTTTGAAATCTAGCTTTGGCCTACCTTTTGGTTCTCTTCTTTCAAAGTTAAAACAGTCAAAAAAGATGGGAGGTTTGGTTGTGCTACCTTAAACTGAACGGATTATCTATGGCTAAATCAAGTCAAAACAAAATGAACACTTACTACACCAGCCACAAGACTTAGCGCAGTACTTCTTCGTCCATTCATGGTGGTATTGGCAGTACCCTGGGTGTTGTGCCAAAGTTGGACACTGATCAGCGTACCACTCACTGTCTTTGCACTCTACGGGAAGAAAAGAATAACAGATTCAAACGGGCGCTAATTTGTTTGCCAACATGACGTCTTCGAAGCAAATTTGTTAAATGTTTCTCTCTTACTGTCGATTTAGCTCAAAAGTACCTGTGGTAAGGAGCAATGGCAATAACCTGTTTGAAAATATTTTGCTTACTTGAGTTACATAGGAGAACCGTTATGATATGCGGAATTAAAAAGCAAAATTACGACGTAAAGGGGTGTGTGCTCTCCTTTATTGTACTTAAGAGACAAGTCAGGTACGTGATAGCAAAATAATTGACAGAGAATTAATAAAGACGCCGACGTGTACCAAACAGGACGTCAGTAGTAGCACTCTGACCTGTTTGTTAGAGAGATTCGACGTCAAAACTGTAAAAACGTTTCGGTATAGTGAGTAATCTTGTGAACATGTTAGCAATACTGTTGGTTAAATAGTCCCACTAAGTTCCTAAAAGGTAAAGGCGCATACGAGCCAAGGGCCCAAGCGGCTGGAGCTTATCCCGGTTTCCGTAGCATTAGGTATGTCTGGAGTATTGCTACTCCCTCATGGACAGGATGCCAGTCCATCGCAGGGTTACCCCCCAGCACTACGTTGCCGGTACCCATTTAGACACCTGGGTGAAGACATCCAGGCAAAGTGGAGTAAAGTTCCTTGTCTAAGGAAATAACGAGACGGGCGAGGCTTGAACCCCGGACCTCCAGGGGTTCCAGGTAACTGCTCGGCCACACACTCCTCCACAAGATCCTAAAGCTAAGGCTTTTAAAAATTATGATTCTCAAGAAGTTTCGAACTGTATCTTTTCAGTCCTGATATATTTACCTGACGGTGCTATTGTTGTTGGCTTTGGAGGTGTTGGTGCTTGTGTCGGTTTTGGAGGGGTTGGTGCTGGTGTCGGTTTGGGCGTAACACCACCTGAAATTTTGCTCTTGACCCATGAGCTAAGATATCGAACACTAGCATACACGCCAAATTTGCCTGGTGCAGCACATCCGTATCCCCAGCTAGTTACTCCTTCCAGTTGCCATTTGCCGTTGTACTCACAGACCAGTGGTCCACCACTATCACCCTGACATGCATCCACCCCACCTTGATCTAGTCCCGCACACAACATAGAGTCATGGATCTTTCCAGGATATGCTTTCAAGCAACGGGTCTTCGACACAAGGGGCACATCTACCTGCATCAGTTTAGTTGGAGAAGCTCCCCCCGAAGCCAGTCTTCCCCAGCCGGTGATCCAGCACTTCTTGTTGGAGTTGTCTATCGGTAATGGTAGATTGGAATCTGGCAGACAAACAAGACCAACTCCTTTGCCCAGCTTTGCAGGCTTTGCCAGCTTCAATAGCGCAATATCATGGCTGTATGTTTGAGGGGAATGATATTTTTCGTGTCTATAGATTTCTGCCACGTCAATATCTTGTTCGGTCCCAACAGTGCCAGTTGTGCGGAAATGCGCTCCTAACCTAAGTAAGATATTTAACGTCATAAAGTGTCAAGGTTATTATTCGGGATTTTATTATTGTTATTATTAATTATCATTATTATATTATATGAACTCAAGCGACAGTGAAATGTTTTGCTAACAATCATTGAAGCTAAAAGAAAAATTAAATATTTGCAAATTCAGTAAGGCAACGTAACTAGCCGCCATAAAAAAGCTAGGCTGAAAGAAAAAGAAAAAAGAAAAAAAGACAACCGAAAAAAGTCTTTGTATGGCGCAAACAACTATTTTATAATTCTTATAATAATTTTGTAAGTGCTTGGATGCTCAAGGTATTGACCCTCATAGATGGAACTAATAAAAAGCTCTTTCTCTCCCCCTTTTTTTAAAGGAAAAACACATCCCATGCAATCTGAATTAAAATGAAAAAAAAAAATGTTTGAATTAGCATATGTACAACGAATTTTATACCTGATTTTTACTTGTGATGGATTGGAATATGTGAGACAATGTGTTGCTGAGACAACCCAGTAAGGGTCGATCAGTGACCCTCCACAGAACGGAAATCCGTAAGTTGACCTTAATTGAACTTGCCAAGGCCAGCTGTTCACAGCTGCTTCATGGCCTCCGACAATTCTGGTGTGGGGACGAGAACCACAATTCCCTGGCAATGAATATTATGAGACAAAAACAATTTGAAGGTAACTTTCATTTGCTCGTTCTTTGAAAGATGCAAAATAATGTGGTAAACGAGGTACGACCTAAAGGGTTGTGTGCTATGCTTTATTTTCAAAGAGACAGAGTCAGGTGCATGATAGGGAAATAATTGACAGCGAATAAATAACGGCCTCTACCTGTAACAATAAGGACGTCAGAAGTAGAACTCTGATCTGTTTGTTATAGAGATTCGACGTAAAAACTGGAAAAACGTTTCGGTATAGTGAGTAATCTTGTGAACATGTTAGCAATACTGTTAGTTAAATAGTCCCACTAAGTTCCTAAAAGGTAAAGGCGCACACGAGCCAAAAGCCCAAACGGCCGGAGCTTATCCCGGTTTCCGTAACATTAGGTAAGTCTGGAGTATTGCTACTACCACATGGACGGGATGCCAGTCCATCGCAGGGTTACCCCCCAGTACTATGTCGCTGGTACCCATTCAGACACCTGGGTGAAGACATCCAGGCAAAGTGGAGTAAAGTTCCTTGTCTAAGGAAATAACGAGACGGGCGAGGCTTGAACCCCCGGACCTCCAGGGGTTCCAGGTAACTGCTCGGCCACACACTCCTCCACAAGATCCTAAAGCTAAGGCTTTTAAAAATTATGATTCTCAAGAAGTTTCGAACTGTATCTGTTCAGTCCTGATATATTTACCTGAGGGTACTATTGTTGTTGGCTTTGGAGGTGTTGGTGCTGGTGTCGGTTTGGGCGTAACACCACCTGAAATTTTGCTCTTGACCCATGAGCTAAGATATCGAACATTAGCGTACACGCCAAATTTGCCTGGTGCAGCACATCCGTATCCCCAGCTAGTTACTCCTTCCAGTTGCCATTTGCCGTTGTACTCACAGACCAGTGGTCCACCACTATCACCTTGACATGCATCCACCCCACCTTGATCTAGTCCCGCACACAACATAGAGTCATGGATCTTTCCAGGATATGCTTTCAAGCAACGGGTCTTCGACACAAGGGGCACATCTACCTGCATCAGTTTAGTTGGAGAAGCTCCCCCCGAAGCCAGTCTTCCCCAGCCGGTGATCCAGCACTTCTGGTAGGAGTTGTCTATCGGTAATGGTAGATTGGAATCTGGCAGACAAACAAGACCAACTCCTTTGCCCAGCTTTGCAGGCTTTGCCAGCTTCAATAGCGCAATATCATGGCTGTATGTTTGAGGGGAATGATATTTTTCGTGTCTATAGATTTCTGCCACGTCAATATCTTGTTCGGTCCCAAGAGTACCAGTTGTGCGGAAATGCGCTCCTAACCTAAGTAAGATATTTAACGTCATAAAGTGTCAAAGTTATTATTCAGGATTCTATTATCATTATTATTATTATTAATTATCATTATTATATTATATGAACTCAAGCGACAGTGAAATTTTTTGCTAACATATTGAAGCTTAGGGAACAATTAAATATTTGCCAAATTTAGAAAGGTCACGTAACTTAAATCTGACCATAAAAAAGCTAGGCTAAAAGTAAAAAAAAGAGAAACAAAAGGCAACCGAAAAAAGTCTTTGTATGGCACAAAGAACTATTTCATAATAAAAATTTTATCGGTGCCTGGGTGCTTAGTGTATTTACCCTCATAGATAAAAAATAAAAAGAAGAAGAACGTTAGCACACTACATCTCACTTAAACTGAATGAAAATTTTAAAAAAAATGTTCAAATTAGTATAAGTACGACGAATTTCATACCTGATTTTTACTTCTGAAGGTTTTGTACTTCCGAAGAGATTTTTGAGACAATGAGTTGCTGAGACAACCCAGTAAGGGTCGATCAGTGACCCTCCACAGAATGGAAATCCATTAGTTGACCTTAATTGAACTTGCCAAGGCCAACTGTTCACAGCTGCCTCATGGCCTCCGACAATTCGGGTGTGGGGACGAGAACCACAATCCCCTGGCAATGAATGTTGTGAGACAAAAGTCAATTAGTTTCATTTGCTCGTTCTTTGAAGGATGCAAAATAATGTGGTTAACTAGCACAGTTTTGTTCAGTTTTGTCTGGGATTCCCCCATGCCAGTCCTTCTTCTTTTGATTTGTGTTACAGTCGTATAGTGTATTATCGCACGGTAGTTTGATACATAGTTTTGATCAGAGTCAGGGAAAGAAGCTTGGCCAAAATCGCCCAAACGTATACGTAAAACTTGTTTTAAATAGACTGACTTTCATTTTACGACTTCTCAACCAACGATATTATTTTACATTTATCTCTTAAGGCATAAGAGAAGTCTGAGTACACTGCCGGGGGGTACTGCCATTTATGGGCTATATAGGTATGTGCCGCTGTGAAGGGTATCGTTTCAAGCAGTTTACTCTAGGATAGGGTATTTAAATCAGAGCGTTTGGGTCTAGAATAGCTTATCATTTTTCAGGAAACTGATCAGCTGGTTGAAGATTTTATCTAGACTAGGTAAACAGCTACTCTAGGATAGGGGGATTTGGGGAGTTTACTCTAGTATAGGGTAGCAAAATTCAGATGAACTAGCTCTGGTATAGGTTAAGGGCTCCAGTGTCTCAGCGGCACATCCCCACCCAGAAATTCCTAAACTACCCCCCCGGGGTACACTGATCGGTAAAATTGCGCTAGGGTGATCCACACAGGTATGTAATTTTTTTTTTGTATCATGAAAATAACAACAGAGAAACGATCGGGAAGAGAAGTGAAGTCGTGCTGCTGCGAAAGTCTTCTAGGTATCACGTATAGTAGTTTTGGCAGAATGCAGAAAAAGGTAGAAGAATTTGTACACAAGATGTGCCGAATTCACGGCTGCCTGAAAAGGTTATCGCAATTACACAAAAATTCCTCTCGAGAAGTCCTGGTTAAATTATTTTTGCAAGTCTAGCCACAGAAAAGAACAACAACAAAAAATTCACTCAGAACCTTTAAATGCTGTTAAAAGGCATCAGAATGTGTTTTAAAGGATATCCCAGGAGCTTGGTGGATCAGCCTCTTTAATTATAAGTCGTCAATCTTGTTAAGCGAGAATATATTAACTTAAAATACAACCAATAAAATTATTAGTATTATACAGGTCCACAACTTATATTTACCTGCAGAAGATGTAATAGTGCATAAAAGGCAGGACAGTACTAGGAATACTACATCCATGGTGCTCCAACAACCCTCAGGGAAAATATATAGCTGGTTTAACAAACTAGATACCACTTTGCTTTATAGTCTCGAATCCTTTATAGGTGCTTGCCTCGCATAGCACCTTTGAAAAAGTAGCTTTAAATAAATATAGACTTACTTTCGTGGATCTTATTCTTTTTTCTAACGACGCCTGACTATATTTTTCAATAGGATTCGAAGAGCCACCTTTTATTATTATCGCAGCTGTTATTACTACAAGTTAAAGTGTGTCTTGAACGTCTAAGGATCATTACAACTGGTCAAATAAAAGGACATTTTCCAATTTCTTTTTGTTAAAAACAATTGTTTCTTAGTTCATCTTTTTTCAGTAAAATGAACCTTTAGACACTGTCGACCATTTGTTGTTGCATTTGTTCAATAACAGAATACTGCCAGTATCTCTTTCATTCCATGGTCGGTCATTTATTTCTTCTTTTAAAAATTGAGGGGCACTTAATGTACAAATACTTGCAGAGAATTGTGCGTTTATTTATTTAAAGGTATTTCGCTTTCTTGAATACATTTATTTTGCTTTATGGAAAAATCTCATCATTAAATTTCAGTAATTCTGAAAGGTAGATCTTTTTTTTGATTAGGCTATCGCGGATTGCCGCGCCTTTATCCTTTCCTCAGTCTTGATTCTCAAAGCACAAGATATGCAACTTTTAAAAATATTTAATGGTCCGGAGTGTTTACATATTAAATGGAAATTCAAAACTATTGAAAACCCAGTCTTTAAAAGTTTCTGTTACATGAAAAACGGTTAGCTATAGAAAGTGGTCTGTACAAGGCTGGCGTCTGGGAACGGGACACTACTGAAATATATGGATAGTAAGGCTGAAATTGTTGAGATTGACTTTCTTTATTTCGAAAAAAATGTATCTCTTCTTTTTACTTATCTAAGTTGAAAAGGACTTGAATTCTTTTCCTTGTTGTCCAGCTTAGTGTTCAGTTTAATTAGTAGCAGCAAGCCTTCTATTATTTGTAGCAATGCAGCCATAATATGGTAAATTTAAATTGAGCGATTCCAAAACAATATAGAATCTCTTATCGCATACCCGCAATCATTTTATCAGCAGATGACAAGCATTCTGTTCGGAGATGTTACAAAGGAGGATCAAACTTGCCGAATTGCCCGTAATATATATTTTTTGATGCAGTGGTTTTCAAATCTTACATGCAAAACACACACCTACACTGCTAGTTTACTTACCGCATGAGAAATGGAAACGCCTTCATTGGCTATGCGCATACACAGCTGACCAATGTGTGAGTTCCAAAAGACACCCGTGTACAAAACAGTAGTAAATGAAGGATGTTTTAGGCTAAATAAAGGTTAAATAAGAACAACCAGTCTGCCTGGTACAAGTACCTTTGGTGTCAAGTTGTGGAAGTATTTGTTGAATTACAATTATAATGGCCAAAATTGACCTCCCGAGGTGGTTAAGTTGTGTGGGTGATGAAAATCATGATTCTTCTTTCTTATTTGTGATTTAATAATAATAATAATAATAATAATAATAATAATAATAATAAGAATAAGAATAATAATAATAAGAATTTAAGAATTCTTTCCTACTAGTGTCTTATTTCTTCTCTTTAAAAAGGTTTTTAAACCTTGGAGAAAGGAGAACGACGAAACTTCTTTGCACGTTCAGCGTTGTCTTCGCTTGCCATAACTACCGTTATTTGAACATTTGCTTTACTCACGGTGTTTAAGTATTTGTGATGTACTGTTTATCATACAAATGGCACTAACCGCGAAAAACTCCTTCCTCAAAGGGTATGCCGACAAAAGAGTTCTTTTGTCTTAGGTCAAATAACACGTCCGAAGAATTAAAAGCAGAGTAGCTCCTTTGTAACTTTACCGAAAACGAGTTTGTTTAGTGGCTGCAGATGAATCTACTTCCCTAAGGTGAAACTTTGTTTTTTTTGTTTACCCTCTTAATTATAAATGTGTTGATCGCAGAGTGTATGATCAGCTCCATGCTCTGAACAGTTGACATTACGGCACCAAAATGTAGTCCATCCTCTTGATTCTTTCCTCACTGGTCTCCACGTTTGCCAATCCTGAAGGTATGATTTTCCTTAGCGTTGGCATTAAGATAAGGCTAAAACAAAGACTGAGGTTTTATTTCACGTTAACTTGAAAAAAAAAATTGAAAAGAAGTAGACGCCATAAAAGTTACCACAAGTTTTATTCTGGACACAATAGTCGATGTACAAAAAGCCTGCTTGCGTGGTAATATTTTTCTCATTTTATTTACCTTTTTAATAAAATTGTAAGCAAATGGCGAAGCTTCTAAATGAAATAAATTAAGCGCGTGATTTTAAGTTTAACGTACGTCTTAACAACTTAGTACAGCCTGTGTTTTCCAACAAACTCGCGCGGGAAACGCTTGCCAACACAAGGCAGCATGCGCAGGTTATAGTTTAGTAAGGATGATTCCCATTTTCTTAATTTTATCACATGATAGAAAGTTCAAAATTAAGGGTGGTTTTAACAAACATTCCAGACAAAGTCATACGTTTCGGGCCAATCATGCATCAAAAACAAGGACAAAATAATGCCATTGATTTGCAACTGCCTAAAGAATAATTATTGACGGCTGAAATACACTTTGTGATCCTTGTTAAGTGATTTTAATTTGTTATTTTTCCATTAACTTGCTACAAAAAAAAAAAACTTATATAAAAATTACTTATAACTAAAACCGGGGGAAACTGTAAGGCTGAACAGTTTCCATGCTCTAACTGCAGTCTCTTGGCTTCTTCAATTTTGTCCATCACTGCCTTTTTTGAACCCTTAGGGACGGACCATTAGAAAAGTTATTGGGGGGGGCGGGAATTTACGAGCCACAGGAATTTTTTTTCGTTATCAAATTCTTTGTATGAATTTTTTTTAGGCCATAGCATGAATATTTTTTGGGGTTAATTGGCGTGCATGAATTTTTTTTCATTAAATTTTCCCTTGCGCGAATATTTTTTTTGTACTTCGCCCGCTCCCCCCCCCCCACCCCCATAAGTTTTCTAATGGTCCGTCCCCTACTGTTTCAACTTCTGTTAACTTCTGCAATTTACTGTTCAAATTCAATTAGTGGCTTTTTAAATTATTGACAGCTGACCTTACCAGTAACTGGTTTTGGGTATTTTAAAATAGTCGCTTGACACATATTCTTTAATTCTCATAATATTATCCAATAAATTTGTTTTTCCTACAGAAAATTTAAACTCCAAGGATGATCTCTTTGAAGGGGATATGCGGTTTACTAACTATCAGAAAGCTGCCGCAAGAGGTCTGATTCGGTCAACGATTAAGACCAAGAAATGGACTGGGGCTGTTGTTCCTTATACCATCCATTCTTCGTTAGGTAAGAAGTGACAGGAGCACAACATCGTATTCGACTCGTCTTTAAGGGGCTTTTAAGGCCAAGTAAAAAAAGCAAAATGTTTCTCTTCCGGATTTCGTTAAAAAAGAGAGCGGACGGGCCTTTTTTTATTTGCTTTATTTTTGCCAATTGAATGCTTCTTTACAAACTGTTACCCTTCCCCAGGGATAAGTTGAAGTTCTTAGGTCAGATATGAATAAATGAAGCATCAGATTTGATTAAACACAAATTTGGTTTATTTTGATACATGTTCTAAAAACAGGCGATTCGACATACGACATATCTCAATAGGTAGCGTAATCTCGAAAAATCTTTTAAATACGATTTTTTCGTGACTTCATCGGCGTGGCGGTACTCTAATAGATAATAGGGACCTTAAGATCAGACGACGGCGACGGCGACGGCAACGGGAACCCCACAAAAGCAATAGGTTTAATAACCAAAATAACAATTTTGCACGTGCATCACGCTTTTTTGTACATTTCTTTGCCGTCACTGCGCGACTACGACGTGAAAATGCCAAATTTCACGATGCACAGAGGAAGTACACAAGCAATTTTCCTCTCTCTTTCTGAACTTAAATGTGGTTCTTAGGAATTCAACTTTAGGAGGGTTCGCCTACATTTGACAAAGTTAGTGACTTGGAGTAATCGCGATGAAGATTAAAAGGACGCGAATTCACTTTTTTAGCGACGTTTTCTCTGCCGTCGCCGTTCTCTGATCTTAAGGTCCCTAATATGCAACGATCAATCTTAGCGCGCAAAGCTCTCACTGCATTGTGTAACAAGAAATAAAGAAAATCATAATAAGGTACTGCGGGTAATTTGGGGGTGGGGATGAGAGGTGAATAAGACAAACATGATAAAGACGAGTTACATAACTTCGTTTACTTATTTTGATTTTGACATAGCAAATGAACAATGGGCAGTGAACGCCATTAAAGGAGGAATTGCAGAATGGGAACAAAAGACATGTTTACGTTTCAAACAAAGATCAAATGAGAGGAGTTACCTGGAGTTCTTTTTGGGAAGTGGGTAGGGAGAAAGATTTCTTGTATTGTTGATACCCCATTTCATAAAAGAAACGTCAAAACTGAGCATAATTGTTTCTATAATTAACAACAGCCTGATTTCGTTTTTCGTGTATACTTATCTTGTTACCATTGCGCTTGAATAGAATTCCGCGATTGAACAAATTTAACCAACTTTTTGCCAAAAAAGCAAGGAAATATATCGGAATCCTTAATCATAGTTCATATTTCTTGTCAAATTTTTGGTTCTTTTTTTATACAGAATAAAAAAAAATTAATACAATGCAGAAAAATTTAAAAAAACCGAAAAACTTAATGAAATTATGACAATGAGTTCAATCATCATCATCACAATCACGACAACCTTCACGATCACGATCACGCTCAACTATCACAATCACCATCAAAGAGTACCACAACCATCACAATCCACTACCACAGTCATAATCATAATCATAATGATTATCATAATCATAGTCATATTCCCGGGTAGAGAATTTTTATGCGCTTTTCCCGTCATCGTCGTCATCCCCACCACAATCACGATAACGATCACGATCATAATTATAACAAAAATCATAATCCTGATAATCTTTATTTTAATCAACCATTATCATCATCATAAAATAATACTATCATAATACTGGGTAGAGAAGTTGTGCTTTACCCATCATCAACGTCATTGCCATATCATTCACGACTTAACGGGAGCGGAGGAGTATGAAGTCGTTACAGAAAGCTTGTTTTTCAATGAGAAAAGAGATGAGTATAGGCTAAGGAGACAGGAGGACACGTAGTGAAAATAGACCATAATCACAATACTAACACCAATACTGTACTTAGTCCAAGGATAATAATAATAATAATGATAATGATAATTATTTTAAGTCATAATGTAATTTTTCCTTTAGTTGCTGGTCATGGGTAGGAATGAATGGCGGAAAACAGCAAGTTTCGCTCGGTAGAGGTTGTTGGTATACAGGTGTTGCAGCTCACGAAATTGGTAAGCAGACACAATGATTCAACAGTTGGAAACGATTTTAAAACGTTTACTCCAAAAAAATCAAGCATTGTCTTATTTTATCAATCTGCTGTCACCTTGCCATTATGAAGCTTGAGTCTCGCTAATGATAATTTTCCGTAAATAGCGGCACTGTAGATGGCAATTAACTATAATGAGGTAGGCAGAAAATATTTACGGTTTCATTATTAACAGTTACATTAATAAATTGTTCTAATTGATTTGGTCTGTAAATTAAATCGCCTTGGAAAACGTTTGCAGGAAAGCGTGTATGCTTCTGATAAAGCAGAATGAGGATTATCTTTAACTGCAACTTTCTTTATCGAAAGCGCTATATTATACACTTAATGTCAGATCCCAAGGGAAACAGTTAGTTTTGTTTTCCCGAGAGTCCTGATGTTTCCCGAGACGAAGTTGAGGGAAACATCAGGACTCGAGGGAAAACAAAACTAACTGGTTTCCCGAGGGATCTGACATTAAGTGTTTTGTTATATTTCTAGAACTTTCACTTCAACAGCAACAAAAGAATAACCGGAGCGAACCAAAACAGTCGACTCGGTACTTATAACAACACAAATTTAATTCCCAAAACCACTGAATGAATGATTTACAAACAAAAGTACTTTCCTTATATCATCTGCATCTTTTTCCTCCACTAGCTGCTGTTTTTCTTCGACTGGGAACTTCTGAGATAACTTTAAAAATGGTTGCTTTTTAGCTTGAGGCTTCGTGGTTGTGTTGTTGTGTTCATTCACGAAAAAGAAAACCGGCAGGACCTGGCGGTGTTTTTCCCGCCTTCTGTCACGCCACTTTCCACCATGCTTTGATCACGTGCTGCAATGTATCCCGAGCGGGATACATTGTTTAATGTATCACGATCGGGATACATTTGATTTTAGTCAAGGCCACGTGACCAAGAATCAACCAATGGCAGTCCCTGTTTAGTTGAGTGAAATTCTAGGAATATAACAATTATTTTTAATGTATGTTTTATAACAACAGGACACGCTCTTGGTTTTTACCACGAACAGTCCAGACCCGACCGAGATCAGTACGTCAAGATATTTTGGGAAAACATTTCTTCAGGTATCTTTTTTTATTATCAGTATTATTATTATTTTTTTGCCCCGCCCTTTTAATAGTAGATCATACAAACCGTTAAGAATCTTTTCCGTAGCCGAGTCACAACGATGATGTGAGAGCGATACTGAGTGATATTAAAGTGGTTACTGATGACAATTTTATTCATACTGTTTATTCAAAGTACTGATTTCCAAGTCAACTGAAGGTATTACTTCTATTACACGGGAACCTGTCCCTGCGTATTTTTCGCAGTTTTAAACAAACGGATATCAACAAACGCATTATAAATAAGCAGATATATAAGGTCTTTGTGGCGACTTCGGGGATAATAGAATTCTGAAATTTGTAAAATTCCTGAAAAAAGTGATTATCAATGTCATTTATTTGCACAGGGTGTTTAATTTACTGTCCAGAACGCAAATTTTCTTCTTCTAGTCCAGTCCATTTCCTAGACCTTAGACCTCAAGGAATTTTCAAAAAAATATACTCGTGCTCACAGAGACAAGCAGAGAAAATACTATCTACTCTGGTGAATAATGAAGTTATTCATCTGCTTTAAATTTCTCGATAATTTTACCTCACAACCCGGTAGGTAAGATCCTAAACAACGTATTGAGTTCATAATCCCTGGAGCACACTCCCAATCTGATGATCCACTATAGCCAAACTAAAGGTGATGTTACACGGAACGATTTGCAACAACGATTTTTAGGGCAACACAGCGTTACAATGTTGGAACAATGTTGTAACCATTCGAAACAATGTGGCAACAATGTTGCGACGCTGTGTTGCGCTAAAAATCGTCGTTGCGAATCGCCTCTTGTAACATCACCTTAACGACATCTGTTTTCAATTTTTTTTAGGTCATGCGCATAACTTTAACAAATACGGAACGAACTTTGTTACTACTTTTGGGACACCGTATGATTATAACTCCGTTATGCACTATTCTCGAAGAGCTTTCTCGAAGAATGGGCAGAACACAATCGTCGCACTCAGTGATCCCAATGTAAGATTTCCTCAGAGATAAAATGTTGTTGGAAATGATCTTTTATAATCTGATGATCACAGAACTGGTACATCTTCACCGGTTTGTTCAATCTGACAGCTAAGTTACTGTCTGTATTTATTTTATTTTATTTTTTTTTTTGAGCTGCTACATGACCCTTTTTTTTTTGCCAAGAACAGAATATAAACACAACACTGTGCATATATATCACCTTTAAGCACGGAACTCATGTCCTCGTCATTTCGTCATTTCCGTTTTTTTAACCAGCACCTTTTTTATTCCAGATTGCTCTTGGTCAAAGACGAGGCTTAAGCAAAATCGACGCGGAAGAAATGAGTTTGCGATACGGATGCGCTGGTTTGTAAATTTTTGCTTGCCTTTTTATCTTTTGTGAACGTGATTGTTTTATTTGTTTTTGACAGAGTTTTTGGTGTTATTGCGTTTACTTGCGTGTAGTATATAATGGCATTCTCGTATAGGGATACAAACGCTTAGGAATTAACGGGATGCGGAATATTAAGGCCACAAACCAATGGCAAACGGGATACTCAGAACCCCCTAAATGCGGCCTCTTTGGTCTCTCCGGGTCAGGTACATGTAGTTAAATGCCATACACTCACGTCACATCGCTACGACGAATTTGAACGTACGTCAATTGCCATGTGAGCTTATAAATTAGCCGGCCTTTCTAACTTTATGTCTGGGGAGAAATTTTTTGAGAACTGGGAACCGGTTTTTCTTATTTAGAGATTCTTCAGGAGCCAGACGTCTTTGAAGATCAGCAGATATAGTGACATTTGAAATTTACCTTTAAACTTTACGACTGTTAATATTAATCTGCATTTTGGACGGTTAAGGGTAATAATTGACCGTTTTTACTGTTGACGGTTAACCCCACTGAGACCCTGTGCGTATAGTTTCATTTTTATTGCCCTTTGAGATGCGTAACCTTCTTTTTGGATTTATTTTCAAATTTCATTGTAGGAGCAACTCAGGGTCCTCAGCTGACAACCTTAACGCCAACTGCGCCTTCTACAGCTCCTCCCACAGCCCCGCCTACACCACCTCCTACAGGTAAGTCCAATTGCAACACTACAAGCCTGAAAGTCATTACTGATATCAATTACGGTCACATAAATAAGCTATTTGTCTGACCTCTAGGGGCCTACAGATGGCATGGGATCTGCTTGTAATTAGCTTTATCCAAGAGACCTGTACGTAGATTTAAGACAGTCTTCGATTCTGGATTCTACTCTGTGGATTCTGGACTCCGAGTACTGGATTCCGGATTCCAATCATAAGCGGGATTCCGGATTCCTTGATCTGAATTCTAAGGATTCCGGATTCAAAAAGCAAAACTTTTATGGTTTATCCTTGTTTCATGGCAGTTAATCTATCTGTTCACCGCAGATTGCAAAGATTCCGAGTGGTACGCTGATCAGTGTCCAACTTTGGCACAATACCCAGGGTACTGCCAACACCACCATGAATGGACGAAGAAATACTGCGCTAAGTCTTGTGACTGGTGTTGTAAGTATTTATTCGATTTAGCTAGATTTCTATAATGCATTTTGCATAATTCCTCTAAGACGCGCCGTTGAGTCTAGCTCCAAACTATTAGAAAGAGCTGATGAATGAAGGGTACGCTTCTTAAGAAACTGTGATGTTGGAGGGTGGTCGATGGGGAAGTGGAATGTAAAAATTTGACCACCATAATAGGAACTGGATGCTAAAAGTTTTGGGTACTGAGCCTTTTTCAGGGCGAATAAAGGGATTGTGGGCTGCGCAGTATGGTTTATATACACGGACAAAGTGGCAGGAGCGTTTCTAAGTGAATTGGTCGGAGAATCAGCGATAACGCCAAAATCAAGAATGTAATGTTGAGTTGAATCAAGATCCCATAACATGAAGCGAGCAACTTCCATGTACTCGTGTCACCACGTTTTCACCTACCAGTTTAATTTATTTTTAGAACGACTGGCACAAATTTAGAAAATCTCTCAACTCCCACAAGCCAGTCAGCAGCGAAACCTATAAAGTATAGTATAAATTTAGTCCTTCAAATGGCCTTTAGTTCTTACACTATCTGACATTTCAAGTGCGTTCATAGAGGGAGTGTACCTTCCATTTTCGCGGAAAAAAGTGTTCTAAAAGGTATCTAAGAATAAAACGGTCCGTTAAAACGCCGTGACATAGACCTAAAAAAAAGCTGCTTGCTCCAATTATGGGCTCCTGGTTAAATGAAATTAAAAAAGCGTTCGTTGATGCAGTGGGGGTCAAGAGTGTGAAAATCAAAGGATGGAGGGTTGTGTGTGGTTAATACACACGGACGGAGTATAACGTTCGGATTGGTGGGATTATCAGTGGCAACGCAACCAAAAAAAGATGAATGAAAAAGAGTTCGTTGATTCCATGCATGGGGGATAAAGAGGGTGACCGGTTTTAAAGATAAATTTTTGCTCCAGATCATTTCTTTCGGCTTTCCATGTGGGCTTGTTGTAGAGAGAGAGAGAGAGAGATCTTTCCAACCAATACATGGTAGTCTATTTTATCACCTCATTTGATAAAACGAAATTTTTGCCGTACGCGGAGCAAGTTTCTTTCTCTTATAATTAAGTAATGACTAGTAGTAATACATGGCTAAACAGGCTTTCGTCTTCATCTAACATTATAGCGGGTTTAATCTATTTTGTTTTTACCTACAGAACGAAAGCTGTACCCTGTGAAAGTTATCAGTCAGTAACGGATGTGGATATTAATTATTTTAAAATTTAACATACTGCACTTACATTACTCAGTTATGCCTGTTCTAAATTTCTCACGGATTAAAAAAATCACGACTGCTGAAATTTCTCCACTCTCACAAGTCCATTATTAAGTCTTCTTGAGTTGGGTTGGAATACATTGGGGTGCATTATTTTTTTCAACTGGTAAACGTGGAACGTTTGAGTGCTTAGCCACCTCACAAGTGCATCCATGAATCTTTGCTGCATTGTTTAAAAATTCCTATAGAAATCGCTTATTAATAGCGACTTAGAAGTTTGAGTCCTGTAAATTCCCGATAAATCTTCGTGTATGGTAGTAACGTGTTCCCGCAGATTCGAAGCGCTTAGTGGTTTATACTTATTCGCATTGTCCAGGAACAAGAGAAGAAAGAGCAAGAGAGAATGAATTAAGAAAAAAAACGATTAATTCTCAGGAATATCAAGTTTTCTAATAAATTCTTTAATTGGTAAAGGGCATAACATTGCTGATACAACCGGTGAGGATTGTATTGAGCTTTCTTTGACTGCGCGGATTTGCGAGATGTGACACAGTTAGTGCTTTTGCCAGCTGAAAAAAAGGTAATTGGTTGTTTTAGTTGAAAATGGAAAAGCAAAGCAAGGAATCAGTTTAATATATTTGCCACGTTAACTCTGCAAGTGCTTGAAGAATGGCATGTTCAATCTAGATTGTTTGTGAAGCTATACGTACACTCACATGTCATATTTACACAGCTAAGTCCAGGTACAAATGATGTCAATAAAGAAAAGATATTGTTTGTTCGGTGCAATGAGGAGAAACCTGGAACCTATATCTTGTGATGATTGTTTCAAGGAGCATTGCAAGGAGCAATTATAATTACAACATACTGACAAATCCCGCGGAATACCCAACAAAGCTTTATAACGAGAGGCTCCTTCCCGTTAAATCCAAGCCTTTGCCCTTTTACAAACTATTTTTTGACAGAAAAAGGTTCTCCCCTCGTATACCCTCTATTAAAAAATGGTACCCCTTTCAAACACATAAGTCAGTAAAGCAGAAAGTTTTCTTAACTTGTCACAGCCATAAAATACACTCTCAATTAGCACTTTTTAACAATTTTCCAGACCAAAATTACAGATTTTCCGAACCTTAAATTTTAATACCTTAAGCCAGAAAAACATACCCGTTTCGGGTGGAGCCTACCGGTTTAGGCCGTTACAGGGAGTCCACTTCCTTTGGCCCCCACCCCCGGAAACGGGAAACTCAGTCTCCTGTGTTACCAAAGGAAGGCGTTCCTTTTCAAATTGGAATTGATGGTGCCAGATTCTAAAGATATCAGTTTAATTTCATTAATCGACAAAAATTTCTCATGGCCTGTACTCTTATCGACCATAGAAATGACGTCAAAATGTGGAACCACGAGCCGCAGGCTCAAAAAAAAAAAGTTCGGCCCTTCGGGCCTCGGTTCGGTCCAAAAATAAGGGGAGGGGGTAGGCTTTGGTAGATTCTGCTAGCATAATTTTAAGCATAATTCAGCAAAACGAGCGTTGTTTTAAGCTTGTATTTCAGTTTAGCACTGCTGGCATAATCCGAGCTTTTATGCGTTGAAAACGAAAAAAACCATCATAGCTCTAGAATAATTCAGTTTGTATTTTATTCCCACATTGTTTTTGGAAAATATTGAGGTCTGTGCTAAGGCCCATGGTCAAATATGGTCCGGCAGGTGGCAGAGGTCACCCTGAGACTGAGACTCAGGCCACCACGCTTATGGCTCGGCGGCTCGGCCCCTCAGATGGGGTCTTCCTTGAGTACATCCACTTCCACCACTTCCAGTGCCGTACCGAGAGCTTTAATCTCTAGAGAACGTGTTCCTAAAAGTAATACCGGAAAGTACAAGGAAAGAGGTAATGTATCGGTCAAATCGAAGCTTCAACATGCCCCCCCCGGGCATACCCCGGGCATTTGACACCTTTGCCGTCCCGGGGAGGAGGGAATTTGATTATCAGAGTCTTCCAGGGGGTGGGGAATTTGATCCCCATGCTTTAGGGGTGGGGAATTTGAACTGCACCCTCGATTTCATGTAAAATCTTTGGCGTGGTGAGCTATGGGGGACGCGGTGTTAGAGGATTTTAGTGGAAAAGATTGTACCTTTGTGGCCAATTGGTTACGAGGAAAGGGCTTAAACAAGCTTTGTGGCGTATTTGAAGTATTTAAATTTAAAATTTTTAATATTGGATTCAGACTTTTAATGTATGAATGTATTTTACTGTTGTGTTTACAATGAAATACCATACCTATAGCGGCGATTTAATACAACAACAGAAAATAAAATAGAATAAAAAGCTCAGGTCAACTACTTAATGATCTATTGCAAGCATGTTGATTAATAAGGTTAGCGATGATGCGAGTCAGTGAAATGGTCATGATGTAGTAATCTCAATAGGTGGAATCTTTTTTATAGAACGCTTTGTATGTTGCATGAGAAAGAAAAGCTGAGCATTCAGTGACCTTGTAGCAGCGATTTTCGCCGCCTTGCACGAGACTTTTGATCGTAGTAAATACGCTAACAGTGTTTCTCAGTTTTTGCTATACTTATAAAGATTTTTTTCGACAACTGAACGCGTTTCCGCCGTCCTTCTGTCATTTTTCTGCCTGTGAAATGTCCCCGGGGTGGGGGCATTTGATCACCTGAATGGACCCCAGTGTGGGGCATTTGAACGGCATTTTGGCCCGGGTAAGGGGGAATTTGAACAATAATTTTCAAAAAAGTCAAATGCCCGGGGGGTTGCCCGGGGGGCATGTTGAAGCTTCGATTTGACCGGTACATAACACAGATCCAAAGAACATGAGTCCTCGCGATCGAATCGAAGAATTCCCAGGGGAAAATTTGTATCTCCGAGGTGGAAAACTGTTTTGCAATGGGTGTTAGGAGATACTGAGCTCTAAAAAGAGCATGCTCAAAAACCACTTGGCTTCCAAAAAACATGCCGCAAGCAAAGAGAAGTTAAAAGTGACAAAAAAGCGAAATCATGTGCGCACATGCGTATTTGCCACCCTAAAGACTGTAAGACTGGAAGGTGGACTATATGAATGTTTATTAAAGTCAAAATTGATAGAGTTAAGCTACTGATGATCTTTAATTTCCTTAAAATCAGTGTAAAATCTAAGTAGCATAATTTCGGTGACAGAGAGCATAATTTTCAGAAAGTAGCATAATTTTGGCATAATTTCGGTTAAATATGAGCACTTCTAAAAGCATAACATGCTTTTTTTTCGAGCACAATCTACCAAAGCCTAGGGGGGGGGGGGGGGCCCCGGGCCCCTCCCCTGGATCCGCCACTGAAACAAGTTGCGCTCATCTCGTCAAAGTCCGGAGGTCACGGGTTCGAATCCCGTTGAAGCCCTGATTTTTTTTTTTTCAGGCTTCTTCTTTCCAATTGCTTAAATTGGAAAATTTACTGCAATGATCATTCTTCACTCTCAAAGTCCATTTAGTTGTAGCCTTGCGAGAGGTCGGGTAGTACGATGACTGGTCTTATTAATCGGTCGGTATGTGTCGGTTTTATGTAAATTGTCGTTCGTAGTCTGTTGTTGTGGCGAGTGACAATGCAGTCTAGAAAAGTTTTTTTTACAATTTTCCGCGTTCTGCCTGTTAAGGTGTTCGTGAAAATCGTCGATTTCGTCTTTGTGTACAGCGGTGAATCTGTCGTCAACGTAGCGTAACCAAAGAGGTATGGTTCGCTTATAAGTAGCTAGGGCTTGTTCCTCGATGTTTTGCATAACAATTTCTGCTACAACAACGGAAGCTGAATTACCCATAGCTGTACCGTGTAACTGTTTGTAGTGAAACTACGTCGAAATCAAGAGGTTGAGTAGGTTCATAACGGCCGAATTTATACTGGAGACGTGTTATCAGTCTAGACAGATTACCCGTCAGACGGATAATTCGTCTAAGTATAAATCCGAAGACAAATTTTGACGAATAATTTGTCTAGATATGTATTTATTTATCCCACGAGACATTGCGAAAATATAGAAAGAAACCAGTCCCTCTCACGTGGAAACTTTGTCAAAAAACCGTCTAAGGTCCGTCTAGATATAAATCTAGAGACGGATAATCCGTCTAAGATGAATTATTCGTCTAACAGACGAATCAGCAGACCAATTTTGCTCCATAATTCGTCTTCAGGTGACCGAATTTTTACTAGAGACGAATTATCCGTCTGAGACGGATTATCCATTTACTTAGACGGATAATTCGTCTCTAATATAAATTCGGCCAATGTCGTCTGTAGGTAGTGTATAGTTCAACAATACAGTTCTTAATAGCGTTCACAGTACAGTCTGAAGAACAGTGATTTCACATCAAAAGAAACTGTTTGTGGTCGTCAGGTAGCTGTATTGTCTTAACCAGGCGTCAATAAAGTTCTCAGTAGACTGTAGTTTATGTCCGGATTCGTCAGTCAGAGGCCTTCAGTACGCTAGTTAATTATTTAGACATTATTTGGTAACACGGTTATCTACAGAAAGAAATTATGGGCCGCAGAGGTACGTTGGGTTTATGTAGTTTCTGTAGTCCATACAGTTTGGGTGGCTGCAGAACATGTATTAAAATGTTATTATGGCAATTATGGTTTAAGGGACATGTTCACGGTTAAGCGCATGCTCATTAATTAAATTACTTTTTCCAATTTATCATTAATTCTATAGGTTAATAATCCCACTCACATGTATCTGAGCGATTTCAGAGTGTATTTCAATGTAGAAGTGTATTTCAGAGTAACAAAGTAGGACGGAGAGTACTAAAATCGCAGAAAAAATTAGTGGATTATGCCAACACCCACGTTGAGTTTATTGAGTGTTAATGATATATGAAATAAATCATATATGAACTGCAGAAATGAAATGAAAATGAAGAAATGATCGTCGCAGTGAACGTAATTTATGCAATTGCGTAAAGAAGCCGGTATCGGTCGTGGGTGGTTATTGTTATTACGCATTTATTTAAAGCGTATGAACGAACAGCAAATTGGCAGACTCCCCTCTTTGCACGGTCACGGAAACTTGTACAATATAACTCTGACAGAAACGATCTTGAAAGATGGGAGAAAGAAGACAGTTTACCTGGGAAGAACTGGTTTCTTTAAATCAAAAACACAACGCACATATAGCTGTTCGCGGAAAGGTGAGAAAAATAGGCACGAATGATTGAATTGGCAAATATTGTTTCGCAGGGAGTATTTGGGAGGTTTAGCTAACACGAAGACGACCGCAATCAAAGAATGACCAAACAGGGGCACCCAACGAAAATATAGTTCAAAACCACTCAAACATAGCATTGATGAACGTATTTTAGTATTTAAACGGTAGATATAGGCATATTTTTATCTCTAAAAATTATTCATCTGTTCGGATTTCCTAGCTGAGAGTCTAGTGATCCGAAAATTATAGGAAATCTCAAATCGTCTTCCGAACAGATATTATCCGAAAATTGACGTTGGGTGCCCCTGACCAAAAGCTTTGGACTTGGTTTTAATTAGGAGAGATGATGAAAACAACAGCACTGTTCACTCCAGCAAAATTTGCATTCATGTGACCAAATTGAGGAAAGCAAATTCTTTTAAAAGAGAAGAGAATCTCTTTCATTTAACGGCCATTGGCATATTAATTTGTTTTTGTATTTGGGGTTTGCATTTCTACTGCGACGAGAATCTATTCTGAGTGGCTCACACCAACATTTTTTTCAAGGCGTTCACGGGTAACTCGACCTCCTAAAAATACAATATCTAGAACAGTTTTTAACAAAGAAATTTAATGATCCTTAATACTTGGCAAGTTTTATGCATCATTTCCTAAACATATTGGCCCAAGGACTGAACGGTTGATTTAACTTAGGCATAGAGGGATTAAGATAGGATAACAGCAAGCGTCGGTGCTTCAGTTGGAATTTCTTATTTAATAATGTATTATAATTCAGGAAATTGTACGCTTAATATGTATTATACAACAGACCAAAACCCGGGAGAATGGTTTCAAATGTCAAACATCATACGTACATACTTACATACGTGCGTACATACATCATAAGGCACCTACATGTAATCATAAGTACCATTCAATAGTACCTTTTCAAGTTGTTATTGGCCTTTTCCTGCCCGCCCACAGATAATGGTTAGCTCATGCGCATGACATACTGGCCCTTGGTTGACGGTTGAATTTGCTGCACATAACAACAACATCAACAAAAACAACATGATCAACTTCAACTTCAACTTCAACTTTATTTCATAGGACTATTGGTTACAATAGACTGGCCCGCAAAATAGCAATTGCTAATCTAGGCGGACCAGTTAAAAGAAAAATAAATTGAAAGGAAAAGAAAGGAAAGGAAAAAGGAAGGAAAACTACAATTTTAAGTTACAATAAATAATATTCTATCACAGTTTTATTTTAATTACATTAAATCTGAAAAAGCAAACAAACAAATATACTTTAATACACAAATCACTAAACTACTAATCGAACTTTTTCAACTATTAAGGGCGTTTCAATATAGTCATCTTCTCTTTTTAAGATATCCGAAAGCAATCTGTGAAGTACTTTCCTAAATTTCTTTTTAGGAAGATCTCTAATATGACAAGGCATCTCATTCCAAAGTATTACACCAAAGCGAGACAAGGAGTTTTTGTGTATTTCCAGCTTTGAGCTTTTGAAGTGAAAGTTACCTGAACTAGATGATCTTGTATATAAGTATGAATGAATTGTTGAGGTTTTTTCAAATAAATTGAGCAGATTTGTTGGCGAATTGTTGTTGTTAATATCGTGCATTAGATTAGCCACAGTTTTATAATACATAAAAGACACTGGTAATATGTCAGCGTCGATAGATAGAGGAACTGCGTGTTCACGTATATCCGTAAAATACATCATGCGAAGCACTTTCTTCTGGAGAATTAAAATTTTATTGAGAGACGTCTTGGATGCCTGACCCCAGGCAGCAAGACCATAGTTTAGGTGAGGGTGGATTAATCTTTGGTAAATACATAACAGTATATGACGGGGTATGGAGTGCCGAAGTTTTGAAATTAGTCCAACGGTTTTACTGATTGTTGCCTTAATGGCGTCAATGTGATATTTCCAAGTAAGATTTTTATCAATCAACACACCAAGATATTTAATATAATTTTTGGACTCTAGAGTAACATTTCCATTTTTTTCGTTATCGAACATGTAGAGGCTCGGTTGGTAAGTGACTTTTTTTTGATAAGGATGAAAGATTACAAAGTTAGTTTTTGTAGTATTGAGAGTTAACTTATTGGATGTTAACCATTCGTGGAGGTTTTGTAATTCGATATTTACTATATTTTCTAGGGACTTTAAGTTTTTATCGGCATAAAAGATATTAGTATCATCTGCGAAGAGATAAAACTTAAGTTTATTCGAGCATTGATGTATGTCATTAACATACGATAAAAAAAGCAACGGGCCGAGCACAGATCCTTGGGGAATGCCATAACTTACGTTGGCTTTGTTTGAAATGTATGGTCCGATTTGGGTAGATTGCATCCGATTATTCAAATACGAGGAGAACCAATCATTAATAATTCCACGAAAACCATAGTGATTAAGTTTGTCAAGCAAAATGTTATGAAAGAGGGCTAAATTGCCTCTAAAAGCAAAGTAAGGCAGCTCTTTGAGTGTTGATCTTTGAGCTTTTTCTTGGACCTTATTTCTACGGCGTAACTTCATTTTGAGCTAATTTAAGCGATAGAGCGAAGAAGGTTTTCAGAATTACCCCGCTTAATGCAACTCTAATATCTCAAAGTACTTAGCTTATCGTGACTCCCTCAGTTCATTTAATTCGTCTAGGCTTGTTAGCTTTATGACTGTTGATGTTTCCGTTTTGCGCAGACAGACAGCTCCGTTTTTCGCCCAACAGAATTTGAAGTTATTGGCGTTCTTGTATTTCTTGCTCTCGAAGAGAAGCTCCTGTAGTCGAGGAGTTAGATGATCATACAAGTTAATATGACTGATATCAAAATCGTCAGGGAAGCCTAACTGTGACGCCTCGAGGTTCTCCAATCTCCTTCGCGCAGCCATAACTTTTCCCTTTGCCAGTCTTCGAGTAAATTTGCAAACGATAGCATTCGGCCTGTTCGAGGCAGAACGGTTCGGTATCCGATGAGCAATATCTATGTCGTTAAGCGAAACATCTTCAACTCCAAGAGCTTCAAACAGCCTAAGGAGTGTCGATGGATTTAGCAATTCGGTCGCAGAGAATGGAGATTTCGGCGACTCTAGTAAACAGTTGTTTGATTTGCTTCACCGCTTCGTCTTTGAAGGCGACAAGGTCGTCATATTTACTGGAGACGAATTCAAGCGAATGAGCACATTCTGACGACATTTTCTTCTCGGCGTCCGGCTTCGTTAGCCTGCGTGCAGACGATAACTAAACTTCGAGTTTAATTTCGTCTGCGCGCAGGCTAGGCTTCGTCAGCTCCGCTTTCTTTGACGAAAATTCTTCGGAAATTTTCTGGAGTTCTTCTTTCAATTCAGCTATCTCATTTCGTAAAGATTGATTTTCCTTCCTCAGCTTTTCATTCCCGGTCATAATTGGCAGAAGAAAGACTCAAATTCTAATCTTAGCTCGGAGAGCTCTTAAACACACGTCCGACCAGTACAAGCACCGCACCAGTCTCATGATCATTTATTTTACTGGAGGACTTAAAACTGTGATCTATTAATATAAAGCCCTTCAGCAATCCAAGGCCGGGCGAACAAAATAAAGAACGAACATTACCGAAATTGTTTGACATGTTTGATCGACACGCAAAATATTGTTGTTGAACCAACTCGGCTTACACTTCAAACAAAGACGCTGTTTGATATTTGTTGCCCACCGCAAGTATAGCCTAGTGTATGACTTGGCGAAAGCAAGATAACAATTAACGATACCGCTAAGCGTGAAGTTAGCGCTCCTCTAATGGCTAAAATTAAAAAAAAATTAAAAAGAGGAAGTAGAAATTATTTTTTGTTCAGAAGGAATTCACGAAAATAATTTGCACAGCCGTATGAAACTAACTTTAGCGGTTGAATAACAACAAACAAAGATGGAAAAGCAAAAGAACTGTAGAATCAGCATTAGCAATAGCAAGGAACCATTGGGAAGAGATATACCGGCATGTCTGATATATATTTTCTTAAATACCGTATTTATTCATATAAGCGCAGAACCTCGAATTAGGGCCCACCTCGAATAAGCGCCCATCCTAATGGCAGAAAAAGGTAATAGGTGCCCAGCCTCGAATAAGCGCCCACCACCACCCCACCCCCTTCCAACGATGTCGGACATTGAGAAGGCAGCACCAGAGAATTCACTAATTATTGACGTGAGCGACAATGAGATGGAAATTGACATTGAACAAGTGCTATTAAATGGGAGACTTTGCCGACGACGGATTTTTATTCAGAGTATTTTACTGAAACCTTGCTTGGTTACATCTTCGCGTTTTCTTATTTTCGTTTATTGTGCATGTTTTGTTGCAAAGTAAACATACTATATTGCTGAAAATGGTGAAAATCTAATAAGCACCCAGCCTTCGATAAGCTCCCGCTCTCCAGGTCCAAAAATTTTAATATAAATTTTTTGGGACCTGGGCGCTTGGAATAAATACGGTAAGACCATGTACTTTTCAAAGTGTAGGGAAAAGTCAGTAGAAGACCAAAAACATTTTTCTTGCTGTTCCGCCGACGGAATTCATTTTACAGGGCACACTGACTTATTATTCTAAATTTTACGTTCTTATTGTTCCTTTAGGTTTATGATGTCAGCAAATTTCTCACACATCATCCAGGCGGTTCAGATGTCCTTCTCATGGCGGCAGGAAAAGAAGTTACTATCGTGTTTGAGACATATCATGCCTTCAGTGACGTTGCCCCCAAGTAAGCTCTTGAAGTAACTCTAGGTTCTCTCTATACATACTTATTCGTTCCAGACTGTTCTTGGACGTGTGTTCTCCTTAGTGCCCTGGCTTTAACAGTACTGTGTCAGCGATACCCTTGAGTGAGGGGTCTCGGGTGTTTCTGCGATTTTTTTAGGCTTGTCATACACGAGTAGCTATGAAGTCAGCGTATTAGAAAACCCTTGTTATCGCCCGGTCGCACCTGAAAACGATAATTCTTCGTATTTCGAAGATTCCACGTTCAGTCTGTTTTCGAAGACGATTGTTTCCTTAACCCTCCTCAAAAGGGGGCGAAAAGGGAAGACGTATAAAAAGGTATACCGTAAATGCTCGAATTAGTGCCCGGGACGCTTATTTAATTTTCTAATACGCGAGGGGCCGGGGGAGCTAATTCGAAGGGGGACGCTTATTTGAAGGGGGGCGCTTATTTCGTTTATCAATTTTTAGCCTCAAAATGACACTATCTTTATTTAGCAAGCTGGTTATAGGTTGGACATGTACCCATTGAACTTTTCTTCCTCGTGTTTACATTTCTACGAGCTCATGAGGATAATCAGGTGGCAGTTGAAGTCACTGGAAGCAGGAAACTTGAAAATGGCCTCGTAATTCCAGGAACTTTTAAGGCAGTAACAAGGAGCCGGCGATTGGGAGCAAAAGTGTACGAGGAACTTAATAAAGTGAAGCAGCTATTATATGTGCTTACATGGATATTTCTATCAAGGAAATGAGAAGCAAACCTGTGCGACTTTGAAAGGACATTGCTGTTTATACTGTATAACAACGTCACATTTCATTAAAAGAACAGTATAGACCGTATACTTCTCGCATATCGTACCGAGTACCGAAACTCATTTTTTCTCGGGGGGAGGGGGGCGCTTATTCCAAATTTTGAGCCTTAGGAGGGGCGCTAATTCGAAGCGGGGCGCTTATTTGAAGCTGGGCGCTAATTGGAGCATTTACAGTATGTGCATTCAAGCAAAGACGCTTTTAGTCTGGACAAGATAAAAACACCTCGGGCGAAAAAGCCTTTTCGACAAATCAGAGGTGAAGGTTTTCAAATTCCCGCCCATGGCACTGACACGGCAAGGCCACTGCGATGGGTTCTGATTCGCTTACTGGTCCAAGCACTTTTTCGCCGACCAACATTTTTCCGGTCTAAGGGCGGGAACAATCAGGTCACGTTTTGATTGGCTTTCTAGATAGGGAAGATAAGTTGCCGGTTGACGAGAAGAATTACGACACCAGCCCTTAAGTTGAGAATGATGCCGACCAAAACCAACAGAATTGTGTTCTCTTGCTAGAGCCAAAGTAAATAATTAGTGGGCAATTATACCTTTCGCCCAGTAAGCCCAGCAGAACTTCAAACCTAGCACATGAAAAGCCTGCGAGAAGAGCAAGTTAAAATTCAAATTGTTTTGGGATCACTAAAAATGGTGTAAGTCAGATGGTATGTCCCCCATACCCTTGACTGACATGTTAAGGACAAAAATTCAACAATTATTGTGAGAGGGACCCAGCCTTGAGTCATTATAACGATCCATAGTATGGTAGGAAAGTTGAAGAACTGACACATTTAATTTTTCTTTCAACAGAACGTTACAAAAGTACTATGTTGGTGATCTTGTTACCAATAAGTTTCCAACTTTCCCCGAACGTGGGTAAGCAGAACCGAGACAAAAATAAGGATGAAAGTAGTTTTAGCAAATGTCAAATGAATGCTTGCAAAATTGTGAACTTCCTCATGGTTGACGAGACGAACTTCAATTCTGAAGGTCGGGGCTCACTTTTTTTTGTTTTTCTAAGTAAAATGCTAAATTGAAGTTGATTTATTGGACAAAAAGCTTTTCTGCACATTTATCTCCACCAACGTGTAATGCTCGGATAGCCCTGTGTCCGAATGACTAATATCCCTCCACGATGCTTTGTGCGGTAGAACTCCAGCTACGATCGCTCGAAATGCACTTAAGAAGTTTTTTCTTTGGAAGTAGCTATTTTTACAGTCAAATCAGTTACTGGACATCTCCCAAAAACGTACACATAGAGTTATTCCCGGCCTTCTTTATAGTCATTTCCTGACATTGAAACACCGAAATGAGTCGGGCACCTTGCGCTCGGTCCAATCGATGCTTTACAGAGAGCAGCTGGATTATCTACGTTATTAGTTTAAAAACTGGATCCATTTAAACCAGCTGTAGTTATAATGTTTAATTTTATTAGGAGATGTGTACTGCTCGGCACGTTCTATAGGTTAAAATGTGTTTATTGCAGGGCCTTTTACAACACAATGAGAGAGAAGGTAAAGAATTATTTCAGGGAAACAAAACAGGTAAGCTGCGTCAGGGGCTCCTGGCTGCGTATAAATCGATCTAGAAATATTGAACAGCATTTATAACCATATCGACTTGTATTCTACTATTTACTAGGATAGAGAGAGTAATATCCAAAGCGTGCGTGTTCCATGAAGTGTACGAACAAGAGCAATAATTGTGCCGAGAAAGTCGCCTTTATTTCGTCAACCCTGCCCTCCCCTGCCTTTTTTATATCAAGTCTCCCTACCCACACAGTCAAACAACCTGGTTGCCTAAAACCACAGCGCTCGCGCGCATGCTCTGATCGTCTAACCTTGAGCGAGTTGACCAGGCGAGCCAAAGTGGGTATATATTGCTCGCCTAGCCGGGTCACCCTTTACGTAAACGGTTCGCCAAGTTTTGTATGGAAACATAAAAGACGTTGGCTCGCCCAGGGTCCGCTCAGATAGGTGGTTGACCTTTTTACCTGGGCCAACTTTTCTCCAAATATACGGGGCTTTAGTTGAAGAGGCACTGCACGAAAAATTGGGTTTACACCAAATTTACTCAGTGCAAATTTGGTGCAAAAAGTGCAAACTAAGGTTAAATAAAGGGCAAAGATGGTAAATACCGCAATTGCTTTAAAATTTACACCCCATGTAAACTGGCAAGCAAATGCGGTATTTACCATCTATGCTTTTAATTTTCCCCTAGTTTGCACTTTTTTGCACCATATTTACACCGAGTAAATTTGTGTAAGTCCAATTTTTCGTGCAGTGAGGGTGCCTATGGGGTTAACAGTTAACTGACATTTGGCCAAAAAAAAACAGTATTTAACTGATAATTGGCCAGAAAAATTAGTATATAGTTAGCTGAGAAATGAAAAATTAACAGTTAAGTGACATTCTATTAATACAATCGTTGATGTTAATGAAAGCAACAAAGTTTTGCAAAAAGAAATACTATTTTCTGCCTTTTTTCTGTCCCGCTGATCACCCAGGGCAGTACCCAGCAAACATAGTAGTTAACTGATATTTGACATATTTGGCCGAAACATTAGTAGTTAACTGAGAATTGGGTACTCCCATTAGCACCCTCGCTGAAGTATTCTCTTTCAACAGGATCCCAAAAGCTCACCATGGATGTGGTTAAGATTCATTATTATGCCATCGATAGCGGTTGCCATGTATCTTGCACAGGTTAGTTCATTTCCCAGTCCCCAAAAGAGGCCTTCTTTTTATGTTGCAACGTTTGCTTCTTTGTTTATTTTGAAAAGAGGTTCCGTTCAAAGTCCGGAGATAGTGTAAGGTAAAGGCTCATACAGACGGTACAAAATCTGACGCAAAAATATATATTGCTCACAGCAAAATAAAAGTGTAACTATGCGGAAGGGCTATATTAAGCTGTTAGTTTAGCCCAGAACACCATGCGGGCGCGAAGATACGTAAGCATCGAAAATAACCAAGTTAAAATTTGCTAAGGAAAAAAGAAGAGTTAAATGGAAACTCTAGCTTGCAAAAACAGCCGTTTCTCCTTGCTCGCCGCTAAGGACATTTTGCCAAGTCCCTAGCTGAGAGGAGTAAGGAGAAATAGAGAATACTTCATGGAAAGTGCTGGCGTACGGTATTTACGCACGAGTTGTTGACGTATCAGAAATCGAACGAGTGAGCGCAGCGAACGAGTAAGATTTCTGATACAAAAACAACGAGTGCGTAAATACCGTACAAAGCACTTTCCATGTGGTATTGTGTTTATTATATACATACTGAGTCATTCATCATTTTGCAGGCCTTTTTATTTTAAATCTTTCAAAAATGCTAAAATTTGCCGCTACACACTTACCGCAAAATGACAACGAAAACGAAGTATCAGCTTTTTAGTAAAAACGTTTGTTAAAAACATAAATGACGGTGAGGATATGAGGTTTAATCCAAGAACTATAAGTAATCTTAACTGTTTGTTCGCAATGCACAATTGAAAATGAGTGAATTTAAGTAAAATGGCCGGTTTCAATATAAGCTTAAGCTTAAATGAAAGGCAAAGTAGCTCCGACAAAAAGGACAACAAAAGCTTACGTCTCGTTCTGTTTATCCCTTTCCGCTGTTGTTTCACCGGCTCTCTACCGTATTTTTTTATCGACAGTGAAACAAACGAAACTATTCCACTCCATTTCCGAAATGTTTTTCACTTTTTTAGCGAGAAAAACTCCTTGAGTAAAACTTTTCTCGTTGATAAATGTGTGCGAAGCGGCGCTGCAAGCTGCAGTAAAAGGCGGGAATTTTGGCGCGAAACTCCTACACCTCGGTGGCTTCTGATTGGACGTATCATTTTTCTCACACGTGAAAAAACATCGTTCGCGATTCTGATTGGACGTATCGTTTTTTTCACGTGTGAAAACCATCGTTCGCTCCTCTGATTGGCTATAACTAATTTGCGTAGGAAAATTTACGACATAGCTTTTTGGTGAGTATTTCTCAGTATGTATATAATAAAAGTGTGTATTCGCAGGCTATTGAAACTCAAACCATAGGCTTTTATCGAAAAAAAAAACATCACTGTAGTCCTGCATCGAATGTTCCCGCTGGCTGTATTTTTTTGTTGTTTTTGAAATTTTGGTCCGATCGGCTTCACTGATGCATGCATGGTCGACAGCGCCACTTTTTTGCGTTTTTCACACGAAAAACCGTCGAAACTTGTTTGTTCTCAGTCCGAAAGAAAAAAATTATTACAAATGGACAGACTTTTACCCTGGGGTGGGGGGTGCTCCCTTATATAAACTATATAGGTGTGTGCCGCCCCATCGGGTAGGGTTTTTGCGCCGTTTTGGTCTGAAAACGGGTATACACTTTGCCCATTTTGGTCTGGAATCGGGTTGGGTTTTCGAGGGAACTACGGGAGTGTATGAACGTATTTATCGTTTCAATTCCAAATGAGTAAGAAAGAAAGAGAAATATGGGAATTCGAAATGGTTTGAATAATTTTCTTGTTAGCGCTCTTATCTAAGTGATGATAACATAACTTCTGCCTAAAGGCGCAGGTCTGAAAACGAGTATTGGTTTTAGTAAGAGTTCTTGTTTGAAATCAGGTGAAGAAAATTACATTTTTTGGTCTGAAATCGGGTCAGGATTTGAAGAACCGGGCGGCACACCCCCACCAAGAATTCCCTGGAGTACCTCTCGGGGACTTTTAAAAATAAATTCGTGAATTACTTCACTTTTTAAATTCATTGTAGTCTTCTTTTGTTCCATTACTGTATAGATGTTCTGGTTGATCGACAATTTTTTTCTTTCCTGTGTTGCGGCCGCACTTATGGGATGGTTCTCGGCTCAAACAGCAATGCACAATGTTCACGATGCAAGGTAAACTGCAAGTTAATCTTTTCTTCTATAATCTTTTCTTCAATGATGAAGATACTCGTTGAGATTAAATAAATTATGGTGCCGAGTTAAGAAAACCTAGAATCATGTTGCATTTTGTAAGACCTTGTAAAAAAACTGTCACTTTTGGTAATTAGTGATTTTGACCCCCAAGGTAGAGGAAAAAAGCAAAGGAAAAACAACACAACGAAATAATCACACAGTTTGAAATCTGCTTTGTATTTTTGCTTATCTTGTGGGGTAGGGGAGGGGGTGGGAGGAGGTTTACAGAAAGTATGCAGTCTATTTTTAGATGTGTTGTTCTTTACTATTGAATCTAATGTTTTTCATCAGCCACTTTGCCGTGACAAGCAATCCCATTATCTGGAGAGTGGTTGGTCATATTCATGACTTCTTAATAGGAGCGTCTTACCACGTTTGGGTTTATCAGGTAAACTGTATTGCTCGCGATGGGCGCGGTTGCTTTACACAGCACCAAAACAAGAACTAAGCACATATACCACCAACCTCCACTGCTTGACCGTATTACGCATGCGCCAGCCTAAAATGATAAGATGCGCAGTAACAGTAAGCTTTCACTCGGGTTTGGGCTCATCAGCAGTGTCATGATCGGCAGGCCCCCGTACAAGGCAACGTGCAAAGCATTTGATTAATCGCACACTCACCGCACACCATGTGGTAGCTGTTGGCTGGGAACTGCAAAGCGATTACATATACGCAAGAACGATGCAAGCATAAGCAAAAGCAGTGCGCACGCATCGACCACAGACGCTATAATACACTGTATTTCGTAAGTTACACATTTTATGAAATACCTATTACCTCGCCAAAAGCTGAAACCTACCTAACACAACAATGAATATAATAAAATGTTGGTTAATCGAAAAATAAAAAGAATTGCTATTGTCGAAGTTTAACAGTAAAATGTTTCAAACTTTTACGTACGGTCAATATAAGATTTAGGCATTTCGAAGTTTTTATTTTTAGCACATCTTTGGTCATCATCCTTACACCAACATCGATGGTTTTGATCCTGATATCAGCACAGCCAAACATGTGAGTGGTTTCCTTTATTTTACAGTTAGGTAATCGTCAGGGTAGTTTTACCAACAAAAAGAGAGTCCTTCCAAAAACTTGCACTTGGTGTTAGTCCCTGCCCTTGTTGAGTCTTTTTTACAGGCCCTAGTTGTTCGAAATGTGGATAGCGGTATTCACTGGATAAGTCACAATCCAAAGGATAGCTCTCTGGATAGCAATTTATCGGGTGGATAGTGCTATCCAAGTTTTGAACAACCGGGGCCTGCTGTACAACTCTCTTAGACGTAAACAAAGTGGCGGTCTTAGCAGTGTCCCGACCTTTAAAAGATTTGACGTCACTTTTTGTGCTTGGATCGATTGTTTAATTCAGTGCTAGTATCTTAGAAATGTATCCATCGTTAATAGTCTCTTTTATTTCCTTGTTATTTTTTTCACATTACGCAGTCCCTTAATGATTTTCTACTTCTTGCAGAAGCCAGACATGAGACGCATTAAATGGGATCAAAATTGGCTTCCTCGATACTTTTACCAGCACATCTACATGCCACTGATTTACTGCTTGGTAAGTACATATTTCTTAGCCTGTTCTAGGCGTTCAGATTGTTGGGATCGTGCAAAGAGCGTGTGAGCAGGAAAAACAGCGAAAGGGTGAGGTAGGGGGTGAAAGCAAAGGAACCATCTTCTTTCCTTTCCATCTCTTTCTCCTAAATTGTTCCCGCTCTCTACTTCGTGCCGCACTCTATTATCGTAACGCCTGGAGCAGGCTAAACTTTGTTAATATCGCGCGTGCAACGAAGAAAAACCGGTACTGAAAGAGACATACACAGTTGTAGGGACTGCCAACAGTGCATTTTTGTGGCATGAAACTGCTTTCAACTTTCGTTCGCATGCCTCCCTTGTCAGTTGGCTTATACATTTCAACAATATGCCCTGCATATAATGCAGCTAACCTGCCATCAGGCGTCTTTTTGTTTTTCGGGGAAAGAGGAAAAGAAGAACGCGTCCTTTTCCCCTCGTAACCCAAACAAAAAGGGAAGAAGGGCCGCCTGATCACAGGTTAATGTGCAACTACATGTGTTTTAATTTTCCGCGCGATTTTCCCTCACTCACCTAAGGAGTGAACGTTCTATTTATTTATTTGCATAAATCTTTTGCTAGACTTTCTTAGAAGGCATGGTCAATTAGTTTTATGAACTCAGTTTAATCAAGTTGATATTTTTCCTTCATTTTAAATTTACAGCTAGGTTTGAAAACCAGGTCTCAGGATATTGCAACTCTGTTCATTTACAAGAAAAATAGTAAGTTCAATTTAGATATTTGATAACGGACTGGTTTTGGAAAAATAATTGAGAATAAAAATTAGCGATAGCAATGAATGACGGTTTCGATGACTCCATGTCATCATTTTCAAGTTCGTGCAGCTCTCGGAATTAAGGAGTACACGAATTTGAAAGTGATATTGACATGGAGTCATCGAAACGTCATTGCTATCGCTAATTTTTATTCTCAATTAGATATTTAATGTGAAATACTTTTTTCGGCATTAAGTAGAAATTTGACACGCATTTACAGTATATACGATTGACAATGTGTATCGTTTATATCCCACCCAACTTTACTAACTTTACAACTTGACAAATTTACTCACACCTCACCCGTTACGTCATATCAGTACCAAACATTTTCTCCACATATAATTCTTAAAACATTTTGTACGACTACAGCAGCCAACAAATCACCCCATACAAAGAGAATCCAGATTTCAAAATCCTGGAAATACTGCTCGTCGCGGTGTTTTCCTAGTGGAATCTGAAAAACCGGGCTTTGAAATCCGAAATGCAGTCAATGGAATCGGGAATCCACAGCGTGGGACGGTTTTAGATTCCCTTTGTTGGACAATACAAAGATTGTTTTTTCCCAGTTCCAAAAACCCTCACTTTCAAAATGAGGCCAAGTGCACAACCTTTAATTTCTTGTGAAAATGAGTTTATTTGCATGAAATTGAAAAATCATTTCCATATCAAAGGCTGAGCACTTAACCTCGTTTTGATACAGGGGCCTGGGGGAACTCGGAAATGGCCTATTGATTTTGCTTCGAGACGGTAATCGCAACTCTTGTTTTACGAACAATAGAGAAACTTTCTTTAATTCAGTTATGAAAGAAAGAAAGAGAAATCTGCGAATTTGAAATGTATTTGAAGAAATGTTTTGTTGGCATTCGAATACATCTAAGGTATTATCAGCCTATGCCAGGTCTGAAAACGGGTATGGATTTTAGAGGCCAGGTCTGAAGTTAAATCGTTCTATCAAGGTAAATTAAAGACGCATGTTAGTTCCGTTAGACGAATTAAGTATTACCTTTCAGAAGTGTATTTCATTAATTTTAAGATTTCCTTCAGGGATTTATCTTTACTTTTAGCGGTTAGTTTTACTGTTCTAGTTTGTTTTATTATAATTGATATTCCACGGGCACGCGCACTTTTGTTGGTCTGAAAAATTTACTGTGCGCACAAGGAAATTTTTACTCCAAATTGTACGCGGAATCAAGTGATTACCTATACTTATCTGTCAATGTTCTTTCCAGGCACCATAACTTTGAATCTGCCCTCTACCTCTCACATGGTGGTGTTTATTACTGGCAAGCTCTTCTTTTTGTTTCATAAAATCTTGCTACCTGCGGTGTGGCTCGGGGTTTGGAAAATGGTAAGCTAAGTCACTATGGGTAGTAAAAATAGTACTAACTAGTAATACTAATAGTATACTACGAGCTGCAAAAACCCTCACGTTCAAAATGAGGCCAAGTGCACAACCTTTCTTGTGGAAAGGAGTTTTATTTGCATGAGAATGAAAAACCGTTTCCTTATCAAAGGGTGAGAACTTAATATTTTTATACAGAGGCCCGGGGGAACTCGCAAATAACCTGTTCCAGGCTCCGGGATAGTCGGATCAGCTGAATTGAGAAAGCGCGAACAGGAGGGGTTGTGGCCGCGCGATTGTGGCTGATCTGTAAGTAGAGAGTCACATACCGGATAATTATCATAACATAACATAACTTTATTATTTATATAACGCAAAATACATTGGTATATGATCTAATGCGCTTTACATTACAATGATTATAATACTACAGTGAAATGGATAAAAAATTACAGCTTTTCTAAATAGTTAATAAATGGATACTAGATAAAAATATTATATATGCGTGCGAAAAAAATTATGTTAAAATATTATAGGTTATAAGCTAAAAGCTAATTTAAAATAATGAGTTTTTAACCATGCCATAAAAGTTTTGACAATGCCCAAAGCGCTCAACTCGTCTGGAAGGGCGTTCCACAGGGTCGGTGCGGCTGCAAAGAACGCCCTGTCTCCTGCTGTCTTGTTGGTCTTGTTGGGCAGATCGAGCAGTAAGTGTTTTGTATTTGATCGCAGGTTATAATTTGACTGTGGCTTAAGTCTAATTAATTGATGAATATATGTGGGAGCACTACCATGTAGAGCTTTGAATGTGTATACAACCAATTTAAACATTATACGGTATTTAACTGGTAGCCAATGCAAGTCTTTCATAACAGGAGAAATGTGATCAAAACGCGTGGTATTGGAGATGAGCCTTGCGGCAGCGTTTTGAACCCGTTGCAACTTGATAATATAAGTGGCTGGTAAGCCGTACAGTAGACTGTTACAGTAGTCTAGGTAATTGTTGATACTATGCCGGATAGCTAAACTGTAATGTCTTAACGCTGATGCGGATAACAAAAAAAGAAATGTTAGGGGTTAGTAAGGTGAATATGAGCGGCAGTGAAAACGAAAAGTGAGCACCGGAACCCAAGCACCCGCGAGCTCTGATATTCTTTCCTTGGGAATACAAGCTGCTTCTAACTTTCTCACGTTTCTCTTTTTTGAATTAGATTGTCCTTTTCAGTATTTGCGAGATGGTAGGAAGCTACTGGATGGCCCTTACATTCCAGGCCTCACATGTTATAAGCGAGGTTTGTTACGTTGAAAAGTGATTACAATGGAGCTTATCTTGTGATGGCCCTTCACTGATATTAAGAGTTAGAAAACTGCATTAAATTTTTCTTAATATATTATGCAATATTCTGTGAAATCTAAGTGTACAGAAAGAGTTTCCGAGTTGCCCGAAAATTGGGGAAAGGCTAGATCTGGAAAGGCAAAGTATTTTTAGCTACTCAAGGGCGGAGGCGGAAACTAAAATGAATTGTATTTGGCTAATTTCTATTATTAAAAACCTCTATTAAGCGGACACCAGACTGAATAGTAGTATTGGATTAAATCCTTAAAATACCGACTATAGTCGATTAATAAAGATAAATCAATACATTTAGCTGTTAATAAATTGTAGATAAGACCGATATCCGGCAGTATGATTGTCATCAGCAATCAAATTTCACCTAAAAGTCTTGTAAAAGTATAGCACAGCTTCCTTAACAACATGGATCCGAGCTTTATTACAGTAAAGAGTAACAGTTGAAAAATTATCGTTAACAAACGTTGCGCAATTTTTAGAAACCTCTATTAAGCGGTCACTTTGGAGGTCCCGAAGGTGTCCTCTTAATAGAGGTTTCGCTGTATTTCTCTTAATGATAGAAACTGTTGAACTGAACAAAGTAAAGGCTGTCTATCCGATCAATATAACAGTCGTTGGAATTGATATCGGCAAATCAGGTGAAAACCTCCTTTATCGCCCTTAGAGGCCACACCCATTGCGCTCTTTTGCCATCAAAACAGTTGGCGCATTAAGAATTTGAATAACGATCTACTGGCATAAAGATAAAATCTTTATCAATTTGGCACACAGCTTTAAATAATTTTAAGATGTTCTTATATACATATTATCATATAAACCGGGATGGCTTCGACGTTGCTGTCCCTACTATTGTGCTGTATGTGCCTGAGTATGTAGTACTGAAGCCCCGTGCAAACAGACGCAACGTTGTTGGCCAACAACTCCCAACATTGTTGGATGTTACATGTTGCGCCCGTTTGCACACCCTTTTTCCTGGTGTTGGATGTTGTTGAGTGTTGTTGCGCAAAGTTTGAAACCGGTCAAACTTTTCAGCCAACAACTCCCAACATTTCTTTTGTTCCGTGATCGCCGAAGCGTAGCGAAACAATGTTGGATCCGTTTGCACAGCTCCTCCAACATTGTTGGGCCACGCACGCTCATTACGCATGGATTACAAAGACTTATGGGTCGTATTCTTCCCACGATGCACTGCAGGTCCCCACATATTTGGGAATTGTTGCATCCGTTTGCACACCACTGCCAACACTCACGCAACAACTCCCAACATTGTTGGCGCAACAATGTTGGGAGTTGTTGCGCCCGTTTTCACGCAGCCTGAGATCAATCTAGTACAATTTCTATATAAATTTATAACCTGTGGCTATAGAAGAACGTCGCCTGACAAATTTCTGGGTCATTCGACAGACTGATTCGAGGACCCATATTTTTTTCCATGTTCAGGCCATAATAAACATCACTTTTTTTCTCATTCAGCCTGTCCAATTTTTTTTCTTTTCTTAACTAACTTGTTCGGAGAAGTTAATTTGAAGGAATAAGAAGCCAGTCAGTTTTGTTCTTGTGATTTTCCACAGGTTGACTGGCCGCTGCCTGATGAGAATGGCAACATCAACCGTGATTGGTGAGCATAACATTTCCGTACAAAAGTCTTTTTGCGCACTAAATCAACTTATGACCATGATTCGCAGGTTTTTTCACGAAGAGTATTCTTGTGTGTTTCTTTTTTTGTTTCAGGGCAGAGCTTCAGATTGAGACGACCCAGGACTATGCGACAGACAGTTGGTTCTTGAATGTTTTTACAGGTTCGTTTAGTGAGCAGGACATGCCCACAGGACTTTTCACATTTGTTTTTATCACGTCAAGCTCTTCCAAAATCATTTCTTTGTTTTGCCATAAATCGAAATTGAAATTTTGCTGTCAATCTTTTGACGTCATTTTCCCGCCAAAAACTGTTAAAATCGAAAACAAAAAAAATAGGATTTTTTGGAATACAAAGTTCTACCATCCTACAAAGTTTGAGTTCAAACGAATAAAATATGAAAACATAGTTCCTTCCGTGACACAACAACAATTCAGGTCGAAGGACACAATCAGCTATGTTGCATGGAAGTTTCGCGGTGACGTGAAGCGAAGTAAAGCTCGCTTGTTGTACGCAATTTAAAGGGGCATGTAACAGCGGCAAAAAATGCGTTTGCGTGACATAATTACGTGCGGTGCACAAACTGAGGCATTTAACGGGGACAAAATCACGAGCAGTGTACACACAAGGACAAACTACTCAAACAAACGGGGGACAAACTAGCCACGCGCAAAGAATTCTGGGTGATGTGCCTGATTTCTCGATTGCATACAGAAGTGGTTCAATGCCCCTTGCATTTTTTCCCCGCGACATTTAATTTTTCCAAGCTGAACTGAACGGGGTTACATGTGGCAATGTCTCCCTAGAGTTTATGTCGCATGTAATCTTTTAAATAAAATTGTACGCAAGGAGACCGCGCTGTGTCGCAAACCTTAAAGGGTAACGGAATTCCTATTTTACTAATTCTTATTTAATTTCTGAATTCTGACTGCTCTGCCCTTTTGAGTTAGACTCACACCAATTGATCGTGTTGTAATAACAGTAAGATCAAACAGAAAAGTCATACAGTCATTTGGAGTCCGTTTTTGAGAGATGTCCTCCTTTTAGAGAATCTTAATAGACTGAAGATGAAAAAAGAACAGCAAAAACCAACTCTAGCCGTCCATTTTGGGAGGATTCCGTCCTATTGATGGGACCATTAAGAGATAATTGGCTGCGTGAAAATATTGATGTGTGCCGATCTCTTTTTTTTTCTAGGAGCTCTCAACCACCAGACAGCTCATCACCTGTTTCCTAATGTGTGCCAGATTCACTATCCAGCGATAACTCCCATCTTGCGTGAAACGTGCAAGGAGTTTGGTATCAGATATCACTACAAGGACACGTTATTCCAGGCCCTTGGCTGTCACGTATCACATCTCAAAAGACTGGGCCAGCAACAGGGGGAAACCTGAAAAACCAGGACTGTAGAGTTTGACATGACACGAGACAACCAGGAGTGGACAGAAACCAGGCTGCGCTTTCAATCTCCACTAAAATGAATTAGGCATTGTTCGAAATTTTGAAAGGATAAAACTGTTCACTTAAATAGATATTGTGAAGTAGTAGGTGAAATTTTTCAGCTTCTATAGCGAAAACGCCCGTAGCACGTTTATCAGTAGGCTGATTTAGCAACAGAACGGGAACGTCATTGGACGACAGGAAAGCGCGCGGAAAGGACTAAACTCGACTTTCGGCGCCCAATTTGCCACTCTTTCATTGGTCCACCCAGTTGTTTGATTTGCGCGCGCCGTCGTCAACTGACTTTCCCGTTCTGTTGCTAAATCAGCCTAGTACCTTTTCATCGAACATTTATTTTTCGATGATGAACTTGGAAAGTTAGCTATACGTCAGTACTCACACAAAAAGTACTTTAGTTAAAGACTTTCTGGCCAAACTGGTCATAACACGGTAAGAAATTAAAAGGGATTTACTACAATGCTTGCGAGCTGAGCAAAATGTGTGTTAATTGTGTAGGTGGACAAATGTACATTTTGTTTCTTTTTTGCGCAAATGTTTTCTCGACATATTCGTATGCAAATGCTTCAACATCTCTACATTGAAATTTGCTCAAATTGGCTTTCTTGGCAAATAAACCTGCAGTTTGAATTTAACTGTAAATGTAAGCAAAAGTGTGAAACAATAATTTATAGTAATGTTTGCTATTTAGTTTGTTAAGGATCAGAGTGTATTGCTGTAAGAGCAAAATATATTAATAATAAACCATGGTTAAGGTTATGAGATAAATAAAATGATCGCTCAAAGGGTAAATACTTTGATCTTTTATCGAATTCTCTTAAATAGTTCTTTAACTCTTTAACTTTTTAAGTCCCAAGAGTGACCAGCAGGATCAACTTTCGGATCAATTTAGGTTTCTGGAAAACTGCCCACCTACCCCTCCCCTAAGCTAACATTAACACTTACTTCTCACTTTGGGCGAAAAGATGGCTTAGGGGAGGGGTAGATGGGCAGTTTCCCAGAAACCTATTAAATTGATCCCAACTTTCTTCTGATAGTACTAATACCAGAGATTCAAAAGAAATGTTTATGAGAACTGATTAAAGGACCAGTCCATCGAAGTGGAAAAAATACATTGTTCCCTTGACAATTCCTCTCGATTAATTCTATAAGGATAATGACAGTATGGACATCACACTCCATATATCAGTGGATTTTGGAGGTTTAAGTTGCCTTTGAGGAGTAGTTATTTTAGCAGATAGGACAAAAATAATTGACGTTGCAGTTGCGAAGTGCAGACAATGAATAGTCAGGCTTGAGTGTAAATTGAAGACAATTCATTCATAACAAAAATCGGCCTCCAAGATCCCCCCTTTCACTTTCTCCCGGCCTGTGCGCATGCCTAACAGTTTTTTTCCTCGTTGACACGACAGTTCAAATTCGCAGTGTAGTAAGAAATTGAAAGTTAAACTGAAGCAATAAATCAGTCAAGTTTTGTCATCTCACACACACACATTGTGTGAATGCCGACTAGAATCGACCGTTTTTTGTTATGCGAAAGCGGTTCTTTACTGTTACTGATCAAACCTGGCGGTTTCCACCCGTACCCAACTCTTTTGCCGATGTCAAACATCTGAGACATTTCTGAGATCTCATTCAATATTAAGAAGAGGCATGCAAAAGCAATCGCTACACTTTTCAAATTAAAAACCTTCTCAGTTTTTCTTGAAAACACTTCACACCAGAGCTACATTATCAGTTGGACTAAATTACGACGTTTCTACACTTCGGTACTTCTTGCTTTTTGTACACGCTTTTACAAATCTCCCTCTCACATCAAGTTAGTAGGGGATGAAAGCCGGAAAACATCAACGATGTAAACAACGGAGCTGCAGTTTATGTTGGAAGCTCCCTGACCGTACATAATCCTTTCTTTTTTTTTTTCAGTTTTGCTGACAAATTGTGACTGAATAAATTAATGCGATTTTTCTGCGATGTTAGTAAGTTCAAAATGATAGGAATGCATGCTATAATTGAACGTTGTGCAAGTTAAGGTCAAGTCTGGAAAAGCTAACAAAAACATATAGCAAAGAAGTCTGTGGGGCTTCATAACGATTCCACTTTATTAACTATGCTCACATGTAATCTTAACTTAAAAAATTATAGCATTCTGAAGGCAATCGCAGCCCTCTATATAATGGTTCTGTTTGCGTCCACCTGTATTTGAATGGTAATTTTTCTTTAATTTCTCAGTGGTGGGGGAAAAACGCTTTCATTCTTCAAATAATGCAAACTGAGAGAAAATGTAAAAATAAACAAATCTTTAGAGAATAGACAGATTTGTTAGCAAAGCTGCAGCGGATGATGTTGTTATCAAAGACAGATGTCCGGGTGTTTTTGTCAAACTTGTTACAGCAAACTCACACATTAGATTAGTACCCAGAGTTTAAGAAATCGTTTTCAAGGTCTGTTTAGTCAGTTCATATGCGATACTAAACATTTACCGCTGCAGTATAAACATGATGTGCTCAAGCCTTTTGGTGATGTTGTGCAGCGTCTTGGCTTCCTCGGTGGCTAGCCCCGAAGGTTGTTATATGCTTTTTTTTTATCATTCTGAGTTTTAGATAGTCAAGAACGAACTGCTTGTGATCTAAGCAATTACAATGTAAACACCATGATCATTTGTACCTTTTGACGAAATGCAATGATTCCTTCCACTGCACTGTTTATATTTTTAATTTCATCATTATTTTTTTTATTCTACCTGTTACATCATGCAATTAGTGTTTATAATGTACTCCTATTTATTACTTCTCGGTATTTCTACAGTGTAAAATGTTCCCAGATAATGTTTACGAAAAGTCGCTATGTTTGGTGGTCATTCCTTCAACAGTTTTGAAGTTAATCAAAATCAACTATTTCGCGAGGGAGGAGGCGCGCCCAAAAGCCCCCCGGTCTGAATGGGTTAAGTAATAAGCCGCGGTTGGCAATGGGCTCTTATTTTAAGAATTAGCAAACATTGCAATTACTTTTCCCAAAAATTCAAACTGATGATTCGTTCTACCTCAGAGCAATTCGTTGTCGAAAATCCAAAACCATTCAACACTTGAATTTTGAACGACTTTCTAGTTAGAGAGTTCTGTTTCAACGATTTCTCTGAAATTTATCTGGCAATAGAACATTTTTCAGCCAAGTCTTAGCAAATTTTTTTACTACACTTTGAACAGTGGGCTCCCTCTACTCGCTTATTTCGTAAAAAATATTTACCATAAGTAAAATCGGGTGTAGCCATTGCGTTAGAAACAAAAAAGGTTATGGCGAAAAGTTCGTCAAATGCGCATGCGCTGTATAATAATGGTGCCACCTGAATAGTCCATAACAAAATAACAACACAAAAGGTTTAAACTTTCAGTTTGGGTAAAAGTAGTCTTATATAAAGGTGTTTAAACAACTGCAACAGATGCATCCACAATTTTCAATGGCCAGTCTATTTCGCTTTTTTGCTATCTCAAAAAAAGGTGAAAGATATTCCGCTTTACATCGCTGACGTCGCAGAGCCTGGCAGCGAAAATGAAGTTCCACTTTTTTGTGTTTCCCTATTTCTTGGCCTCCATCGTCGCTATTCCAAAAGGTTTAGATGGTTTGCTATTTTATCAGCTGTGGTTTTTTTTGTATTTGGAAATTTAGTTAGAGTATATTTCTATTTCGATCCGTTTTAAGAGAAAAAGGGACACTATTCTCAACATTGTCAGGTTCAAAACTTGTTTTACTTGTCAATAGTTGCTCATGAAATTAGAACGCCCCGTTTGCCCTTTGAGAAATCGCGACAACAAAATGTTGCCAAATATGCTGACATAATTTCCGAGCTTTATACAAATGTACAATTTTTTATTGTAGCAATTTATTTCACTCTTATTTCATCGCTTTTTCAAGCCAAAATTAAATGTCTTACCCTCCCATTTTTTCTTTCGCCAGATCCAAGCTGTGATTTTGAAAGGGATCTTTGCTCGTGGAAGCAGTTAACAACAGATGATTTTGATTGGACGCGAAATAAGGGGAAAACATCATCTGATGGAACCGGTCCTTCAACTGATCACAGTGGAAATGGTACGAAATATTGAATGTTTCTCAACTGACAAGAGCAAACCTAATTCTAATTCAGTTGATTCTTTAAAGGTCCTTTAAGGGCTCTCTGTAACTCCAGAGCGCAATCAATTTATTGGACACAACTCTTAGAAACTAAACTAACATCAACCTTGACTGTTACAAAGAATGCAAGGCTCGTTAACACTTGTGCCACCAGACGATTTTGCAGCGATGCTTTTGATGGATTTAGTCACTTTCAGCAACTCCTCACCCGAAACTCACTGTTTAAGTTGAGTGTGAAATGGTAGCACGCCGTCTCCTTCCTTTAACCTGGGGGCTAAAGTGCGAAGCATGAAAAGTTTCGCCAGTTTTATCTGACTAACGTGCGGTAGGTGTAGATATACATGTATATTGGAAAACCAAGAAAGAATAATGGAACAGAGAGAAAACGTCCAGTCTATCTCTTGTGATATGTGAATTTCACCAAAGTTATTTTTAGACAAATTAAACGCTTCAAATTAATCAGAAGTTGGTTTCCGGAGAGGTTCGCAAACTTCTATTCAGTGAGTGTTGGCGAGGGGACACTATGCTCTGTTGGTGTGTCGCCATTACAAAATGATACAGAAAGTGAGTCTATTACACCCTATACAGCTTCAAGATATATAAGGAAAAAAAATGGTCCTCACGAAATAGCTAACGATGTAGAAATAAAAATTTTACTTACTTACTAAGAGAGAATGAGGTACCTCATTCTCTAATGCACTAAAGTATTACAATGGTTCTCATCGAAATTAGCTAAATGCGTCGCTGGCCGCTTAGTGTATCTCCCCATGATAATCACAACAAATGTTGCGAAAATTCTAGATCTCAAATCGTCTTCCGAACAGATATTTTCCGTAAATTGACGTTGGGTGCCCCTGATAAACAGACAAGTCACTAGAAAACTAGCAAATCAACATATACGTTTCGATAACATCGGGCAACATCATCACACGTTTTTCTGCCTGACTGCAGTATTGAGTAGTTGTTTACAAAATTATACCCGAGGCCGAAAAGATGTTGTCATTTTTGTTGTTGTATTCACTGACAGGCTATTATATTTACATCGAAGCCTCCAGCCCCAGAGAAGAGGATGATATAGCTATGCTAAGATTTCAAGGCAAGAGCGTCAAGCCCTCGGTTTGTCTTTCTTTCTATTTTCACATGTATGGAAATGACGTCGGCGAAATATACCTTTACAATCGTGGTAGGACAGTATGGAGAATGGCTGGGAATCAAGGCGATGTGTGGAGGAGGGCTGAAATTAAAATTACAGGAGACTATGACGTAAGAGACCACTGGAAATACAATGCAATACAATACAGTAAATTAAATATTAGTGTAATTTATGTAAATGGGTAAATATGAACAAATCCAATAAATAGCAGCCGAAGTCAATCGAGTTTAAGATTAAGATAAGACAGCTTGACGTCATAACAGTACGGCGCCAATATTGGCGTATCATAACAAGAGTAGAAACCATTTGGGGGTGCCAAAGCCAGTGATATGGAATTTGAGCTCTTTTGTCATTTCAACAGGTTATTTTGTTGAAATGATCTCGCAGAACTACTAGGGAGGTTGGTAACTGAAAGCACTCCATTCATAGAGCGGTTTTCACTTGACTGTCGTAAAACCAAAACCAAAGTAAATACACTAGCCAACCAAAGGGCGTAGTAAAACCAAAACCGAAACCAAAACCAATCCCTTTCGACAGTCAAGTGAAAACCGCTCTATGACCTCTCCTCCGTCCAGGCCTCTCTGTGTCGTAAGGAGGCTGGGGAAAGGAAGAAAAGAAAATGCTCTTTTTATTGGAATACCCAGTGGGACATGCTGCGGAGGAGAGAGCTCTATACGCGCATCCCTCACCCCTGCCCTTTATGCACCAAACTGCCCGAAATTGCCCGCCGTGTTTAGCAATTTGTCTACTAAGTATCAAATTTTTTGTTGAGAGCAACTTTCAACTTTATTTACACTTCAAGTCTTATTTACTTTACAAGTTAGGTGAAATTAGAGGAGATAGGAATAGGCATAATCAAATAGCTTTTGCGGAAGTGTACGGCTGAAAAAAGGAGCAGACCACCGCTTACAGGGAATATAAAATATAGACTAAGTGTCATGGCTAGCTAGAGAAGATAGTTACTTATAAGCGTGTTGCATGTTATTGTGAGTTTAATAAAAATGTTTTGTGATTTTTAGTTGCTTTATGCGCAGAGGAAATTACCAGATAATAGGTTTTTTTAAAGTTAACAGCAAGTTTGTTAGCTGAACTTATAACCAACAAGATACTCGAATTCTTATTATATAGTTTTTTTTAGGTCTTGTGGAGGGTTGGAAGAGTAGAAAAGTCAGCGAAAGTTCTAATAGTACTCTTTTTCAAGCAATTGGGCATGCCGTTTAAATATAATAGGAATGTTTGACTTAATGCCATTTTGTTCTTCTTTCCACTTAGCTTATTTTCCTCGCTGCGTCGGGAAAATCATACCAGAGTGACATTGCACTAGATGATATATCGGTAGCCGATGGCGAGTGCGGTGGAGTACCAACTCTACCTGCATACACGCCGACGCCAAGTCAAGGACCTCCGATAGTTCCAGGTAAAGCGCTATATATTGTACAGTAGTTACCTTAAGTTAGAGACGGACCATTAATAAACTTATGAGAGGGAGGGGCGGGAGAGTTACCCAAAGATATTCGTACAAGGAAAAATTAAACGAAGAAAAATCATGCTCGCCAATTAACCCTTAAGAAAATAATTATGTACTGGCTTGAAAAAAATTCGGTCAAGGAAAATGATAACGAAAAAAAATCGACCATACGGCTCAAAAATCCGCATAACAAGTGCAGATCCATCTTTGGTACTATTTCGAATCTATTAGGTCTGACTGATTCGTGTCAAAGCACGCACCCTCTTAAAGAGGGGAGTTCTTTAATAAATAATAATAATAATAATGATGATAAAAGCCTCGGCACTCACTCAGAGGAAGCAGCACCGTTATTGTGTTGTAGCTGTCAAATGATGTATAATATCATTCCTAAACGGGTTGATAATCGCTTTGTTTACCTGCCGAAAAAGGAGTGGTATTCTGTAAGTTGAACCTTTTTGATTGTTTTGTGTTTTGATAATGTTATAGTTGTTGTTTCTTTTTTTCTTTTTCTTCTTTTTTTTCCTATTTAGTGAACTGTGGATCACGTCCATACACTCGCATTGTTGGAGGTTCGAAAGCTTCTGTGAACAGCTGGCCGTGGCAGGTCATGTTAGCAAAGAAAGGCGGTTCCCAGTTTTGTGGCGGAACTCTCGTAGATCCTTTATGGGTTGTGACGGCAGCTCATTGTGTTAGACGTGTCTCCCCATCGAGCATATTCGTAAGGTACAGTAGTTCTTTAAGATGAATCTTAGATAAAAAACGGAACTTGGTAACACTCGAGGAAAGGGAAAGAGGAGGAGAAAAGCGGATATCGTAACTTTTGGAAGGGTTAAAAGTCGCTCTATAAAATAATACCTTTACTCAGATAAATCATTTTGTAAGTCAAAGCTAAGTGGGTTGTTGGTTGTTTTCTTGCTGTTTTATGTTTCCTTAAACACTTTGTTTTTAACTTAAAAATCTTTCAATTCTTATTTAGAATGGGTGCCCATTACAGAAGGACTGGTTATGTTGGAACGGAACAGGACATCACTATTGCGCAAATCATTACCCACGAAAACTACCATACGCCGCTGAGATACAGCCACGACATTGCATTACTGAAGCTTGCGCAACCCGCTCGACTTGGTAAAGGAGTAGGTGTGGCATGTTTGCCTTATTCAAATGTTCCTCTACCTGAAGATGTTCCACACAAGAAATGTTGGGTCACTGGCTGGGGTACACTGGCTAGCGGAGGAAGCCAACCAAATGATTTAATGCAGGCATCAGTACCTCTTGTCTCGAAACAACGCTGCCTGAAGGCACTGTCTGGACGGATTCATGACTCTATGCTGTGTGCAGGGTTTGACCAAGGAGGTGTAGATACCTGTCAGGGTGATAGTGGGGGACCTCTAGTCTGTGAGCACAATGGAAAGTGGTACCTGGAGGGAGTGACTAGCTGGGGTCACGGGTGTGCATCTCCAAACAGCTATGGAGTTTACGCTAAAGTTCGTATTCTTATGCCGTGGATAAGAGCAAAAATGAATTATGTAACTCCACCTCCAGAAATAGTATCAAGTAAGTTATCACCTCTTTCACTCAGTCAACAAGCAAGCATTGCCCTCAAAGTTCATTCCTGTCTATCCTGCAAATGTATTTTAATTAATTCATCGATTTTCGTGATAGTAGATACGTGCAGTGTCAAGATTACCTTTAAAGGTAGTACAACAATCTCTCTTCTCTCTTAGAACACAGAATATTTTAAAACTTTCCCAAATTTGTACACCCAATTGGCAAAAAGACGTATTTATTAAGATGTCACTCATCGAGATAACGTTTCAGAAGTAACAAGGAAAAATAAGCTAAATAGTTCTCAATAAATTTGCATTGAGGTAGTGTCATTTCTCGCCCCGTACGTAGTTAAGCCAGCTGTCAGCTTTGTTTGTATTTTGTTTACTGACTATCTCTTTTGTTTTAGCCTAGGAATGACCTTCACAGTCGACAAGAGAGGGATTAGAAAAGGAATGGTTCATTCTTGCTTTAATGATTAAGAGCACTTTTGCATTTGAATTCAGAAATCCTCAAAGCTAATTAAAAGTGAACAAGACCACAAATTTTATGCTTGTGAATAGATGTTTTTATTATGATTTCTTGTTATTTTACACTCAAATGATCGCGCATACTGTAAATGACTTATCTACCATTCCCAACCCACTTTATTTTCAAACCAAAGTTCGATCCACCTCTCTCTTTTAACACCAGAAACAACCCTCTATGCCATGCAAGCAGGGTATCTTCTCGGCGTGGTTTTAGCAGTTTCGAAGTCGTTTGCGTCGTGACATTCGTGCAGTTGGACTTAGAGAATGAACAGCGACGCGAACGACTTAGTGAATGCTAAAAATATATCATGCCCTGACTGAAACCTCTGCTACTAGGGTAAAACCCCTAGCACCCAAGCCTCTCTAAGTTTAATAGGGATTTCCTTGTTAAAACTTGGAAACCGTTTAAAACTCTGCGAAAACGCGAGATTTTTTCTGGTGTGAAATGTGGCAAAAACGCATGTACAATCTAAAAATGGTACTGGAAAGAAAGTTAACTGAAAAACTCGGAATATTGTAGATGATAGAACAGTCATTCATTCAAAGTTAAGATTTTGGAGTTATAGCTTTCGTGACTAGCTGGTACAGATTTGATTCTTCGATCAGAGAGTTTAAATGCAATATTTGTTGGATGCAGCTAGGTCATAATTCTGCCTCTCAGGCCCCATATAGTAGGTCCACATCCTGGGGAGGTAGTCAATATAAAGGCCTATGCTTAGTCTAATAGACGGCATCATGCGAAAGTGGAACCTATTCAATCAAAAATGGTATAGGTAAGAGAAAGAACCTCTGGCGGCGTGGGGCCTCCTCAAATAGAACAATGTTCAGTCCCTGGGGTTTGGGGCTTTCTTAGGCTGGAAAACTTAACTTAACAGCAAAAATCGGCCCTTAAAAACATTAAATGGTGTTTGACAAAACCCATTCTAAGGCGCTGAATCTTTTACAAGGATTATAGCAAGACTTTTTTTTCTTGTGGAAGTAGGCTCAGTCTGCTGCTCTTCAAAGCCCTTTTGTTTCCAAAGTGCCATTAAGAATATGTTTGTTTGAGTAAAAGATGTATTTGTAGAAAATAATGGTCCATCTGCTTAGTCAATAAGTACTGTGTTTGTGCAGGAAGCGTTCTTTAATTACTATTTTTGCAAAGGGAGACAAACACAAATAGATTGTACTTTTAAACGCCAACTTCTGATCACCTCATAATGTGAAAAAACAAATCTACACTTCATAATGAAATGCCATTTTTTAAGGACGAAGAATTATTATCTAAAACTTAGAATCAAAATTTTGTTCCTCTTTAAATCTTTTTTTGTCTGGATTATGGATTGCGGGTTTCATGGACCGGGAGGGGGAGGAGCCACGAGTTAGGAAGCGCGTGAGAGAGGATTGGTATAATTGGCCGTTTTTATAGTAGAGGACGCATTATCCGTCTGGACGAGCTTGGGCAAACACTTGTAGTTCGTCTGGTTATGGGTGTCAAGAATAAATACGGGCATAAGACGCACGAACTTTCCTTCGAAATATGTCTTGAACTACGCACTACGAAAGGTAGTTCGTCTGGATGCATAATGCGTCTTGTGCCCGTTTTTATTCTAGAGACGCATAACCAGACGAACTCCAAAATGTTTGCCCAATTTCGTCCAGACGGATAATGCGTCCCTAGTATAAAAACGACCATTGTCTAATTTGTAAACCAATCGTCAACCTACAAACTACTGAGCCCCGGTTTATAGCGCCATGCAAATGTTTGTGCTTGATTTTCGTCTTTCTCGACTTATATATTTTCTCGCTTTTCGATTCACGACTTATTATTTTCGACTTTTTCCGCCTTTTTTCTTGACGTTTTTCCTCGGCTTTTTTCTACGCTGATCACATTTATTACAGACTCATTCCTGCGTATTTGAGAAGTGCTGAAATATGGCAGGTTTGATTCTTGGCTTTGTATCTCTTTTATTTGTCGCACAGTGTTGTGCAGTTTTACAACAGGGCAATGCTGCATGAGCGAGGAGATGTTACTGAGAGTTAATACTATTTGTTTCGCATAACAAACTTGGTGTATTACTATTATCAAAAGACGATAGTTTTAAATGTCTTTCTAACTGTTTCATACCACCTAAATTTCACATTTTCTCGGGGATTATGCCTCAGGATTCCTGCTCTCCCCCCACCTCCCCAAGTGGTCCAACCTGCGCATGCTCTTCAAGATTTGTATCTTATAAGCCCATTTATTTCCAAAGAGCTATTAAAAATTTATCGTTTGATTAAAAGATGTATATTGCGGTGAAAGAAATTAAACGAAGAAAATAATGGTCCATCTGCCTAGTCAGTAAGTATTATGTTTGTGCAGGAAGCTTTCTCTAATTGCTATTTTTGCAGAGGGACACAAATACAAACAAAATGCACTTTAACGCCGCATAACGTCTGATCGCAATAATGATCATAGTAGTGTGATGGGAAGAAAGAATATACACTACATACTGTTAAACCTGTTAAACCATTTTTGAAGAAAGAAGAATTATTCAACATTGAAAAATGAAAAGCAAAATTTCGTTCCCCTTTTTTTGATCTAAGTTTTTGATTCTTTTAGCTAGGAATCCGGATTGAGAGAATACAAATCTAGAACTTCATACATGAACTTCCTAGAAAAGCAGCAAGAGAAGCAAACTTTGATAGTTTGTTTTAAAGTAAATTGTGACGTCACTTGGGGTTAATGCGTGTTTTCTCATGTTTTAAAAAAGGTTTTTAAGCTTTGCTACAACTTTCTAGAAATTATTTGTTTTTCTCCTGCTTATAAATTAAAGGTTAATTAGACTGATCTCACAGTTGCTTCGGGTCCTTTGGCAAGAATGTTAACTACCGGTATCCTGTTTTTAAGCCTTTGGGCGGTTTCAAGTGCTCAAGGTAAGTCTTTCGCGCGAATGATATCTTCTTCAGTCCTCTGAGTTATCTGTATAAGGCTTCTCTATATTGTTGGACTTTAAAGGGTCATTCATTCACAACAGCAGCACCCAACGACTTTTTTCTGTAAAATAACGGTTTTCCTAGAAATTTCTAAATCTCGAGAAAAGCTAAAATACTGTATAACTGATCCATTCGTCAATGATATTCACTTCAGGCGGTTGTCTACCTTACTTACGATTTTCGAAAGTTGCGTTTTCACATTTTATTACATATATATAGCAATTATTGTTACAAAAGGTCTCTTGAAAATTTCGGTGTAAAGACAAAGCGTCCCCTAAAATCGAATCTTCTCCATGTCCTCGAATTTTGCCTGCGGGCCCAAGGGCAGGTAACAGTTTCGGATGGGACGGAAAAACAACCTAAAATTTTGGAGACAACCAATAAATTAAAGTTCCCCTAAGAGATCCAAACCAAGAGACAATGAGGTAAGAGAGCGAATCCCCTTGCCCAATTATAATTATTTTAAACCTTTTTTTAGTTCACGCCATGCCGCGAAGGTTATTTTTGAATTTTGTTCTTATGACCAAGCGGTCTAGTTTTACGTGGATCATCAAGGTATCAGTTATCACAGCTCGCTTGAGTGCGCTGCGTGGACGTTGTAGTTGGCATGAGATCATCCATTTTTCCAATGTAATGTTGTAGCAAGGCCCGGTTCATTAACAATGAGTACACTCGAAACAAACAGATAAGTGGTGTTTAGGACAGTTCCGTGCAAATTAACCAAGTAGGCTTCTAAAAAAAGAGAGAAAACGATGTAGGACACTTCCAAAGTATCTAGAAATAACCGGTCATTGCGTGTCTCTGATTCACAATTCAACTTAATTTCTCTGTATCGAGCTGTACCCACAAGTCGGTTACCGTTGCGGGGGTCCGAGTCATGCGGAACGTGAAACATAACGCGGAAAGGCGGCTCGCTGTTTTAGGTAACATTCTGAGCAAAAAGCTCCAATGGGGCAAAAAAAAATATTTATATATCATAACTATATAACTGCTTTTAACCATTCGAATATATTCTCGTTAAAAATACCGTTTAAAAAGTTTAAAAAAGCTAAAATTTAAATGCAGTTAAAACAAATTTCATCATGGACGTTCATTATATAATTCTAAAAATCCATAGCATCCTTCAATTTTTCAGTGATTTTTAAAAAGTTTAGATCCATTAAAATAAAATAGACGAATTTCGTTGTTCTGACTTTGGGGAAGTGACATTCTTTATCAATTTTGAAAAACTTTAATGCAGAAATATGCCTTGTTAATTTCTTTTGCGGAATATTATGGGTGAGACCAAAATATTTTTTTCTGAAAATATAATTTTTGCCCTTTCCAATGAGGTATAGCTTTATATGGAACTGTAAATAACAACAGAGATATAGTTTTTTAAAGTTGCATTGTCAAAAATACTTAAAATAAAGGAGGAAGACAAGGAGTTAAAAATTTAAAAAGTTGACCCAAATGTTTCAAGTTCAACGGCAATCCATTTTCATCCTTAAAATCCGTGACAAAATGAATGTCTGATGATCATGATGATGATGATGACGATTAATATTATTATTATTTAATTTCTTTTCGTTTAGTGATAGTACTATAAGTTATTGCAGTGATGCAAATAAGTTGTTAAAAAAAACAGGAAATAGTCTCAATCTTATGCCTAGATATATCCGGTCTTAAACAACCAAACTGGACCATGATGCGAAGACGGGTTTTAGCTATTTAAAAAGGTAGCAAACGTGATATAGCACCTTTAAATCTGTATACTCCTGCTAGGTCCCGTGTGCGGTAAGAAAGGAAAGCCGAGAATCGTCGGTGGATCGGCGGCTGAGGAAAACGAATGGCCCTGGCAGGCGCTCTTAATGGATAAACGGAAAAATCAATTTTGTGGAGGTTCCCTGATTGACTCTCAGTGGGTGTTGACCGCTGCACATTGCATTGATGGCGAGAGTACAAAGACTGTGCAAGTTCGGTAATTTGATTATCATTTCACTGAGCAGACTGAACTTCTTGAATGTGACGTGTTTCCTTGTTTACTCATGGGATGTTGGAGGGGATGTCAGATTGGTGCGGAAGTGCCATTTTGACTAACCCACATTGCACACTAACGAGGTGTACCAGTCCAAGTTTTATAAATGCCCTATTCTTTTCTGCAAAATTTTTTCTGCTGTTGTTGTTATGTGAAATTTTGAAATGACACAATTCACATAGACTACGAGTAGTCCCCGTTTTTCCTTAGGGATAGTAGAGCGGGCGAAACGCAAGCGCGCGTGAAAAGCGAGAGAAACGCGAGCGCACGTACTCGTAGTTCCGTACAATTCACACCAGGTACGTGCTCTCACTCCTCCTTAGGCACTTCCTTTCTCGCACCTCAAGTCACAGACAAAAGCAGTCTTGAAACACGAGTGACTGGTAAAGAAACACTACTGGGAAGCACTGGAATACAAAAAAAAAAAGCGACTCGTTTTCTCCTTCCCACCTTTCTTTGCGCGCAAATTTTGAGAGCGAAAAGTCTGGGAACGAAGCAGACTCGTGTTAATGTCTTGAGACAAAGTTATTTAATTTATTTTAGATTAGGGTCACATAAACGAAAACAGCAGAAACCAAATGGAATAGTTCAGGATTTCAAAGTCATTCGAATTATCAAGCACTGGAAATACAACAAAAGGACTCAAAGCAATGATGTGGCTTTGCTGAAGTTGGATCGAAAAGCCAAGTTAAGCAGGTAAGCTCGGGGGAGACGGGGCAGAATAAAGTAAAAACTGATATTACTATTAGTCCTATTAATTAACATAATTAAATGTACGAGGATCATCGCAGCTTAAAAGCAACTTGTGCAGTTACTAAATGAAAGTCTGAACAAATTCAGGCTTCCAATTCTTGACCTCGGCGATACTGGCGCAGCGCTCTACCAATTGAGCTTACCAGCCAACTTGAAGCAGGCCATTGAATTGGCTCATTATTATTATTATTATTTTCATTGTGTCATTCTTTTTGAGGGTTTATGACAAATCAACTTTGGGTGGACTTACAATGCTCTAGCTGGCCTGATGTTCAAAGATGCATGCTTAAGTCATGCAAAGCACGTGGCGGCTCTGAACCCGTTTGAAAGTGTTAAATGCGTTTCAGACCGAACAAGAATTTTGTACCAAAGCTTAAGGTCTATGTGACGGTGTTTTCACGGGCCGGTTTATTTTTAGATACATTTGAAAGCACTCATTCCTGCCAAGATGATGCACGCATTTGAAGTATAAGATATCAAAGAGGAAAACTAAACGTAACTAAAAGGCAAAAAATACTTATATCTTTAGGCTTTGCTGACAGGTTTGTGCTGCCCTCGAAATGAAATATGTATAACGACTTGCGTTCCTCCGCCATCCCATTTCCCGCTTATCAGGTTCTTTGCTCGAGCCCCCGATAACTCTACCTTTATTCGATTTCCCTTGAAGCTTCGAGTTATCGGGAGTCGACTGTATTATACGCTCCTCTTGACTTGAATTTGCAGAGAGGTGAACCTGGTGTGTCTTCCTGAATCTGTGCAAGACCCTAGCCATGGTCAGAAATGTTGGACAACAGGCTGGGGAACTACAGCATCAGGCGGATCACAACCTGATGTCTTACATGAAGTAGAAGTACCTGCTGTATCCCACGCTATTTGCAACCAGGCTTACAACGGAAAGATAGACAAGACTATGATATGCGCTGGTCTGAAGCAAGGAGGAAAAGATGCCTGTCAGGGAGATAGTGGGGGACCATTTGTTTGTGGTGTAGGAAATGGAAATAATGAAAGGTGAGGTGGAAAGAAAACGTCTCATTAGCACAAAACTTAGAAAACTAAAGGCAATCGGGTCAATTCAACAATACAGGGACGAAGACCCGGTGCATGTTTCTCTAAAGTTACGATAATTAACTGGCCGGGAATGCTGTTGTTGTTTGATACAAAATGTGATGATGAATTTTAAGCCATCACATTTCTATCATTTTAAGCTTGTATCGAGATTCCAGTCCTAGCAGTATGCACCATGTTTGTCACATGAACCTATTTCAATGGCCTAAGCTCGCACGAGTCTCAAGCTGTAGCTTAGTGGTAGAGCATCAGCCTGGACTAGTAACCAGAATTACGGTCATTGGCTCTACTCCTGCTACGAGTACTCAGATTTTTTCTACTTAGTCGCCTGTCTGGGCCTTTCGAGAAACGGGCCCCAGCCGGTAGCAATAATGAGGGACAGAGTGGTAGATTATATGCATGATTCAAATAAGGTTGCTTACTCGGGCATTTGTCTTTAAGCAATGAGGCACTCAGTTTTGTTTGGGGGCCACTCTAGCAAACCATTACAGTAGTGAGTTCCGTTGGCCCAATTAAAATGCCCAATACCCAATTGTTAATGATCATTTGTCAAGGCAACCTTTTTATTGCAGTGATATCCATAAAACAAAATCTGCAATATGAATTGTGTTTTTTTATAACGTATATCCAATGAGCTGTATGCACTTTGCGAGAGTTCATGCAAAATAAGTACTAATTGGTAAACGCTATCTTTTGCATTCAGGTTTTACCTACATGGTGTGACCAGTTGGGGTTACGGTTGCGCTGACCCAGATGCGTATGGAGTATATGCTAAAGTGTCTGTATTTATGAACTGGATAAAAAAACGACTGGGAAAACCGCAAAAGCCTAGACCGACTATGACTCCATCTTCGACCATTCAGCCTCCAGCATCTCCATCCACTCCCTCCGGTAATTAAACTGCCCATAACCTAATTTAGTTTTTCATAATTTTTGTGGCTCTTGTGCATAATTATGCACAATTTCTGCCATAGAATATTAAGACAGGGCGTTGTAAGTACTTCATATTATTATGAGTTATGACGTGACGGATATCACTCTCGCTTGAGTTTGTTTTAGATTAGAACTACACTTTACTAAGAGAACCGTTTGCGAAAACATTTTGCGATCTGAACACAACGCGATTATTTAAGAATTTTTTGAAATACTCAAGTTTTGCTTCATTTTGGCACAACATTAGTCCTCTCTCAGTAGCCTATCGGAAAGGAAGGATCTCTGACGTAGAGTAAGGAACTACGACGTAAATTAAGGAAAAGGTAACAATTGTGGAGTTCTAGATATATTTCTTTCAATTCACAAACTGAAGCAGCTGTTTAAACTGAGATAAAACATGCCGGTAAGATTTCGTTCCAGTTATATGCAACAACAACACTGGCAACGGTAACAACGCGGGAAATACCGAGCATGCATAATAGGCCAAATTTGCCTCCATTCGGCGGGTAACCAATCAGGAAACAGGATTCGAATCTTCTACCCCGCTTGCAAAGCTAGCCAAAGCTAGCAGCAATATAGTATTATACTAGTTCTATTAAAAATGATGATGCCGATAATAATGTTACTTTACTTTCAAACTGTTACCGTTCTCCGTCTGACATTAGGGACTTTAAGCGAATCACTAAGGTGACTTCTACTACTACTTCCATAACGTCACTGACTATCGCCCGCCAAATTTCAACAGCTACGCAAACGGCTCCCAAACTGAGTGACTTCGGGGTTTCTCGCTCATTTGCTTTCGCTGTTAGTAAAACGATGGGAAGACGTAATTACTGGAAAACCAGATCAAGCTTAGCGTCATGTAGTTTCTAGATAATGTGAAAAAAAATAATGAAAGGTTTTGTAACCAGTGACTGAAAAAAGGAGAAAAGTCAACTTCGACAGGTGGTCTTGACGTTGTAGGATTTGACGCTAAGAGGAAAGGTAATTTCCAAGCATGCGCACTGAGTTATTTTTGGGCTTTTTTACTTCCGGTCGCCTTAGTAGAGGTCACCGTAACGATTTCATTAAAGTCCCTAATAACTTACACCTGCTCGTCTGAACGACTGAACCCTTAAGCAGCATATATTTGTTGACACTTTTTAAATAAAAAATCACCATAGGAGCTCGAGTCTGTGGAAAAGGGCCAGACTCACGTATTGTTGGTGGAACTGCGGCGAAGCACGGAGACTACCCCTGGCAAGCGCTTTTGCAAACGGCGAAGACTTCTCGACAGTTCTGCGGAGGAACGTTAGTGCATCCACAGTGGGTGGTAACTGCCGCTCACTGCGTGGAGGGCAGCAAATCAAGGGACATTATTGTGAGGTGAGAAGAAGTATTTTCGAACAGCCTAAGAAGTGAAACAGCTGATCACGGGTTAAAACAATTCAATCAATCATCTACATTGTAATAACTGGACTTTTTCTTCACTTAGGGTGGATTTTCACTGTCGCGAAATTTTTACGTGCGTACGCACGTACATTTTACGCGCGTAAATAAAAAAGAGGCAATGAATGTATGGTCACGCGCATTTAACGTTTAAGTTGACCGAGGTTCAACGTTAACGTTAACGCGCGCGCGACCTTCCATACATTGCCTCTTTTTTATTTTCGCGCCTAAAATGTACGTGCGTACACACGTAAAACTTGCCCGACAGTGGAAATCCACCTGGCCTACCAGGCCTCGAGCCGAAGATATATTTTTAGAGTAAAAATATGAAACATGGAGTGTTTTCGAGCTCAGATACCTGTCCGTGTTGTCATTGCTTTGTTTTGATAACTGACAACTTTATTGCTTGATTGGAAGAGAACGGAAGACGGAAAAAGGCAAGAGATGGGAGTTCTAAAGGGGCGGGAAGCCAGAAAAACGGGGAAATTACCCGCAAAGTAACCAAAAAAGGGGCTTAACCAGCCAAGAAGAAAAGGGGCTTGAGCCAGAAATGCGAGTACCGGAGTCCCCAAATTCCCTCTAACCCCTTTCCCATAACGTACTATCAAACCCATGTTAAAATTAATTGTGGAAGTTGAGCATGGAACTTCAAGTGTTTTTTCACGGACTCGTTTATTTATGGAACCATGGTTTCAAGGCCGAGCCATTACCGAGAAAATGAAACGACTTGATAATGTGGTTTCAGTCTACATGCCACAAGCCAGCCCCCATTTCGTCAACGTTAACGTCTCACGAGGACTTTCGATAACCACGAGCCTCATGGAGGGTAATCGGTAATTTCTTGAAACACGGATTTCCGAAATGCTTCGTTGACGTATTACAAGACGAAAAATAGCACTTTCAGTGTTTTCAGTTGGGCCACCGTTTAAAAAACACCACAGACCATAGAGGCTTCATGCCTAGAAATATTTGAAAAAGAAATCGCATAGTAATGGTAATGCAAAAAAAAAAAAAAAAAAACAGACAAAAAAAGAGGATGGGTACCATTCAGAGTTTACCTGTTGACGTTCGATGCTGTGCAAGTAGAATTCTAGATAGTCACTGATAAACGAAAGATAAAAGACCAGAGGGAGATATAGTCCGTAATAAAATTACCTGCAGGTTTAATTTACTTTCTGTTTAAAGCTGTTTAAGATCCTTGGTGATTAGGCTAATCATTATATTTTTACTGTGACTAGAATGGGGGCTCATAATAGAGTTGAAAGTAATCCGCCAAATGCGAAGGAACAGAGATTTAAGCTCCTTAAGATCATCAAGCACCCATCATACCACAAACCAATAGACATGAGTCATGACATCGCGCTTCTACAACTAGAACGTCCTGCTATCTTGGATAGGTAAGTTAATTAGTTGATCAGTTTTGTTCTCCCGTCGACCTGAGAGAAAACACCTCATTCTGTTCCAAATTATGAGTGTGGTAGCGGGGTGCGGGGAATGTGAGGTTATCACTGGTGCCTTCAGACTCAAACTGAAAACTAAATATGACTTGAGGCTTTTCGCAATTTACTATCGAAAAATTGAAGAGCACATTGAGCAGCAGAAGAACATTATACGCCAGTGTAGATCAGAACGGTTGAACATTCATTGCATGCTGGTCTATTAACCAGAATAGAAACGCATGCATGCAAAGCCAACAGAAAAGTTCAAGAATAGCGTAGTCTGTGGTGGAAGAAGTATTTTATTTTTTGGTCTTTAATTACTTTATTTTTTGGAAATGGTGCTTAACTGAGTGTACCAAAAGGTCCCATACCAGCAGTATTCTTGGGGCGAAACGTAACTGGGATAATGCTTACACCGCAAATAAAGAAATAGCCCTAAAATCAGGGGAGCGTTTCTGTGAGTAAAATGCGATACTATTTTGAGGGTCTAAATTGGCTCCCTTAAATCGGGGCGAATACAGTCAAATTACCTAAGCAGGTCTCTAGGATTGATTTGAGTCCCTGTTTGGGCTGTAAGAGACATTTCATGGGGCTGTTTAATTTGGCTTAAATTGATTTCAAATGGCTCCAAGGCTTTGGCCTGAAGGGCTAAATTTAGACGCCGCCCAACTTGCTGCTCGCGGCTTCACTGGTGGCACACTCATATCCGGCGCGTTCTCACAGATTTTCGAGCAAAAGAGACACTGCACGACGCATGCTCGCAGTCTAGGCTTTAAAAATGTTCTGGAGAAGAAAAAATATGTATATTTATATATCTAGCCGGATTTTTGAAAACGTTACCGCTAAATGGACCTTTTCCGTCCAACAGTAGTACATCTCCAAGGTAGCCATTATAAAAACTAAGAGTGCAACCATTGCTTTCTTCTCTTCTCCTCCTTTCTGGCTCCTCGTTCTTTCTTTTTCTCCTTTCCTTTTCCTTCGTTAGTGTGCTTTTGGAGCTTATCGAGCCCAAAAACACCCTCTTTTTGACACCCTTTCACTCAAATGACAGCAAATTTCGTTAGGTTGGTATTAAAAAAAAACGGCTAGATAAAAAAAAAACATATCATATTTGTATTTATAAAGTCTCTTTTCAATGCGAAATTTACGCCTCCTTCTTTTTCAGCTACACCAATCTCGCATGTTTACCATCTACTGATCCAGTTGTTGGAGATTCGTGTGTTATCACAGGTTGGGGTACACTGGCGTCTGGTGGAAATCAACCAGACAAGCTGCAAGTAGCTACCGTTCCCGTGGTACGTCAAAGTACATGCGAAAAGGCTTATAAGCAGTACGGTATTCATGCATCAATGATTTGTGCAGGATTGACTGAAGGGGGAGTGGATTCATGCCAGGGAGATAGCGGCGGACCAATGGTGTGCAAGGATGCTTTTGGGCTGTATAGTCTTCATGGTGTCACAAGCTGGGGTATTGGATGCGCTGATAAAGGCAAATACGGTGTGTACGCCAGGGTGAATTATCTCCTCACATGGATTAACAAGCAGATCAGCAGCAATTGAGCATAAAAATGGAACTTTATCAGGGGCAATGATTTAAAAAAATATCCGAACGTAGATAAATGCTTATAATAGTGCATGTAGTGGTATTTCGAAACTGCCATCTGCAAGTCTTTTTTTTTTCGCCGGAAAAGATCGACACGGGAAAGAGATAAAGGTGCTTAATAAGGTCGCAGGTAATCAAAGGACCAATGGCAACTTCAGTAAATATGCAACAGTTAGAGTAAGATTGCGAACGCACATGCATATACGTATGTCTGCTAGTGATGTCTGAGAGAAGGCAGTTTATTGAAGAAGTATTAGGCCTTTGTAAGGGGAGGGAATGTAGATGCTGAAATGCAAGAGCCGAGATAAGTTTCTTTAAGGGGTATTTTGATCACAATAAGCAATAAAAGTAATGGAAATGCTCTTAGACTCTTGAGCATTTTATGTCTTTCAATTCGTTCATGTGTATTATCACATGTGACATATAAAACATGGACTTGTATGAAATTTTTTTTATCCCAACTCTCCCAGGGATTAAACACTAAAACTGATGGAACAACCTATAGGCGGCGGAGAAGGGGGCAGAGGGTTCCGTAGCCCCATCCCCCAGGGGGCAGAGCTTCCCCACATTTTGGTGCTCAAAAAGAGTTTTAAGGGTGCATTTGACATTATCTGTGACTTCAGAGCGCCCATTTTCTGCCCTCAGACGACTCAAAAACTAACTAAGAAGCACCATGAAGCAGTACCGCCTGAACAACTGCCTACTGATGCATTGTCACAAATCGATTACGGACACACTAGACTCTGTGATTATTGCGAAGAGGTTTGCTTCTGCCAACGAACAGCTCAAGGGCATTTTGGAAAATTTGAGTAGGGGTATGCGTATGGCTGGGTGGAAGATGCCCCCCATCCCCACACCTCCACGTTTCAAAACTCTCCGCCGTCTCTGCAAACCCCTCCCCCTGTAAGATATGGGTACCAACCTGACACATGTTCAAGTTTGAAGATGCAAATGAAACGGAGCTTTAAAAAAAAGCCAGATTCTCCTTTTTCTTTTCTTTTTCGACATACTTCCATATAAGGTTTAACATATTAGCCAATCCTACGTCAGTTATTTCGTAAAACCTTCCTTTAGACTGTGGACTAGGAGAGAAATAACTTGACCGCCATGGAAATGTCAATTTTGTGGAGAAAAGAAGTGTATCCTGCATTTACCATAATATAATCACTTAAGCTGACATATAGAGAAGTGAAAATCTGCCAGTGGACAAGGTGTCGAGGAAAACGCTGTATTTGGCGCTTACATAGTGGCTCTTCAGTTTACCATTATTCAGACAGAAACTAAAGAAGCTAAGCTAAAAAGTTGCCATAATTTGACCAACCAAACCATTATATTTTTCTAGACCGTTTATTGGTACTTTTTTGAGTTAACATGAAAGTGGGACGTCGCGTTCTCTACTTTTTTCTCGTATAGTGGGGGAGTGGCGCTAGACATACGCAAACTATTCGAGTAAGAAGAAAAATTATTACATTTTATATATTTGTATGAAAGCCGGACCACACAAGGTTTCATCATTAGGTTTTCTTCACAAAACACACCTAGCTAACTTTACCATTTTTATGTCCGATATGTAAAAATCTCTAATGTTCTACTGGCAAACTTCAAAATTTTTCAAAACCACTTCAAGCGACTTACAACAACTTACAAGAATGCATTATTACTGTAGTATCTAATTCTCCAGCTGCCTTTCTTGCTCTTCCTCGCTGTCCTGCCCTGCTGGTACAGGTTCTTTCTTTGTTTCATTATTAGTAATTTCCTTGTTATGATTTATGTTGGGATCTTCCTCGACTATTTCAGTTGTTGGTTCCAGGCTGGGTTTTTCTGTGATTTTCGCGACCTCAATAAGTGGAGGATGCTATTGAAAAAAACAAAACAAAAACAAGACCATAAGTGAGGGTGGAACTCCATTCTGCAGTACAAAGTGGCTTAATTAAACTCCTAATAATGCTCTGTCGAAATTCAAGAAATTTAAGTTTCATGGGCATCTACGGAATGCTTTATCAAGGAAAGTGGAAAACGTAGTGGAATAGGGGTCATTCAAAGAGGGTCTCAATATGGTGGTAGCTTTGACAGTTGACTGTCAATTTTCTCCGATTTTGACGGTTGATGGTTAAATTTTTAGAGCTTTTGACGGTTAAAGGTTAGTAAGTGGAAATTTAGTCCGAACGTTAAAGTAAATATTAACTTCTGTATGAATTAATATTAACTGTTGTGTTTTGAAGGTTGCGTTGGCCTTTCACGTATAAAATTTCAAAATATTTTCACAATAAGCAGGTTGTAATGTCTAGAAAGGTTGTTTTTGAGAACATAGGAACTGGTTTTTTCCAGTTTATAAATTTTTCAGGAGACACAATCCCGTGAAGACCAGCTAAAATAGAGAGATTTGAAATGCATTGAAACTTTTTGAGCTTTTTTGACGGTCAATCTTAATCTACATTTTTGGCATTTGACCATAAAAAATAACCTTTATTGACGGTTGACGGCTTAATTTTTAGGCTGTTTGACAGCTGACGGCTAAATTTTTAGGCTGTTTGACAGCTGACCGTTAACCCCATTGACACTCTCTTCGAAAGCACGAGCTGGTCTCGACCAAACGCTCAAAAGCTAGAGCCATACTGCATCTTTACAATTCAGGGTTGACAGGTTTCAAGATTAACTTTACTGCGCTTTTCACAAACATGCGAACTCTAAAGTTCAAAAGCCGCCTTCACAATTGCGTTTTTCGCTGCCGTCAATCATAATTACGATATCACAAGAAACGAACCTGGAAACTCAGAAACACACAAAACGGATCGAAATCCACCAATCACAAATCACAAACCTTGACCTTTTGAACCCGTTAAAGTAAAGTTTTGTTTCCTAAGAGGTCCGTTAAGATGATTGACGGCAGCGAAAAACGCAATCGTCAGTTGGCTTTTGAACTTCAGAATTCGCATGTTTGTGAAAAGCGCAGTAAGCAAGTATATATCGCGGCAGGTGAGATGGTTACTCAACAAAGGTTTGTTCGAGAAGGCTAGCTACGCCCCGATGAAAAACCCCTTACGGTTAAATATACCCCTTTTCTAAAAAAAAGATACCCTTTTCTATACCTTCTTTTAAAAATGGTAACCCCTTCAAATTCTAAACCCTTATAATCACACTGGCCGGGATGGGAGAACAGTGATAAGTTCAAATGCTATATTAAATACAAGGCCCTTTTGAATACCTAAATCACTCCCTTCTTTTTCATGTACTTTAACTTGTGAAATCCCTACCCCTCTGAATACTAAAAACTTGAAAAAGGTACCCCTTTCGGGCGGAGCCTGCTCGTAGAGGACTTTGAAGGACTTTATATTTCTAATTAAAGTCACTTTCTTAAAGTCCCCTGTTGAAGATGGGACTATATCCATGATTTCCATGTGGTCATCCTAGCCTAGCCTTCTTCCTCAACTATTGTATAAATCTCAAGTATTGTTTCTTCCCTTGGCATGGCGCTTCGATGTACATTAGTGACACAAACTAGCTTAAAGAAGCAATTCAAACTCTTTACACTTACCCCAGTTTTTTCCAGTTTCATTTCTTTGGCCAGTTCCTCGTTAAGCTTCTTTTCCTCTTTGGCTGTTTCCTTCCCACTTAACAGGGTTTTCGTTGTTTCCTTCCTCACTGCCACTGTCACCTCCGGATTCTTCTTTTCCTTCACTGCAGTAGTGGGCGATGTTTGAGTGGAAACAAATACTTTCTCGGCCTCCTTAGTATCGTCTTCATTCAGAGTTTTTTCAGCCAAAGCAGCTAACTCAAGTTCTTCAATGGACAAATCTCCATTTGATTTGGCTTTTGAAGAAGGCTTGACCCTTTCTTTTTGCGGTCCCGTTTCTTGAGTTTTCGTTGACTGCTTTTTTGTTGTAGGAATGGGAGAATGGGTCGAGGGAGTTTCAGTCTTCATGTTCCTTGCTTTGTTCCTTTCCTTTTCAAGAGCCTTGTCAAATGCTTGTGCAATTTTTCTTTCCTCTGGTGTTTCCTTTTCCGTTAGCACTTCCTGTTCATCTTCCAAATCCTTTTCTTCATCTTGGTTGTCATTGGCGTCATCAAGTACGTCCTCATCGGAAGGTGTGGCAGATTGGACCTTTTCAACTTTTTTAGATTGTGCCTTGTCACTCTCAGAAGGAGCTGTCTCTTGAGCAGGCGATGCTTTCATTTGCGGCTTCATCTGAAGATCTTCTTCTTCCGCAGCTTCCTGCTTAATATCCTCATTGTTTCTGCTTCCGGTGTTTATACGCGGTTGTACAAGTTCAACTTTCTTCACAGCGACCTTAACATTTTCCTCAGACTTTTTCACCACCGACTTGTCTTCCTTTTCCTTCTCATTGTTTATCATGTCTCTTCTTTCAAGATTCAGGCTTTTTTCTTCCGATTCGTCATTTGAGGTCTTTTGTTCTGTCACCTGTACAGAAATTGTGTTAGTTTTCTTCGTTTCTTCCTTGACTAGAGCTTGCTTGGCCTTCTCACTCTTTGTGTTTTCCTCGAGATCTTCCTCCTCACTTTCTTCTGTCTCTTTTCCTTGGTCTTCATCGTCATCGTTTTGCACCTTTTTAGCAGTGATCTCATTAGGCCTATTGTCTTCTTCAACTTCGTTTACTTTCTCGACCTCTACACTGACTTTTACTTCTGTAGCTTTCTCAGTCGGAGAAATCTCTTCAACTGAAACAATTACCGTTTCGTTATTGTTGCTTTTCCTTGTGTTTCCAATTGCCAAATCAAGATCCTCATCATTTTCCGTCTTTTCAACCGAAATTTGAATGACAGGCTTCGTTTCCTTTTTATTTTCTTCCTTGTTTACCTTTTCCACTACTATGCTTTCTTTAGACGTTTCTTTTTTCTTGACGTTTGTTTTCTTGTCGTCAGGGGAAATCTTCTCAACTGAAATAAAAGGTTTGTTCTTTCTTATTCCTTCGCCTTCGAGATCAAGTTCTTCGTCATAAGCCGGAGGCTTTTCTTCACTCTCTTTCTTCCTCTCTACTTCTTCTACAACTACGCTTTCAGCCGACGCTCCCTTTTCCTCCTCTTTTTGTTCCCCTTTCTGTTCTGTTTGCACTTTTTCTACGGAAATTTCATCAACTTTCTCCACAGGCGCGCTTCCTGCAGCTATTTTTGTTACCTTTATTTGACCTCTGATGCTTTCTTCCGCTACGGCCTGCTTCGTTTCCTCCCCTGCAGATACCTTCTCTACTGAAACAGCATCTCCAGTATCTTCTCCTGCCTCGCTTGGCGCTGGTGCTATTTTTTCCACTTGAATCTCATCCTTTCCAGAAGGCGTCAGTTTTTCTACCTTAATTTCAATTTTACTTTTCTCCTCGCCTTTGTTCTCTTTGACAACAACTTCTGGTTCAAGTTTTTCAACCTGGATTTTTACCACGGTACTATTACTTCCAGTTAGTGTTGGAGAAATTGTGCTGACGGTTTGGTTTGTCGGTTTCAGGGACGGTGTAGTAATCTCAATTTTCTCATTGACTGGAACGGTCGTCTCAGCGGAGGGTGTGGAAAAAATGCCTAAAAGAAAGGACAAAACAAAGTCACATCAGTAAGTCTAGAATAGACCTGAATAGAAAAGAGCGTAATGAACAAATTGAAAGAGCCAGGCCGCATTGCTGGGAACGTTGTTAGCCATCTTTGATCAATTATTTGTTCTCTCTCCTTCTAAAAATTTTCTTCTTTCTTGGGCTGTAAGCTCATCCAACCATCACATCGGCGCTGCTCGGCAACATTATTTGTCGATCATTTCTATCGTCGTCGTTTACGTAGTTTGATTTAAAACGCATTGTTTCGAATGGGTGAAACAAAATAGACTACAAAACAATCCGTATTTTTACATAGTCAACTACGCACGAACAGTCAAACGAAAGGTCTGGAGAAAGGCTGAAAACGGTGATTGAGACTGAAGAGAGACGCTCGAGGCGCGTATGTGAGCTTCTGTTGCCGCGCCGGCGCTTTTTGCTTGAAAAAGCGCCGAGTTTTATAGGAAAAAAAAAACGACTGTTTTGAAGTCTAAAATAAAAACAAAAGGCAAAATTTAGAATGATAAAACCTTAAGTATTATACATACAGTCAAACCTACTCTACGAACACTCTACCGCCCGCCCCCCTACCAGGGTCCGTACTGAGAGAAAACGTATTAAGGGCTTTCCCCAGGGACAAAGCAAATTGTCCGGAATAATGTGGTGTCCGTATTAAGCGGGTCTTCGTAAAGCGGGGTTTGAGTGTAGAGGCAGAACCACAGCAACAAATCAGCGAGGACAGCCGCATCTTGAGAAGACCAGGATCAGTAAAAAAAAAGGTGGACAACCAAGTAGAAAAACAGTAAACTGATCTTTACAGCAAGAACACTGGGGAAAATATATATATATAAAGAAAAATCAAATTGCAAAGTTTATTTTACCCATCACCATTAGATTTTTCTTCAAGTTCGTATTATTCTACTTGCAATTTGTATCAGGGAAAAGGTCCTTGTCTGAGGGTCTCAATGGGGTTAAGAGTCAGCCGTCAAGCACCCTAAAAATTGACCTTCAATCGTCAAAAAAGGTCTTTTTACCGTCAACTGTCAAAAATGTAGACTAAGATTGACCGTCAAAGTCTGAAAAGTTTCAAGGTATTTAAAATCTCATTATTTCATCTGGCCTTCACGGTATTGTGTCTCCTGAAAAATCTATAATAAAACTGAAAAAACCAGTTCCTATGTTCTCAAAAACACTCTTTCTAGACTTTACAACCTAATTTTGAAAAATATTTTGAAATTTCATAAGTGAACTAGGCCAAGAAAACCTCCAAAACACAACATGACAGTTGATATTAATTCATACAGATACTTACTTATACAGATATTTACTCTTATCAACGTTTGGACTAAACTTCCACTTAATATACTGAACCGTCAACCGTCAAAAACTCTAAAATTTAACCGTCAACCGTCAAAATTGGAAAAAATTAACCGACAACCGTCATAAAAGCTACCACTCCCCATTCTTTTTTCTTCATCTCGGCTAGCGAGTCCTCTTCCCTCTGCAGCTCAAGGTGCGGCCTGGACCCGCCACTGAAGGTTTGTGGTAGTGGTGGTATTTTTTTAGTGTCTTTTCAACGTCTTTTCAATCGGACTTTGAGAGACTGAAAATATGTAGCCCGCTCACCTGTGGATAGTCCTTTGTTTGCAGTTGCTGTCTCTTTCACCTTCTTTCTAACAGCGTCAACATGGTCCTCGATCTCTTCCAACTGATTTAGTCACGAAGAAATCAAAGACCAATTAGTGTCGTCTTGTAAGTGACATACATGTAGGTTTGACCTTTTTTCAAAGAATAATTCTCAAAAGGATAATTATAAAAAGAAAAGTTTAACAAACATCTACATGACTTTTTAGTCTAAGAGAAGCTTGGCATCATGACTAATTTTAATCATCCAAAGAAACTTTTATATCATTTATCCATCCGTTTCTCTCTACTTATTTTATACTGGTTTTTATTTGATAGTTTATTTGACGGTTTTTTCTTAAGTCTTTTTGTATGTCATCTAAATATAAACTTAGAATTAAATGGACATACAGCTGAAGGCTCTAATGTTAAAAAAGAAATCTAGAAACAGAATTTAATTTGGAAACAAACGAGTGGGATTACTTTTGACAGATAACTTTCTAGCTATCTGCAAGTACACATGCCTGCAGTTAGTAAAAAGCCGCGAGTAAGAACCTGCTTTTTCCCAAGTTAGCCTATTAACAGGTTCTTACATAAATAGTTAGCGCAAGCTAAATAGCCTAAAATACACCGTAGGTAAAGAAATCTGGGGATATTCAGCTTTTTCCTTATATAAAATCTACATATCATTACATTGTGATTGCAGTTGGAGAGATACTGAGGCATCTATGTCTGCAAAGAGGATGTTGACTTGTATGTGTCTTATTTGCCCAAGTGTACTGACTTTTTTATCATTATTTATTTTTTATATATATTTTAGAACATAAGAATCTGTTTCAAATATTAGGCTAAACAGGTCCTTGTATAGAAGTCTATTGTATACTCTTGTATAGAAGTATATTGGCAAATTGTAGCCTATTAACAGGATGTTAACAACCAAGTCCTTACTCGCCCTTTTTTTTCTGTCGTGACGTATTATTATTATAATTATAATTATTATTATTATTATTATTATTATTATTATTATTATTTTTATTATCCATCACTGACCTCAGATTCCAGTTCCTCGACAGAAATCTGCAATACATAACACAAGGTCAGTAAAGTAGGCACAAATTGCAAACAGGAAATTACGCTTTAAGCTAAGGGTAAGAAAAAGATGGAGAACTAAACACCTGACTAAAGACCAGAAAAGAAGGTTCGTGTGAAAGCCAAGCTGTCGGGGATCTTTACAGACCAAACGGGGAAATCAGTGAATGATAAAGTCAGGATATCAACAGAACTTATCAAATAAATCATTTTATAACAACCAATCCAATGAACAACAATACAATCTAACGTTGACCATGGCATTTTAAAAGAACTTTCAAATTCTAACTTTTAACAAAAAAAAGCAATCAGTATCTCCAGGAGGACTGGGAGGAGGGGTGGGAGGGAGAGACCCTGTATAAGGAGCCGTTAACCCTTTAAGCGCCAGTATCCACATACAAGTTTTCCAAACTGATCTCCATACATTAATTTTCCTTAAAGAATGAGTTGACAGAATTTGATAAAAGATCAAGGCATTTTTGCTTGGGTGATCACTTTATTAATTCTCATAATTTATCTCTAGACAGTGTATGGATATTGTTAGGGGAAAATTGATCTTGGTCACTATTGGCACCTAAAGGGTTAAAGCAACCGATCCTGCCTACGATCATATCTGTGCATGGAAGGACAAGGGAGGACATGATCGCAGTTTTAAGGGGGATGGGGTGGGGGTGGGAGCCAGGGGTGGTCTTAAATATCGAAGGGCTAGATGACGGGGGATACTTTTAAGTCTACATAATCACATAACACGCCTGTGTGAAGAAACGCTATTTGCCAAAGTGGAGGCGGTCGTGCCAAGTTGCATTTGGTCAAGTTACACATAGGGACAATACTGATGCGAAAGAAGACACTCCTTTATCCTCTCTTGATTAATAATATGGTTAGCGTACACACAATATGTCTCTCTAGAAACTTTAAACGGAGAAGAGAAAAAACCATTCAACCCTCTTTCAGCAATTTTGCAATTCTAGACTCCATTGGTGCATTGACCTCCACTTACAAGATCACACGACAACAAAGGAAATGACCCCATTTCAGCGTTAAAGGATGCTTCAGGAACGTAACATTAACCACATGCATGAAATCATTCGTGTTATGGGCTGTAATAAGTAGATAGTTTTCGAATTATCTTTCTACTGCTTGAGCAAATGCCTTAAAAATTCCTTAGAACCAGTACGAAATCGAGAGCTCGAGTAAGGGTATATTGCTGCCAGAGAACATATTAAATTGCTGTTAAGCTTTTTTTAACTTTTAAAGGTTAACATGACAATCCGAGTTACTTAGCATGCCTTCACGCAATAAGAGGCGATTCCCAAAAGACAAGTACGTATTGTTTCGCGCAGAAACATGGAAATGGTTTTCACAAATACTGGATAGTGTCCCTCGAATCTTTGTTAAATACTCCTCTAGATTTTGAAGCTATCAGTGAGAGTACTCACGACAAACATTTTCTAATCTACAGACGTCCTTGATATTGTACTCAAACATGTCCGTGCTTTTTTAGCTCGTAATGCCGTCAAACCAATTTTTTATGCTATTTTTCACGCTGATTACCCATCAGAAACCCTTTTTTGCACTTTCCTCTCCTTTAAGAGCAAACAAGAAAAACATATTAACCAATTTCTTCCCCCCAAATGAAGTCACGCCAAACATGGCCATAAGCCTTCCTTTTATGTTCCTGTTCGTGCGGTCCGGCCAAGATTATCTACGAGTAGTGATTCATAAAGTGATGTTATTAATTTTGACAATGAGGCATGCATAACTTACCGTTCTTTCTACTCTGCCTTGATCACTTTTATCTATTGGCACTGGAATAAAAATGGATGAAAGAAAACAAAGAAAGATCAACACTTCCCACCAAGAAAGAAAGGAAACTCAGCTTGGTTCCTTCCCCAGTCCTCAAGCACCAAGGGCATACAAAGTATAGTTACACTTACCAGGTAACGCCAAAGTTGCACAGAAGGAAAGCAACGTTACGACGACAGCCACATTCATCTTGTTGTTCTCCTCTAATGTCCCGCACCTATTGAGTGCTTTCAGACATTCCTTAACACTTTAAAATAGCTGACTTGACTTGGCCCTTGGACTGAGGAAAGTGAAATCTGATCTGAACTTGTCAAGTCATGTTTTCTCAAAATTAATCCCACTTACTTCTATGTCTTCTATAACTTATCAAAATAAACGATCATTAATCTAATCAGTTTTTTAATCTGGAGAAAAAATAATTCAATCCATTCTGCCCCACATTTTTTCCCTTTGTTTCTGTCCATTTAGTTTTATATTAAGTCTTAAACTGATTTGCAAATATTTGGTTTATTTACTAACTGAATTTATTTATTAACTGAAAGTTTATTTATTTATTTATTTATCTATTTATTCATCTATTTGAAACCTTTAATAAACATTCTATGAGAAAAATGTCGGTTAGGAAACACAACGTTTCGAAAACCCCAAGTCGTTACAGTCAAGAGCGAAAAGAAAAAGTCACAGTGACAGTTATAATGCTTGCGGTAAATATATGAAATGCTGGAAATGTAAATGAAAGAATGCGACAAACAGAGTAAAAAATGGTGATCATTTAATATTAAACAAAGCCAATGTAAAAGAACAAAGCGTTGGAAAGGAGTCATTTTTAGTGTTCAATGCAAGTTTGTTCCCTTCATCTTTATTATAAAAGTATTTCCCAAGACAAGCAGTCAAAATTTCCACTACACTTCCTCGAAAAGGAAAATTGTTTGTGCAGGTTCGTCTGGGGTAAATATCATCCTTATCCTTATTATTATTATTATTATTATTATTATTATTATTATTATTATTATTTTTCGAGGAAGTGTAGTGGAAATTTTGACTGCTTATCTTGTTTTTATTTTATTTTATTTTATTTGATTGTTTTTAAACAGTTGAAAGAAACTTTTGAATTTTAGAGGCTGACAGTTTTTTTTATTGAAATGAAATGTTTTTAATTCGAATAAATTTATTAACTCTTTCTAAGCTAAATTACGTGCTTTTTAAATCGACAGGAATTGTAAATGGTGTTTTGAATGAATAGTTTTTTCTTTTTTTCAAGCGAATTAATTGTAAATAGGATTTTAATAGTTAGCATTGTTGTCAATAAAATTATTATTATTATTATTATTATTATTATTAGAAGAAGAATGTACATATGGTATATATTTTAATATTTCATATTTTTGAATCTGTAAATAGTCTATTTTTTTTAAATCTATGAATAAAGTTTTGTATTATTATTATTATTTATTAAAAATTAGTATTAGTATTAGTATTGATTAGTATTAGTATTAGTATTAGTATTCGAATAACGGTTTTTAATTGAAATGAATTTTTTAATCGGAACTATGTGGGTTTTTTTAATCGAAATGAATTGTAAATAGTACTTGTACTGGATAGTTTTTTTAAAGCAAAATTTAATTGTAAATAGGCCGGATTTTGTAGTTAGTTTTCTTATCAATAAAAGATTCAGATTATTTATTATTATTATTATTATTATTATTATTATTATTATTATTATTATTATTATCATCATTATCATTATAAATTCTTTTCACACTCTTCCACAATTTTTGATATAGAAGCATGTGGCTTTTTTTTTCATACAATATTATTTATTTATTTCCGGTTTATTCTGATTTACTTTCCTTTACAGGCCTGGACTGGCTTTTTAGCAATTAAACTTTAAAGGACCGCAAACGAATATACCGTAGAACGTACGATCGATAGAAGACCTGCACATGATCAGCTAAAATATACGCTGCGTAGACACATCGAATTCTGCAAAGCTGAATGCAGATCGTACTTCGTGGAAATTAACTTTGCGAGACATCAAGGGGCACCGAAGCCGTAGCCTGGCTGAACTAATGACCGGAAATGGTGCTTGGTCACGCAAATTCAATATCCGGGAACTTTTAACATCGAACGAAGACAACTTCCTCCACCGGTGTGAATCGTCGTAGCACGAAGCTTTCAATTTCTTTTGTGATTTTTGGTTTTATTACGTTCTTTTGGGGTTAGATAGTGCTGTTCCTTCTTCGCAGCATGACGAAGTTTACAAACTGTTTCTGGGTAAGTTATATTTTACTCGTAAGAGTATCTTTCGCTGGAATGCGTCACTGAATGTGTGTAGGGATGTTTCTCTCAGCTGTCCATGACTGCTTGCTCTGAGATGACATCTGTGTTTCAGCTCTTTTACTTTGTACAATGTATGCGATGCGATAATCTAGTGTTTCGAGCGTGAAAGGTTTTGAATTTGAAACTATAACGACAAATAACCGCATCTTCGAGTACAGGGTCATTCCTGGGATCATTAATTTTTCTATAAAGCCTGCTAAAAATTTTCTCATCTTTTCAAAATCAGTGATTCATTTTTTCTCGTCATGGGGCTTACGTAACTTGTATTTTCGCCGGCAAACAAAATTATGAATACATGGCTTTCAATAAACCTTAATTAAGTTTTTCAGCAATTTTTGTCTCCTTCCTCATCTCCTCTTCCTCATTGATCTCCTCCCCCCCATCAACTCCTCCCCCCCTCTCATCTCCTTCCTCTTCCTTATCTCCTCTTATTTCTGCACCAAGGTAATTAATTAGTACTGTTATTCACTCAAAATATTTCCCGATTCTGATTGGCTAAAAGCACACGCATAATTCACCATAACCAACTACTGATGACCAAATTTGGAAGAATAATTTGCATTTAATGAACCAATGACATCACATATCATCCTCCCTTGGTAAAAGATGGTGGGGGGGTTGTCATAATGTACTGCTCTTGATAAAAACAGGATGGGTATCAGCATTTATCTTTCAGCTGAGATCACCAAGTTGATTTCTTATTTCACGTGATTCTGTGTCGGGTTGTTCAAAGCTGGGTTAAACTAACCTAGGGTTACAATGTAGTGCAGAATTTGAATGCAGCTATGGTAGCTTAAAAAGCAAATTCAGTTTAATTCTTTTCTCTACAATTTGATGATTAGATTGCCCTAAAGAAAATGGTGAAAATTATCCGAGAAAATGTTCTTGAGCAAAAGAATGAAAAAGGTGGATGAAAATTTAACCCTGGGTAAGCGCTAATCAGCCTTCAAGCTACTGGGTCCTGACCGTAATATTGTTAGATGATTACAGTGGAGTTCTCGAGTGCGCAAAGTGCATGTACATGTAGTGGAGCACCATAGATAAGAAAATTTGGTTACCAATGCATCCCTGAAATTTTGGTAGTCATGTGACCGTACAACCGTCCGTCCTCCCATCCATCCCTTTGTCTGTCCGCACCACAGAGAAGCCAAATAAAACATGTGAAATGTTACATTTCCGAGCTAGTATGAGAGCCCGTAACCTGTGTTTAACTTGATAATAGACATTGATTATGGTCAAGCGACGGCTGTCAAAACAGGGTATCCACTGGCCATCATCTCATTTGAATTAGTGCATTTCTTGCCAGTTTGTGTGAGCAACAGGTTCAATTAATATTTGTACCCTGAGGCTTAGAAAATTTAGAAAATTTAGAAAATTATTGTAAGTTGCATTGTATTTGGAAAATCAAGTTGCCATATTACTACATGTTTTACAATGATAGTCTGTAACTAACACTCTTTATCCATGAATTTGTTCACTCCGACAGGGCACTGACTTTAATAGCACAGCTGGTTTTGATGCACTGTGCAAGCGAATGAGAGATGGGAGACAAATGACCCAGGATTTGGAAGACTTTATTAGACAAAGGTAAGACTGTGTACAAACAGTTAATGTTCAGAACCCTGGCATAATGAGTGGAATTCAAGCCCCTATAGTTATAATAAATTTGTGGTACAGGACACAAATAAAATTGTGACATTCCTCACCTGTTCTAATAAATTATTTTTCCAGTCCATTAATAGTTCTTTCCTTCCCCCGCTCTTGCCTTCTTTTGTGTGATATATAATGATACTATATTTTTGGGTAATTAAGCGCTATACTTTGTGAATTGGTTTTGTTAGATACTTTAATTTAAAGGTTAAAAATCAACATTAGCTATCAGCTCGGTGGGAAAATAATTACTGACCAAGTTCTGAGCCCTTGCACTAAACAGGGCATGGTTCCTGAAAGGATGATCACAGCACTTATCCAGGACTGGATTAAAATTTTAATCTAGCATAGTGATCGTATCTTCCTATATTAATTTTGATATCATTTTGAGTATCGATCAGTTTAAGGCTAAAGAAATACCTTGTAAACTTTTCACTTGCATGTCCTCAGGGCTAAACAAGAAAACTGGGTCTAAAATTTGGATTTTTACTGAGCAAGCCCAACCATCTTTTGAGAACCAGGCCCTTTAAGTGCATGCTGTCCACTGAAAAGATATAGACACTGAGTCATGTATCTCTATCTTGTGGATATTGTATACTTTTACACTGTAATATACAGTAACAGTGATATTGTTACAAATAGTTATGGTGAGTCCTGGGACTCATCTTGTGAAAAATCATGAGTCCCTGTCCATTTAACCAATGAGTCCCAGCTTGTTAATAAAAAAAACAAGGACTCCTACACATGTACTGTAAATTGAAAATTCTTGGGCCTTTATGTAACCACACAGTTAAATCTGGAGCCAGCTGATGCCAAAACTCTTTATTACAAGATACTGACATTAAAATATAGTCCTTATATATTTAATTTAATTTAAATCACAAAAAAGAAAAAAATTAATTTGCACCTTTAAACATCAGAGCCCTTCAGAAATTGATCATGTGAACAGGATTATAATAATTTTACCAAGAAAAAAATCTTCAAATCGATCGATTGTTGTTTGTGTCCTCCAGGACGCATTTCATTATTTTCATCTTTGGGGATTATTTTTATGTGTCAGAGACACAGGGTGCAGAAGTAACAAAATCACTGTGTAGTGTAGCTTCCTTAATTTAAACCTTTTTCAATTCTTGGATTTTGATTTTTTACCCAGTGTATGGCATAATTTTATTCTTCTTTTGAATAACTGGGGCCAGAACCTGATGGGGATCTCTATGTGGCAAAAAAAAACAAAAAAATTGATTTGTAACTAATCTAAATGTATATCAATTCCCTTACTCTCCACGCTGATATACAGGGGTAGAGAATATTACATGGCTGGGCGGAGAGACATACAACATTTCTCTTTAAGTGTTAGAAAACATTTCACTCTTTTACTTCACTCACTCATTATTTCTTCAACATGGGAAGAGAAATTTTGTTTCTCCAAGGGGCCATGTGCAATCATGTAATGTTCTTTTTTTAAAAAATTATCTTAATATATTAATGATCACCAGAAATAAATGTTACATGTAGTTACACAAACCATTTCACTTTATTTTCTTTTTAGCTGCAAAAGGCGTGATTGATCATGTAGCCATAGCAACAGTGATCTAATTTCCACAAGACAGTGAAGAATTAACGTGTTATGTAATTTGTGAAGATATCATGTTTTCACGTAAAGGCTCACCTGGTATTTCATGTAATTCAACATGATATATCATAATTATTCTAATATTTTTAATTAGGGCTGATGCTGAGGAGAAGTATGGAAAGGCTTTGATAAAACTTGCAGAAGGTGCTAAAGGCAAAGAGGAGATTGGGTATGGATTGATAAGTAACTAATGGTCCAAACTGAGATCAACAGATGTTATGTTCTTACTAATACATTGTACATAGTGTATAAACAAAAAGTCACACTTTCATCCATTTACCTTGTAAGTCCTTTATAATTAGTCACAACCATTTACTCAATTATTAACAAACGGGGAAAAGTAAAATTGGCCTTGGGAATTAATGGGTGACCTGGTCCTGCTATAAGTTTAGAGACCCTTCCGGTTCTCTCCCTTGTGAATAGCTGTCATGGTTTAAAAAAAAGTGTTCCTTTTTGGTGGAAGCATATGAAGCAGTTCATAATGTTTCAACACATTTCCCACTGTTTATGAGATAAGAGAACTATTGTGGTAACACGAGTTTGAATGATGGCATGAAGCAGATCAACCATCTTCCTCCATTTTGGAGTTTTATGGTGACTGTAATTAATTTGGAAGTTAGAGTATGTCATCCTTTTGTATTGTTAAGTTTAATTTATAATTTCCAGTGAATTTAAAAGGGGGTTAGTAAGGGGGGGATCAGTAGGGGGTCAGTGTTTTGTCCTAACCCCGTGAAAATCTCTTCATCCTGACCAATTGCCCCTTGACAAGGAGATTTGTACATTGTTTATTTGTACATTGTACATTGTTTATAATCCTTATGCATTATTGGCATTCTTAAATCATATTAAATTTTTGCTCTCTTTTTGGGCCCACTTGCTGTTACTTTGTCTCCTGCAACCCACTCAATGTATTGTTTCCCTTCATAATTATATTATATCATTCATTTCAGGTTTTCCTTTGCTTGCCTCCTTTAATTTGGTGAATGTACAGTGCAACAAAATGAAACAAAATTAATGTCTATAACTGGCACATATATTCATTTAAATATTGCACAACTTTTTTGAAATTTTCAGTTTACAATGTATTTATGTTATTTTTTGTAGGACCCTTAGAGAGTCTTGGGAAGTCCTTAAAACAGGTATAAAATTATATCATCTGTATCTGTCAATAAACTTATTAACCTTATTAACTTATTTAACAAAGTATCACTACCTCCACCCCTCTGGAAATCCCTTTTCTCCCATATGGATATTTTCTGAATCCACACAAAACTGAAGGTCCAGAGTGAATTCAATTTAAATTATTGAGAACGACTAGAAGAAAACACAAACAAAAAATAATTATATTCAATGTGCTGTAAAAAAGAAGATGAAATTTGAGTGTCATTGTATTTAGCATGAATTTCTTATTAGGGACGGACACTATTTTTATGTCTCCGTTTATCACTGAATACTAGAATTTAGTATTCAGTAACAGTACTTTAACCCTGTAAGCCCTGAGAGTGATCAGCATCAAATTTCTCCTTGTAATATTTATATCTATATTTTGTAAAACAGAGTAGTCATGAGAATTACGGACATGATCTTACAAAATGAAGTTGCTTGATATTTTATCAACTTCTCCCCACTACTTCTGTAGGAAATGAATAGGGCAACAAATGAGAATTCAAATTTTGATTTTAGGGTTTAAAGGGTTAACAGGAATTAACAGACCTTTTTACCGATACGGCAGCCATATTGAATTGCTTCGATTTAAGGAGTATTATGGGTTGCCCATGGGGCATGAGTACCATCAGTTTACTCGCTTAGTATTAGAAATATGGCTTTCACGTTTAATTTCTCAGGAAAAAGGCGATCATTATTATACATGCTAACACGGCACAACGATCTTTTTTCCCATTACAATCTAATTATTCTAAGAAAAATTTAAGGAAAATGCCTCGAAAGGCGCTTGTAAATAGTAAACAGGATGTGCTTATGCCTCCTGAGCATCCCATGATACTCCTTAGCTCCAACATATTCAATGTTGCCGCCGTATCGGTAAAAAGGACTATTAAACAGTCATAATTTATGAATTGCATCCACAACAATCATGTACATGTACATCTATTGTATGTGAGTTGTTATTTGCTTTTACTGTTATGATTGTTTATTTTTGTCTGCAGAAACAGAAAATATTGGCAAAGCACATATTTCTCTGGCTCAGCAACTTACTGAACAACTAGAACAATGTATCAGTCATTTTAGAGAAGGACAGCGCGAAAAACGGAAGAGGGTAAAATGCCATTATTAAATTTTTGAAATACATGTTTGTCACATTGTTAGCATAGTCCATGACCAATCGGCTCCAGTGCTTGCAGGTGACCTGTTGGGCCAGTTTTCTTGAATTCTAAATGTAGGTGACTCAGACCAAAAGTTGTGTCCCTCAATGTTGTGTAAAACTGTTGTCAATTAGTTACGTGACTTTGAAAATAGAGAGGAGATTACCCTGGGTGAGTTCAGATCGAGTTAGTTGACAACAACAATATTAAAATGGCCATAAAATAATTGCAGTTTGGAATCAGTTGTAGAAGAACTTATTCACCACTTGGACGTTTTTCACGTCAGAATTAAAATTAAAAAAAGGTAAAAATCGTTATATTGTTTTCTTGTTCATCAAGGTTGAGGAATCAGTTAAAAGATCACAAAGAAACAAAAAGACTTTTTTTGACTCAAGTTTTAAGGTACGTTAGTCCTGCTGTTCAACTAAATTCTTTCTTTATTTATGCATGTGCTTAATATTTAGATCGTAGTTTCCTCATTGAAGTTATAATTTACTGTAGTTTTTTTTAGCACTCACCTGTGTAACAGATTATATTTTCACTCGGGAAAGACGCCGAGTGCAAAATATGTAAGACAATTAAGTTCGGTTGTGTTAACCTTACAACCAAAATGGATTTACATGTAACATCAGGATTGACAATCGAGAAGCTTAAAGAAAACATAGCTGAACCACTGTTCTGCCTAAAAAAATATATAGTAAGAATGGACTGAGGTAAGCATGAATAATGAAATGATCATTGGAATTGTCTTCCGTGTGATAATGAAGAATTTTAAATGCAGACCTTGGGGGTGTTATCTGCCTCCCTTTCAGCCTCGTTAGATATTACACCCTCTTCGATTCGGCATAACTGTTCATGTCATACTCAGCCTCATCCAATAATTCGTCTTAAAATAAATTTAAGAATTCAATATTATGCAAACTAAGATGGTTGATTCTCATTATACTCAGCTTAAACGAAATTATGAACAAAGATGTCGAGAGGTGGATGCAGCAGATGAAGCTTTCAAAAAATCAGTTTCTCTCGCAAGCAAGGACGAAGAAAAGGTGATGAAAGTAAAGTGGTCATACCTTCACTACCAAAGGCTAAAAAAATCTATTTGGTATCCGGTTTATGAACGACAACTTACTTCATTACAGGTCATGTTTTAACATGGACGTTTCAAATGCAGGTTCTGCAAAACGATTGATTTAATACTATTTTCATTGCAGCTGTAAGTGGATCCATCAATACTTCTGTAAACGTTGAGTTATCTCAGTTTAAAGTGCTCAAAAAGAAGATCAGTGACCGTTGTGATCTGTAACTGAGAAGTTGCAGTTGCCATAATAATCAAGATTGACCTTTTCACAAAGTTTAAGCTGAAAATTTTCCAGTATAAAACTCCTTTAATTTTTCAACAATTTACGGTATATCTGAACGCGCTTAATTAGTTGCCAAGACTTGCTTATCAGGCGAGCTATTCCACAGTGTTACCTTTTGTCGCTATCACTTTTAATTAGGTCATTTTGTTTTCTCTACAATTAAGTTACATGTATTAAAAAAAGCAGCAACAACAACTCGCCCAATTTAAGGTAATCCAAGACAGTCTTAAATTCTGGATTCCACGCCTTGGATTTGGACTCCAGGAACTGGATTCCAGATTCCTTGTTAGTGGAACTTGGAATCTGGATTCCATTTATTAGTGGGATTCTTGATTCGTTGAGCTGTATTCCAGATTCCAAAGGCTAGGATTCCGTATTCCACAAGCGAAAATTTGCCAGATTCCGGATTCCGCAAACAAGAATTTCTCGGATTCAAATAACGAAACTTACAGTCGTTCGTTTTCTTGTCAAATAGCTGAGAACTCGACTTGGCAAAGCAAAGACAGCAGTCGAACAAGCAGGTGAGAAAATCAGTCCCATTTCTTAAAGGAGCTGTGTCACGAAATTTATCAAAGTTTTAACGGTGGTAACCGCCAACAAACTGAGTGAAATACAAAAATATCTGGTTAAAACTTGCAAAGAAAGTATAAATAACATAGCAAATACAAACTTGAAGAAGGCTGAAACGGAGTACATTTGTGGTTGTCTTTCAGATTTCAGTTTGGCGTGTTAATTGGCGAGCACCATCTTATTTAGTGACCAGTTACCCGAGTCTAAGCGGACAAAATTGTTATCCAAGCCTCAATTAATCGGCGTCTTGTCCCTTCCCCAGAGGGTGGCCGCTTGATGTTGGTTCGAATGTACATAAATATATTTGCTAGTTTTATTATTATTTTTATTATTATAATTATAATAATAATAATTATTATTATTATTATCATTATTATCATTTATTTTATTTTATTATTTTTTTTTAGATTCAGCTTACCAGAATTCAGTACGCCTACTTGAAGATGCGCGTCTGCTGTGGGAAAAAGAAATGGAACAATGCTGCGAAGTAAGATTCTTTGATGTTTTTGCTCATTGAAAAGTAATTACCTCAGACATAATAAATCAGTCCCTCCGTTTGCCGAAAAGCTGAATATATACAGCGCCAACTGCAGTGTAATACCGTATTATTAAGTTATCACTTGTATGGTCATTTCCCTTGGCCTTTATCTACCAAGTCACTGGTCCCCGAGATGAGCTCGTCTCCCCGAAATGTCTATTTTCTAGTAGCGAGCATCATTGCGCGCAATATGCAGGTAAAAGCATGGCAGTTGATCTATAAACTCTCTTCCCTTTCCGAAATTGCTAGACTGAACTTAATGGTAGGAGATACACTGAGTCTATTGACATACTGTGACCCAGGCCTTTTAAAAAGATAATGGAGGCTGGGAGGTGATGCAGACCATGTATGACCATGTTGCCCCTTTCTTTCCGGTCATCATTTGCAGCGTTACTATTACTTGAATTATTTTGTAGTCATATGACAGTTCTAGCTGTAAAACCTTTATTACTATCATTATAACTATCATTATTAATTCTATACTCTTCCGTGTTCAAATAGGTTTTTCAAGTCTTAGAGGAGGAAAGGATCGCATTTTTGCGGAATGCCATGTGGGTGTATGCCAACATTACTTCCCTAAATTGTGTCAAGGTCGATGAGGTGAGAATGTTATTAAACTTCAAAAAGGACACTGGTGTTAATTTTTAGAGCTTATACTAAAACTCGCAACAGTGCAAAAATTGTTAGTTGGATGCCGTGGGACGCCAATGTTGGTAGCACGTACATTGTTGACCAAGATTAAAATTTAGCCACAGAGCTCTCCAAGTTGTGGCAGAAGAACAATTGTTCTAATCATTATTGGATTGCTGGGATTCGTGAGGAGGATCCTCATCAAGCCTCTAAATCTCTTTTCCATCAAGACCGAGTTATACAACAACAACCTGCAAAAGAGGCGAATGCCACACGAAGATTTTTAACTTGCTGCTTAGAGGACCAGTTGTACTCCGCCTAGTGAAGATGATGATGATGATAATAACAGTAATATAAGTAAGATGTTGAAGGTCTAATGGTCATTAAGGCCTTGCCATGATGATGGCGATGATGACGATGATGATGATGATGATGATGATGATGATGGCGGCTTTTTATTATCTTTCTTCACTCTTCCTTTCCATTGCAATAGGCCACTTTCACGATGGCGTCATTTTACTACTACAACCAGAATCCTTCAGGGTTTTGCTTTCTTTTGCAAATTAGGGCTTTTGTTATTTAATCCTCGCTGGGATTACCAAATTTAAATATGAAAGGAAAAACGTAAGGGATTCTGGTCCTATTAGTAAAATGACGCCATCGTGCAAATGGTCTATTATATTATTAAATGGTAAGTATTTGATTGTCGCATGTCATGTTTCCTTTGTTCTTCCTTATTAAACAGATTTGTGAGGAGGTAAGAAAGAGTCTTGAACACTGCGAAGTAGACTCAGACATTCATCTTTTTATCAGCATGAAGCAGACTGGAATGGAACGGCCAGGTAAGTTAGCTTGCAAAACATTATCAAATACCCTCTTACCATCCTTTTCTCTCTTACCTACAGTAATCTTAGATTCAAAATTCGTTTGGATTTAGAATTCCGTCAAGCAAGCCATTCAAATAGCACTGGTACTTAATGTACCCTGTATGAAAACTAGGCTGACAAAACGCTGCTTCACACTTGACTTAGGGCGGAAATCTCTGGTAAACGTTCTACAATTAGTGAAAACAAGAACACCGAAAATACCTTTAGCTATGTAAAGTGAGTATTCAAACACCGTCATTGCAAGTAAGGCACATACAGTACAGTCTGAATGAATTGCTACTGTACTTGAATTCACAAGATCAGTGACTACTGATTCTCGAGAGCTGCAAATCGTGTCTCGCCAAAATCAAGGCGAGACTGCTCATTTTCCTTAACGTGGCTCACAAACAGAATGAATTTAATACTTATGTCATCGTTATGATCGAAGAGTTCCGTCTTTTTCATCAAACCATAGTAGTTGAATATCCATCACAGTACAATGATTTTTTTTATTTTCATTGTTGTTGAGGGAACTTGATGAAGGTCCCACATGAATGTGAAGCGGTATTTTTGAAGCCCATTTCGGGTGCTGTTTATGTCGTTTATTGTTGAAATACAAGAATACAAACACAACTACAACAAAAACAAAAACAATGATCGAAATTCATTCCTTGGCGCCGAAGATGAGGGGAATATATATAAAAGAAATTCGTAGAGATTCAAGGATCATTTCTTTTGTGCCCCTCCGCCTGGGAGCTACGTGTTTATTTTAATAATTAAGAACTGGTTTATTAACACATTGTTTCATTATTGTCCACTGCAGCTCGAATAGAATATGAGAATTTTTACATGGTGCAGTCAACACAAAAGGTAATGCCAACGTCTAGCGGTTTCAATATCAGTGGTCCGATGCCAGGAACATTCCAGCATTCCAAAGAAACCAACATGGCACAACCAACCGGTACCCCGAAATTACATGGTCGCAGGCCCCAGATCCCTATCCCCGATATTCCTGTCCAGGCAGGTGAGTAAACCCTACTCTCCCATGCAGGCTACATTTTGGTCGTCACGCAATGATATCTCGAAGTATTGCGTGACAACCTAAGGAGAAGCTGCTTAGGAGACTGAGTTGACTCCGCCAATCATCTGGGAAAAAAATGTTGCTAGGAAGGTTTACTTCGTGATCTTTTCAATCTACTTTGGGAGGGAGTTATCTTCTCATCATACTTTCTTTGTGGAAGAAATTACTTAGTTTTCCTTTTTTCTTTGTTTTAATTTTCCTTTCGTTGCTATCTTTGCTCTAATGTTTTCCGGAAGGGTCAGCAAATATGAACAGTTACCTACATGCTCCTGGTTATGTTTAGTTTTCCCATTTTTGCGGTAGTGTGGAATTTGGCTTATCTTACCTCAGGGAAACTGGTAAATAACTAGATTGTACCGTCCTGTTATTTGCCTCAAATAGTCCTGCACATAAAAGTGGAATGCTCGATGTGAGATGTTTCTTACCATTTCAGTGATAAGCCACTTATTAATTATAAAGAATCCCAGAATAGTTCGGCATTCTTCCAGTGAAACCACTCGCCTGCGGCTCGTGGTTCCACTTGAGTTTTGAACATTTTATGATCGTTTCTATGGTCTATAAGAGTGCAGACCATGGAAAGTTGAGGTCGATTTGTTAAATACTCCCGAAAACTGTTATTCACGTGCCTATGTACGCATAATGTATGACAGGACAAAGGGGTGAGATCCTTAAGACCGAGACCTTCATTGGGAAAGCAAAGAATACAAGCTTTTAAGCTTGTGGACTACTTAGACCTCTTAAAAGAGGTCTATTCTCTATTGTTTGTCGTTCTTTCGTATTTTGCAGGGTCTTTAGATGAATCGATGTATTCCACAGTAGACGAGACAAACAAAGCAAAAATTAAGGAACAGGTTTGTCGTGCGCAGTTTGATTACGACGCACAAGGTGACCAGGAATTATCGTTCAGGGCAGGAGATGTTATAAAGATTCTTTATAAAGAGGACGATACTTGGTGGTGTGGAGAATTCAACGGAAAGAAGGGCATGTTTCCAAAAGTTTTTGTAGACTTAATGAATCATTGACTTGTTCCGTACGATGGAACTACGCAATCCATGCATCCGTTAAAACAACCGGGTGAAACCTGTATTAGATTGACACCCACGGGACTTAAATACACAGGTTCCTTTTACTTAAAATATGGAAAGAAACGTTTGAAAAAAATGAGCCATTCGTCCGCTTAATACAGGTTTAACTGTATATACTTTAGGCAAGCAAATGGATAATCAATGCTTAACACAGTTTTTTATTAGTGAAATCATCTAATCTTGGTAGTGCTGTTGTGAACGTACCAAGGCGTTTACGGTATTTTTTTAGCTACACTATAGTTTCATTTATAAGCTTATCTCTCCTTTGAAATACTGGTTTGGAATCTATGACCAGCCTTTAAAAGGACCAACAGACAGGGGCACCCAACGAGAATATAGTTCAAAACCACTTAAACATTGCATTGTTGAATGTATTTTAGTATTTAAACGGTAGATATAGCAATATTTTTATCCCCTAAAAATTTTTTATCTGTTCGGATTTCCTTGCTGAAAGTCTAGTGATCCGAAAATTATAGAGATCAAAACTTACCTTTTCGAAAATTTCAGCCAGAAAAAAGGCGCCCGAAAATTCTAGGTGACCTTTTTAGGGTAAAAATCCGTTAAAAATGGGCAATTATACCATTTTGGGGGCGTTCGAAAATCCTAGGAGAGGTGGGCAAGCAAGAAATTTAACAACAAATGTTCCGAAAATTCTAGATCTCAAATCGTCTTGCGAACAGATATTTTCCAAAATTGTCGTTGGGTTCCCCTGAACAGACAATCCAAATTTCGTCCCATATGAACCATACAAGGGTGTGGTGCATGGATATAAAGGGACAAAAGTAAACAGCATATTTTGTTCTTAGTGCCATCGTAGCTTAATCAAAACTAAAACACAAACAGCGGTGATAAACATTGTGAACTTTCACATTTTGATATAAACTCGACGTTTCGTATGCTAGTCAACGTATTTGTCAATTTTGTATACATGTAAATAGTCTCGTCATAAACTGTAACGGTCACTTTTGATCACTTGCAAAAATGTATGTTTACTAGCAGACGAAATGTCAGGTTTATATAAAAATGGGAAAGTTCTCAATGTTTATGCCCGCTGTTTGTGTTTTATTTTTTATTAAACTGCATTTTAAGAAGGTAGTAACATTATTTTTGTAGGTAAAGGCCTTTCCGGACAAGACATTTGTTGCTTACATTGCATAATAAAGATTTCCAAGAATTGTATATACTTCACGCTATTATGGTAGAATCAACACCGAAAACAATTTTTTGATTGAATAGTTATCTGAGTTGAAATGGCAAGGGCAGAGACTTCACTTTTTCATCACATTTAAAAGGGCTGATTTTTGTTCTTTAGAAGGTGACGGGGATTGGGTGAATTAAATAACTGGTATATAAAACTGTCGGAAGGATAAAGCGATTTTCAAATAAAGGTTCAGTATGATAGCATAGAGAAAATGTTATATGTAAAAACTACCTTAACCTGCAAATGTATGCATAGCCAATAAATGAGGCACATATTTTTTCTTTGCGAAAATTATGCTAGGTCGTTACATAAATATCAAGAGATCGAGAGGGTCTTCTTACTTGAAAATCCGCTTCAATTTAATGTTTAATATAATAATAGCAAATACAACGTGACGTCAGTGACGGCGGCGCGCGCAGATCCACGAACCGATTGGCAAACTGAGCACCGAAGTCGCCTCCAGTACTTTTTTACCGTTCATCAATCCTTGCTGTTGGCTAACTGAGCTGTTCCCCTTTGTGTGTAGTGGTAAATGTACCATTTATACCAGTTAAGCCCTTTTGTTAGAGTAGCTTGGTGAAAGATGAGAAGAAAGAGAGAAAACAGGGCAGGGAACAAAGCCCTCCCTTCCCTTCCCGTTTTGGTAGTACAAATTTATCCACATTCAAAATGTCATATCTCACTTCATATTTGAGATACTGGAAAAAACGTTTCAGCTTTCAACTTCCCTGGAATAGTTCTTTTAAAAATGTAATTAAATTTAAAAAAATTGTGAGATTCAGTTCAAAATAAATTGACGTATGGATGACGTCAACAAATGCGAAGTCATACTTGCACATTTTGGTCTCAAAATAGATGCCAATTTGATTGGCTCAATATTTCGTATTTTCAGGCCAAGTTTGGTAAAGAAAGAGTTGAAGACAACAAAGTTATTGTAAATTAACCAAAATTACCACACTTTGATGGTCCTTTGGGGGGAAGAGGGATTGGGTTGGCCCCGCCGTGCCTCTTTTCTTTCTTTCTTATTTCCTTCCTCCCTCCCTTCCTTTCTCCCTCCCATCCTTTCGCCCTCCCTTTCTTAAATTTTGTTGCTAAAACATCTCTAATCTGATTGCATGGTTCTTGGCGGTTTCTTTTGTGTTTTCAGCCTATCAGAAACCATTTGTAATTTGCACTCGTGATACAAGTTTGCACTTGTCTTAAAGAAGCGACTGCACTCCTTTCTCAGCCAATCAGAATTGAGTAATTTTTTCGTGTAAATTTTTCAGAGACCACAGAGGGCACTTGCCCTACAGGCTCGTGCACTTTTGTTGGTCTGAAAAACTTACTCGTGCTTACTTACTCCAAATTGCACTCGAAATCATGTGATTAGTTTACCTATTGTTATTTTAGTAGGTAATATCCAACAGGCCCATTAATCCTTTAAACATAGCGGCTCATGAAACGTGCCATTTTTTTCTAACATGTACACCAACCATTTGCTGTTTAAAGTCACTCGATTTTGTGCTAGATTCAAAGCTTTATAGCGCCTTATAACTCACACAAAAAATGCTCTTAAAGAGGCCATCAAACAAATTTTTTATAGGTAGCACTAACCATAATTGTAACTTTTTAGTGATTTTTGCAGGCATAAACATTAAAACTCATTTTAAAAAAATCATGATTCACGGCCTTAAATATCTATCGTCAAGACTGTGGCACGGACAACAGAAAACAGTTTCAGTGTTAAAAAATGTAGTCTTAAATAAGACTGGACAGATATTTTTGGAATTCAATTCATAAGAAGATAGTATATTAGTAACCCCCCTAGGCTAACAAGAGGCCGGTCAGTTCCGAGAATTTAGGACATTTTTAATTTTGTCCTGTAATTGTAAACATGTTTAAACAACGACAACAATGACAACAGGTATCTACAGCTAGTTTTGGTGGGCCCGTTTTCTCTGTCAACGTAGACAAAATCCTCCAATATCCTCCACTTGGGGCATATCGTGAGAATTCACGCGCGAGCGTCTCTGGTCATTTTCTCAAAAAAGAAGGCTTTATGCTGGCACGTTACTTGCGCGGGATAATCTGCATTCCCACAAAAGAATCGATTTGTATCAAAGTCTTTGTCAAATGTAGATCAAAGTAGTTAATCCATGGGCCGGGACCGCAAAATTTTGGATTTCTTACCTCTCTTAAGGACAAAGGCTATTGTAGCTTTTTAGAATAAGCCTCTGTTCCCTCTACTTTATTATTATATATGATAGCCACGTCATAGGTGTAGCTTTACTACTGGTGCTGTCATGGCGGTTTCTCACTGTCATTTTCTCTCTCAGGTCAAAATCGCGGTTTCACATCCCGCAACCCATATCATGATAACAAAATCTGCTCACCCTTTCACGCTTCGCAGCACCATTTAGATATAACTTTATAAATTATATTCAAATAAAACAGGAAAGAATCACCATAGCATGACTTTGTGAGAAAACAGCAAGTTGGCTACGTCAATGGACTTTTCCCTCCTCGGAGACCCAGGGGGGGTCAGTTTATTGTGGCCGCGCCATTTGTTTCAAAATTATGACACGATATACGCGCAGTTTTTTTGCCACGTATACTTGCAATATTTCCTGCTTGGTGGGTTTTTCTCTAGCCTGTTCCAGGCATTCAGATAGTGGGGAGCGGAGCGAATTAAAAAGGAGGAGGCTCGAGAGGAGAAAACCGCAGTAACGGAGTAAAACGCACGATATAAATTTACAGAATTTGATATTTAAAGGGGAAGAATGTGAAATATCTGTTGATCAAATTGTTGATTTATTTATGACTCATAAAGCTGCACACTGTTTTACAAAATGTAAACTTGACTGAATTAGATACAATGTCAAACCAGAATATTAATTCAGGACAATAAACAATAGTATACAAGGATTGTAACAGTTTGTGACAAAAAAGGTTGGTGCTACCTTTCATTTTTGTAATCTAGTTGCTTTGTGCATGTTTCAAAAAGAAAAAAATTGAAGAGCCAAGTTAGCTTTCAATACATGTTTAAACTCAACAGCATTGTTGCGGACAAGACAACCACGTGTGCAGTAACCGCGAATGCTCCATTACAGAGGTCCTTATCTCTGCAGCATTTAAGGCTACATTTCGTTATTTTATCAGAGTTGCCGTCGGTGTATGTACCGTCCTTGCACTTTTTCTCGATATCTTCACACATCGTCTTTAGCATGCATGCTCGCCATCTAATCTTTTTGCCACTCTCTCGATCAGCGTCTGCTTTAACGCAGACCGGTGTAGCGTCTGTACAATTCATTTCACTTTTGTCTTTGTCACAATCTTCTACGCTTTGGTCACCTGGGCACATATAGCACTTCAAGGAATATGCTGTGGAGACAATGAAACGCAAAAGATCACCGCATTATTATATTCATTATCGCTATCATTATTTATTATAATTATTATATTATTATTATGATTATTGTTTCATTCATTCATTCACTCAAAATATTTCTCCGTTTACAACTGGCTAAAATCCCACGCATAATTCATCATAACCAGCTACTGTCGACCAAATTTGGAAGAATTTTGCGAAATGTGAAAAATGACGTCAATACGACAATTGCACAATGACGAACTTTTCTACAACTATCAAAATAGTCAAAAGTCGTCATCGTGCAATTGTCCTATTCTACAGCATTTTTCCAGAAAACTGGACATTTAACCGAGAAGACCTGGGAACGCGGTTCAGCTGTTTTGGTAGTGAGTACAAGAAAGAAATGGGCGAACTATTGGCTAAAAACGTATCAACTTAAAAACAAGCAAGAATACAACTTGGCGGACGACATCCACTATCTTGGTTGTTTGGAGAATATTTGAAGGGCTGAACAACTCTTTACCTCCGAAACTTGCCAATAAGCAGGCAATTGAAGATGAACTTAACATCGATGGAGGTAAGCATTTTTTCGCTTGTTTTTAAACAAGGAATTATTTTGAATAAATACCTATTGTGGTAAAAAAATTATTGAATTCGGATTTCGTATGGAGATGAGATCAGCTAAATTGAACTGTGTGCCTAAATAAAGGGCCTTTGATGCACGGATTTGACCGTTCATTGGTCCATGGCTGCCATTGCCCGGGTGATATGGTTGTATGCATACCGCGGCCATAGCGCAGCTTTAATACGTGTGCTTCAGTGCTGATAAATAAAGTGATGATCGAAAAAGTGTGAGTAAACCGGACCGACTGATGCTGTAGCATCTCGCGACCGTGTTTCAAGTCTGATTGGATCATCGTCTAATGGCTCCAAAACTGACTCGTCTGCAGTCGCCTTTATTTGGACTCGGGAATCGCACACGGGGGACGGAACGCGAGAAGTCGTGACCGAAGGGAGCGCGAGGGGTGATGGGAAATGCTTGAGCTCTCCTTTGCGCTTTTCTCGTACAGAAGACTGAAAGACCAATCGAGACGAGTCAGGTTCCAATACAGGCAGGTCGCAAGAAAGTTAAGCTTTCCATGCACAAACAAAATTATCAGATGTCTGTGAGATGATCTCGTAACACCGAATCTGTCCAATCCAAACCATCTGTTTGTTTGTAAAGTTTAACAGCTACTGTTTATTTTGTTAAATTACTGTCATTTTTTTTCTAGGTCAATTTACAAATGAAAGATGTTGCTTACAATTAGTATAAATAACTCCAGTGCTATTATGATCGCAGATGGCTATTTCAAAAGTCAAAGGGAGTCATTTTCAGAAGGCGTTTT